TAAAAATTAAAAATTTATATTTTTTATATTATTTTAAATTTTTTAAAAAGTTATTTATATATATATTATATAAACTTAAATTTAAGTCTATAAATATATTTATAATACTTTTTATATATACTAAGCTTTCTGTATTATAAAAGGAATATACTTGACTATAACTTAAGTCTTTATCTTGACTTATTATTTCCCCTATTACTTGGGCGCGGTTAATTATATCTTCAGGTATTCCATTTAACACGGCACATTGGCTTCCTAAACTCATCAAGCCACAACCTTTACTTAGCTTAAATAAGTACGTGACTTTATCTTCTGCATCGGCAGCGTTTATGTCGCTCCTCACTTCCATGTGCATTAAGGAGAGCTGCTTATGCTGGTTTAAATAGCCATGTGAAAACACTTCATGGAAATGTGTAGCAACCAATAGTTTTGGTATTGCTGTTGCGGGAGAAAGGAAATAGTCCAGCATTGCTGTAAACATTCCAGCACCGCCATCAGCCGCAGTCCCATTTCCAAACTCATCCATAAGAACCAGGCTTCGCGATGTAGAGTATTTCATGGCTTGGAAGACTTGTTTGAGATCTAGTGCAAATGTGCTCCCTATGCGGGAAACGCTTTCTCGCGACGGCATCCGAGTCAATATTTTATCCACAGTGCCGATAAGAGCTGCTTCAGCGGGCACAAAGCTTCCGATGTGCGCAAGATAAACAATTACGGCAACCTGCTTAATGTAAACGCTTTTTCCCGATTGATTTGGGCCAGTCAGAACCAGTGCTTGAGTCCCTCGTCCTGGGGCCATACCCTCATCCCCAATAAAACAGTCATTTGGCACAAATGATGGCACCAGTAGCTCTTGGAGTGGGTGCCTCCCACCCTTGATATGAATGACATTGGCAGCTGTCATCTGGGGAGCATGCCAGTCATACTTTGCAGCGCCGATCGCAAGAGCTAGAAGTGCATCAAATTCTCCACATAAGTCTGCAGCTTCCAAGAGAGCTTTCTCGTGAACAATGACATTTGAAGCCAGCTTTTGCATCACCTCAACTTCCTTATCTGGCTGAATATTAGCATAACCGTGGTTACGTAAGGCGTCATGGAACTTACCACTTATCTTGGAGTACATATCCCCGTAATATCTGTCCAAATCTTCCATATGACGGTTTTTATAATAGGCCGTCCCGTTGTGAGTGAAAGACTTCTTCCATGAGTTATCATTTACACTTCCCCCATTAAATATGTCGTTTCCTAGCTGAGACTCCTGCTCAACTACGGTTAAAAACCCAAGCTGGGGAAGGAACACGCATGATTGGATGTATTGACGTGCCCACACTGGCAAATCTTCAGCAACACGGTTGACGACTGCTGTCAAGAAGCTACTCATGCCGTCGTATTGTCGTTTTAACGCATCCAATTCGGTATCCACGCCAGGCATAACTGAACAATACTGCTGGGACTTGGTTTCATTAAAGTTGATGGCTCTGTTGATCATGTCGCCCACCAGAGTAAGAGATACCGGGACGATTCTGTCGATTATCTGGAGGCATATTAGAACTGGTGCCTGAGATGAATCAAGAGTCCTACCTTATTGATAATGTTACTCTGGTCTGCATTAGAAGAGAACGCAATCGCCACTTCTCTCAATTCAAGCGATTGAGATACGAATCTTCTTAGTGTACCCTATACACTAATATTGAACGCCCCGTGGGAAGACGGTGAGCTAATTCCCTTATGGAGATGAGCGATTGCATGTGATACGTTGCCCATCTTCCGTAAAATAGCAACAGCACGTTTCTTCTTCTCCTCATTGCTGGGCTGGAGGAGCAGTGAAATCGTTTGGTGCCTCTCGGAGAGGATATCAAGATTCGAAATTGGCCTTAGGAACATGTATCGCAGGTGAGACCGACCCTGCGGTGTGGAGGCTAGCGGATGGAATAAACCATAAATAGAGATATTCTCCTTTTCAACTGAACTTTTGGAGTCGACACTCCAAGTCTGACTATTTGGGTGTGACTCGTGATTGATGATTTGTAGGGAGAGTCTAGACTCTTCACTGATGAAAACATAGTCTGACAAGGTGAATAGTGTAACGGATCTCACATTAAACATATACCCCATGCTAGAATTGCTAGATGGAGATACGAGTGACCGCCGTCGGTGTAGGTATATGAGAACGGCACCGGCGCAGCTCAACTGTTTTATCTAAGCACTCATCTAGGCACTGGATACCAAATGTCTGAATACTTACGGATGAAATGTTGTCGAGGTCAATTAAAGAGCTGCAACGGACTAGCTTCATGCACTGAGGTTCTTGACGGTCATGTTCCTGCAGAGCCTGGATACTACTCTTAACACATTGCCCATCCACATTGGCAGATGATGTAGTTCGGAACGAGCAGATCCCATGAGTATCGAGTGATGATAATTCTTCACAGGCAAATGTGTGAGAGAAGTCAGAGGGAGACACCAGGCGTAAAGTAACTTCTAGCTCACATTACCGTAAGTAACGGAAACAGACTGGCCATAAGAGATGCGGACCATGCATAGAAACCGCACCTTTGATAATCCTCCCAGCATGCTTTTCAATGAAGGCAAAGGTTGATTCTGGGACTCGCCGTGAAACCAGAATCGTGGTTGGTTGCGCATAGCTGAGAAATTGCTCCACCACATCTTCGCCCGCCATAGAGATGTCAGCTCCTATCTTCAAGACGCCGTCTGTAGTGCAGAAGACGCTGCATCCTAAGGTGCTCCGATCTTTGACATCGATGGCCAGGATCGACTCGCTGAGATAAGGGAGCCCAGCTTCTTCATCAGACGCGGTGCCCACTGTAGCATCCATTTTGGATTACCTCGTCGGCGACGGTTGTCCTAGGTTTGGAGACCTTTGGATGGGTAAAGTGGAAGGGTTGGGTGCTAGCTACCAATGATGGATCAAAGGAAGCAGGTATAATGCGCCTTCCCTGTTCGCTTGTCAATATAGCAGGGTACATTGCCCAGACATAAACCAAACCCATTGATATATAATAAAATTATCATATTAGAGTATGTAGTGAATTTCAATTATTGTATTAATTAATTATAAGCCTTTAATAACACTCACTTGTATCCATCGCTATTGTATGTAGTACACCTGTTTGATAATACTTGCATTATGACTTATAGAGATGATACTGTCTCGTCTTCTTCCACGCGAATCGAGTGCTCTACGCCTAATGTTTGGACAGAGGCGAGCGCATTTGCTGGTGCGATTACGGCAAACCCACTATAATAAAGTCAACGGCGAATTCGAACTCTGCGAACCGGAGAAACGTACTTGATGATAGTGTATGTATGTGTGATTTTACCTCCAGCTTTCAAAATACTGTCCTTGACCTGGTTCATAATAGCGGCAGGGGTATCTGGGTTATCAAACCAAATGATAGCTGACTTCTTCTGATCAACGGCGAACCCTAAATGGAAAAGACTTAAAGCCGCGATAAACCACAGGCACCTCATATTGGCGTAGAGAGTAGGTAGATGTTGAGTGTTGGAGCTGTATGTTGTATTGGTCGACGTTAGGAATGGGGCTCCTAGGCGGGTCAACGGGTATAAGATAAGTGGCAACGGCCACTGTCTCTTGCATTAGTGCAGTAGCTATATATACTACCTACTCTATAGATTACATACAAGTATATTTTTTTTTATTTTATTAAAATATTATATAATTAAAAAATATAATTAAATGTGTTTTAATATAATTATAATAATTATAATTATAATATTTATAACTTAAGAGTATTAATTTAAATATATATTTTAAAAATATATAATTATATATAAAAGCCATTAAAATAATATAATATAATTATAATATTTAATTATTATATTTGTAATAGAAAATATAAGAGTTCTAATATTTAAAAATTGATTTATACTTTTTTTTAAAATAAACTTTTAGTATATTTTTAATATTATACAGATAAAGTATAGAGTACTAATGTGGCTGTGAAGATGAAACTGTCTCGCTACACTATACGCCTCCATTCTCCATAAAATACTTAACAAGTTGACGTATGACTATTCCCTATAGGTAGCTATTATACAATTTATGTAGGTAAGATGATTCTTTCCCTTGAAAGCACTGTTGCGTTTCATGTAATACTCATACGATACCGGTACCTATAGTAACTGCTGTCTATGCTTCCCCTGCGAGGATGTTAGCTGTGAAGCTCTATCCGTGATGTCTAGTCCTTGCTATAATTATCACCTATATTGCCTCGAAAGCTGGGAAGGCTGCAACAATGTCCTCCGAGTTGCCAGACGACCGCACGGCGCGCCCGCCGCCAATAGATTTACCCGCTACCAGTTCTCGAGACTACCAAAATGGGCTTGGCAACTCCCAGCAACGTGCCGGCGATGAATCTACGACTAGAACAGTTGGTGGACCGGGCCTGTCGTCCTACTGGCACACTTCGTATAGCTCTCCTCATGATCGCATTAGTTTCGAGTCTCATATAGATCCCACGGCACTGCAGGCAGCGCTTCCTCCTGATATTCCTCCGCCATTGACACAATCTCCACGCTTTCCTCCAGATTCCTATCACTCGTTCGATGGAGGGTTACAATATATTGAGGAGTCGACCAATCCCTATTATGCAGATTCTGATAGAGTTCCACTCACAGCGGGAGTTCAACCGATTTCTGGCTCTCCTCCTGGAGACGACCATGGACTCCATGGTAGGGAGAGTTTTCAAACTGTCCGCGACCTTGATAGCAATCCAATTCGAGACCATGAAGGAAAAGGTCTTGGGAACCGTTCCAATCTTGGTTACTCACCTGGCGGTCACCAAAGCTATGGCCTAACGTTAGATCCCGGCGATTTTCGCTTATCGCGATCGGCTTCTACAGCTGGAGCTTTCCAGCGCGCCGGATCAATTGTTAGGGCCATGTCACAAAGAGTTGTGAATCTAAGCGGGGAGTCGGATGTTGCTGACCAACGCTCCTCTCGCTATCGCTCCCGGTCTCGCGACTCGTTAAGTGAAAGACGGCCCAATCCAACACTGTCAACGTATGCCGATGAGCCGTACTATTCTCGAGCGACTTCATCTCCGGCAGAGAAAGCCGCTCAGAATGTTTTTTTAACTACTGAGATTCCAAGTCGATTACCTTCACCAGCTCGCACAAAGGCTACTAATCCCCTCAGAGGAAACTCATTGGGAATATTTTCTCCAGAAAGTCGATTTAGATTATGGATGTGTGACTTACTTGTTAATCCCTATACTGAGCCTTTTATACTTATACTTATTGTTTCCCAAACAATTCTACTTGCTGTAGAATCTTGGCCGGATGTTTTCAGCCCCGGAAATGCGCGCCCCGAGCAATGGGGTAACAGACCGATAGATTGGACAATGCTTGCGCTCTTCATTATATTCACACTCGAGATTATTGCTAGGATTGTGGTGTCTGGTTTCATATTGAATGCAGAAGAGTATAGTACCATTGATCGCAAGAGGGGCATTCGAGCAGCGGTTGCCGATCGATACAAGTCCATCTTTCAACCACAGAGGCAAAGGTCTACTAAGAGAATTCGGTCTGCCCAGCCTCAGGCCCCAGCCTTCGCCCGATCGTTTACAACTCTAATGCAGGGGCAGCAAACTGGCCCCAAGACTGTTGAGGACCAGCAACGGTTCCAGTTAGCACGCCGAGCCTTCCTGCGGCATTCATTTAATCGTCTAGATTTTGTTGCTGTTGTCTCTTTCTGGATTACTTTTGTGCTGGCTATGACTGGCACTGAGAATCGACACCACTTCTACCTCTTTCAAATGCTCAGTTGTCTCCGTATTTTGAGGTTACTGGCTCTTACTCACGGCACTGCGGTAAGTATTATCCTTACATTAACCCGGTATGATGCCATGCTTATATACCATAGATTATCTTGAGAAGTTTGAAAAAGGCAGCCCCTCTTCTTGTTCGTGTAGCGTTTCTTATCAGCTTCTTTTGGCTCCTTTTTGCCATTATCGGCATACAGAGTTTTAAATCAAGTCTGAGTCGACAGTGTGTTTGGTTGGATCCATTGGATCCGGGTAATCTCACGGCCTCTTTTACTAACAGCATGCAATTCTGTGGTGGCTACCTAGATAATGTGACTGGAGCCACACTACCCTGGGTGAAGTTCAGTGCTGCAGGATCCCTAGAAAATCTAGTCAAGGGCACTACCGAAGGAAAAGGATACCTGTGCCCCAGAGGGTCAATATGTCTGCAACAAGAGAACCCTTATAATGGGACAGTTAACTTTGACAACATTGTCCAATCTCTTGAGTTGGTATTCGTCCTAATGAGTGCCAACACATTCTCCGACCTCATGTACTATACTATGAACTCAGATTATCCTCAGGCGGCTTTGTTCTTTGGGGCTGCCATCATGATTATGATGTTGTGGTTAACCAACCTCCTAATAGCCGTCATTACCTCATCATTTCAGGTCATTCGTGAAGAAAGCAAATCGAGTGCTTTTACTGTCGAAGCGGAGCCATCCGCCCAGCCACATACAGACGAGCGTAAACGAAAAGTTTCACCTGCTCAGCAACTGTATAAAAAGACATCACTTTTTTGGTTGCTTGTGGTCGCCTTCGCTTTACTTAGTGAAGCGTGCCGTAGCGCATCCATGTCGGAGTCTCGGAGAAGATATATCGATGCAGCTGAGATCGTTGCTACTATACTACTTGACGTTGAAATCGTCATCCGAATTGTGGCCTATTGGAGCGTGTTTCATCGAAGCTGGCGGAATATTTTTGATCTGGCTTTGGCTATAATCGATTCTGTTATCCTCATACCAGCAATCCACAATTCCCGGGTGTATGCCTGGCTGACTGTCTTTCAAGTTCTCCGAGCGTACCGACTTGTCTTGGCAATACCCGTGACGCGAAAGCTCATACTTTTGGTGCTTGGCAGTGCGGCTGGTATTGGTAATCTCATGCTGTTTGTATTTTTAATGACCTTTTTGGTGGCAATCTTGGCTGCACAGCTGTTCAGAGGGCAAATACCCGTTTATGACGATGGAAACCTAAATCGCATCTCATTTAACACCGTTTTCAACTCTTTTCTCGGCATGTACCAAATACTCTCGAGCGAGAACTGGACTGCTATTCTATACTCTGTCACTTCTTATACAAAAGCACTGAAAACCGCTTGGATTGGTGCAATATTCCTGATAGGGTGGTTTATCTTAGCATTCTTTATCTTGATCAACATGTTTATTGCTGTTATTCAAGAAAATTTTGATGTGTCGGAGGATGAGAAACGTTTAGAGCAAGTGAAGGCTTTTCTGCAGAGGAAGGAACTTGGGCGTACATCCAATAACCTCACGCTGTCTACGATCTTCAGCTTTGGAAAATCTCGCCGACGGAAGGACCCATTAGACTATGGCCCGGGCATGATGGAAATGCTTCTCAAAGACACTGTGGTACAGGAGTTCTTAGACGACGAAGTGGCTGACCCTCTCCGTCTTAACCCAGATCATAGAAATCGACCACAACGGAGCACCACAAATCTGATGGGAGACGGCAAGCCGGGCTTCTTAAAGAAGATATGGGATCGGTTTAATAAGAGCGGGCCTAATCCATTTTACTCAAATCTTCGCTTCGACGGCCCCAATGGCACTTTGGATCCTCGGCAAATGGCCCGACAGGCAGTATCAGCAACGTCAGCTCGCCGGAAAGCTCAGCGAGATTATCTCGCTCAGAATCCTCGATATAATACGTCGCTATACATATTCCCCCCCAACAGCCGCCTCAGACGCCTCTGCCAAAGACTTGTAGGCCCAGCCAGGGGTCTCGAACGCTTTGACGGGGTTGAACCTAATAAGATAGCTTGGTATTCGATATCCAGCTTTATCTACGCGTCAGTGTTTGCAATGGTTGTTTTAGCTTGCGTTACAACTCCGCTCTATCAGAAGGAATATCGAGAGCAGCATCCATCCACTGTCACTCAATGGTATATCTGGACAGACCTGGCCTTTGCTGTGATATTTACGCTCGAAGCAGCCGTCAAGATAATTGCAGATGGCCTTTTATGGACGCCCAATGCATTCCTACGCAGCTCATGGGGCATAATTGACGCAGTTGTGTTAATAACTCTTTGGATTAATGTCGTAACACTGTTGATTGACGATGGCGGCATCTCAAGAGCATTGGGTGCTTTCAAGGCGCTTCGAGCACTCCGGCTACTGAACGTGAGCGACAGCGCCCGTGATACGTTCCACTCACTGATTATTGTCGGATGGTGGAAACTCTTAGGTGTATGAACATATTTTCTACTCGGCTACTTTTGCTGGAGACTGCTAACACGATTTTAGGCTGCGTTTGTGTCTATATCTCTCTTGATCCCGTTTGCTATTTACGGACTAAACCTGTTTAATGGATTACTGGTATCTTGCAATGATTCTGGCGATAACATCTCAACTCTAACGCAGTGCTTCGGCGAATTCAACAGCACCCCTTATTCTAACGACTGGCCGATGCTGGCCCCAAGGGTGGCGTCGAATCCGTACTTTGGATTTGATGATTTTGGCTCGTCGCTTTTCACGCTGTTCCAAATTGTCAGCCAAGAAGGATGGGTAGACGTTTCTTTCGCAGCTCAGGCGATTACAGGCCTCGGCATGCAGCCGCAAAACCTAGCAAACCAGGGGAACGCAATGTTTTTTGTTGTCTTCAACCTCTTAGCCACTGTCTTTATTCTTACGCTCTTCATCTCCGTGTTCATGAGAAATTATACCGAGCAGACTGGGGTTGCGTTTCTCACAGCAGAGCAGCGATCGTGGCTTGAGCTGCGAAAGCTATTGCGTCACATCTCACCATCGAAAAGCTCATACGACGATTCAGAAAACAAATGGAAAAAATGGTGCCATAAGAGAGCCATTGAAAAAAGGGGGAAATGGTACCAGGCGGTTACGGTTGTTCTGGTTTTGCATCTGCTCTTGTTAGTAGCGGAATTCAACAATGAGCCATCGTGGTGGACGACAACCCGAGAATACGTATTCTTGCTCTTCATTCTGATATACATCACCAACATCACGATTAGGATAGTAGGTCTGGGTTGGACGCGTTTTAGGCGGAGTTCTTGGGACCTCTACTCTCTAGTAGCTGTATCGGGTGCCTTTATTGCTACACTTGCACTACTAATTGCAGACACTGGAGCCGATACATATGTGCAGCTTCACAAAATATTTTTGGTTGCTATCGTTCTTCTGCTTATTCCGAGGAACGATGCGTTAGATCAACTGTTTAAGACAGCTGCAGCAAGTCTGCCGGTCATCAGCAACCTCTTGGCCACCTGGTTTGTTTTTTTCCTTGTCTTTGCTATTGCGATGACGCAAACCTTTAGCCTAACTCGCTTTGGTGACAACGAGGGAAGTTACATCAACTTTAGGACCGTTCCAATGGCTCTAATATTCTTATTTAGAATGAGCCTGGGAGAAGGGTGGAACCAAATCATGGAGGATTACGCTGGGATTGAATCTCCTCTCTGCGTTGAGACTGATGACTTCTTTGACAGCGACTGTGGCAGCAAACCATGGGCTAGATTCTTATTTATCGCCTGGAATATTGTTAGCATGTACATCTTTGTGAATTTGTTCGTTTCACTTATTTTTGAGAGCTTCAGCTATGTTTACCAGCGTTCGTCTGGGATGGCCGTTGTTGATCGGGATGAGATTCGACGATTCAAGGAGGCCTGGCGAAGCGTTGACCCCGCCGGGACTGGCTATATCACAAAAGAGGCCTTTCCACGCCTCCTTGGTGAGCTGTCCGGAGTTTTTCAAATGCGGATTTACGAAGCAGAGGATTCTGTTCGGCAAATCTTGGAGGATGTGCGGGAAGATACAAGAGTTTCTCGCCATACTTCCATCGTCTCAACAGCTGCGCTCAACGACGTTGACATTAGTCGGCTGAACGAAAGACTGTCTCAGTTGGACATCAAGAAAATTCGCAAACGGCGCCATCGGTTTAATATATTCTACGAGGAAGTTCTCGTAAGCGCAGACCCTGATAAGGGAATTGCCTTTACCGATGTTTTAATGATCCTTGCTCACTACAACATCATAAACGATAGCAAGAGCTTAAAGTGATTCTTACTACTTACCTTTCATTCATTACGACAAAGTTCAGTTTCGCTAACGAATACTAGACTCGAGGAATTTTTGCGGCGCCGTGCACGTCTGCAACGTGTTGACGAAGGTATACGGCGGCGAATCGTGCAGGGCTTCTTTGATACGCTGTAAGTGGCACAGTGACTATACATTTTGAACATACTTATTGCCTGCGGCAGTGGACTGACTAGATTGGCTTAGGTATTACTCGCGCAAGTTTAAGGAGCATATGGAGCGAAAGAGAGCCTCTCGCATGACAACAATCCCGCAGCTTAGAATCCCAGACATCCTAGTTGAAGATGACGATGGCCTTATGTCTGGAGATGCCGAAGTGAAGATGCGACAACTTGGTGTTGATACTGGCGCGGATGAACAAAGAAAGCTAAGCTGGCACGGCAACACGATATCAGGCACCACTTCGCAAAGTCACCCCCTTGGCTTGCCTCGCTCGTCACTAACGGCAAACGAGGAGCCCAGGGGCTCTTCAACTTTCAGCTTCGAACTTGAAACGCCTGATATCCAGGAAGCTACAGCAGCAGAGCTTGAACGCCCGGCAGATGGTAGCAACCTGGCTTCGGTTCAGGACATGCTAGACGGCTCGGTATGGATTGATAGCATTCGACGCAGTACGACTTTGCGCGCTACGGATAGAAGCTCTTATCGCTATGACGACTTACCCTAGATTTAGACCGCCTACACTTTTGGCCAGTTATATAGAATGAATTGAATGGAATACTAAAGAACGTGGCTCGGAACAAAATATATTTGTTTGTGTGTATTTAGTTTTGGCCAGCAATTATGAATCTAATGCCATGACGCCTTTTGGTACTCTCCTCCGTTTCCCATTTAATTTTAACGCTTTTTTATCTTTCCTTTTTATGCAATTACCATTTCCCATTACTTAGTTATCGTGTGTTGTGGATGTCCAGGACCAGAATATCCTGAGCTCCCACTCGCTTCAAGTCATCCATGACGAGCGCAATCTTCTTCTTTTCGACCATTGAGCTCATAGCAACCCAGCCATTATCTAGTGATGTGATTGTGGGAGCACGCTTTCCCGGCGTGATCTTCGTAGCCGCAGCGATGCTCGACCGCTCAATGTTGTATTGGCACAAAACATATCGCTGGGCAGTGATGACACCACGGATACGTGCCGCAATGAGGTCTACCAGGTCCGGCTTAGACGGTGAGCGAGACTTGATGAGGACAGCCACCGACTCGACAACCGTGTCGATGGCCTTGAGTCCCGCAGCTCTCATGGTCTCTCCCGATTCTACGCAGAGTTAGTTGCCAGGTTCGGAAGGTTCTTTCTTTCTTCTTTTCTTCTTTTTTTTTTTTTACACAACAACATGCAGAGTAAAGCGTAGTTACTGGAAATAGAAGCGGCTTACCAACAAGATCCACGATGCCATCGGCGACGCCTAGCGCACAAGCTGCCTCAACACTACCGCTCAGTTCGATGATCTTGGTTCGCAGTTTCTGAGGCGCAGCTCCGCTGGACTGTGCCTCCAGCTGGGCAAAATACTCTTCAGTCAGGCTGACGAAACTCGTGCCAATGGTGCGGCCGATCAGGTCTGTGCTGGTGGCGTATTGTCCCTTCTTGGGGACCTGAACTTGGAGCTTGCATGCGCCAAACTCCAGCTCCATAACCATCTCGCTGCCCGAGACTGGCGAAGAAGGATCCTCGCTGGCGGCGGCCTTGACGGCAGCATCGTGCTCCTTGACCTGGTCCCATCCCGTAATGCCAAGGTCAACGCGGCCCTGGCCGACAAACGTGGGGATGTCCGCAGCGGGCAGGAAGATGAGGGCTATGGGGAGGTTCTTGACAAGGGCGATGTCGAGGCGGTTCTCGCGGCGAAACTGGATATCGGCGCCCTCTAGGAGATTCAACGCAGCTTGGTTCAGTCGGCCCTCTGTGGCGGCACGAGCGGCTGGTCAGCAACAAGGCATTTGTCTTGGGGGGTTTGATTGATGCAGAAGCAATTGGCAGGGTGTGTGCAGCCGAAGACTAACTTTTTGGTACCGCAAAGAGCAGGCGTCCTTCGAGACTGAGGCAGGCAAGAGAATCAGCAAATTGTTGCGCGTCACTCACTATAAAAAGAGAAGAAGGAACAACGAAAGAAAGAGATAGAGGGTGATTAAAAAATTGCTATAATAGCTGTCATTGGCTTACTTGTTGACGAGATCCATTGTTGCGACGATGGTTGACTACAGGCAGATGCAAATCAAAGAAACGATATCGCCAATTGACACTTTAAAATCGGACGACGAGGTGGAAAAGTAGTCACAGAGGTAGGTGGGACTCTCAAGCTGCGTTCGAGTCATATCGGGCCCGATCTCTCATTAGCAGCCATGTTATTCTTTTGTTCCCACCACCCAAAGCGCTAAGAGTATTTTCTGCAGATATGACAAACTTTGGATTTCAAGCCTCCGGTTGCGGCGCGACTTGATTTTTTTTTAAAGCCTCGCAGGGCCAAAGAAAAGCTGCTGGTGCTGGTGCTGGTGCTACGCCTATCCAGTAAGTCGCCTAGTAAGAGCGGTAGGTACTTGGCTGGTTAGTCTGCTGTGTTCCGTGCCGGCACTGGCACTGGCGGCATTCCGTCCTGTGTCTGATGACATGACGCTGCATCTGTTAGCGGTATTTAGGCCATCGGCAGGCTATTTTAGGACAAGGCGACACGAGACGTAGCCGTCAAGTGCCATTGGTCAGGCGCTGCCAGGAACTGCAATAGTAAACTTGGAACCTGTTTCACGAGGCCGGGAATATTCAAGACTCAACTTGGACAAGAAAGAAGGGGATAGAGGTCGAATACTGGAAAGTCACAGCAACAATAATAATGTTAACACCGATATTTCAATTATCGCAACGTGCAACGTTCATTACTTTGTATATTAAATCAGGACTAAAACTTATATACTACAGGCAAACATACCTCGATTTATCCTCGCTTAGTATTTATTTATATTGTGTCCCTTCCCCCCCCAAGGAATGTCGCGCCGTCTACTATGCCAGGTCTACATCTTTTGTTTTTAAAAAAATAAATAATTAAGAAAAAAAAAAGACGCCATACAGGTGAAACGGCGATCTTGGTTAACTTGACCTGGAAAAGAGAGCCTCCCAAGCGATTAATGACGAGAAAAGGCAATAAAACAATGCTGGGAATCCCAGCTATAACATTTTTGCTGCAACGCAGTGAGCTCTTCGCCATACCCATTCTACCATCCAATGTTCAAGAGAGAAAACAATAAATAAGAAAAGACAGATGCGCTGCGACTGGTTTCGCTCTGAAAAACGAAAAAAGAATAGTTTAAATGATATGCCGCGTTCTTCAAGTTGACATTATACGCAGTATAGCATGATAAAACCGTACCTGAAGTGAGAATGCCTGAAGTCATTGCTCAAGGAATCGACAACTCTTCCATTGCCCTTGGCTTCCCTAGCATCCTTTGCGTGTATTTAAAATGCAGGTCCTAGCCCATTGCGCGATTGTCTTTTGCTGAAGCGATTCCTTTTTGCCGGTGTGGGATCCTCGACGTTTGCCTGGCCTTTGGTCAAATGACCACGTGCAGATCGATCGCTGGCGGAGAAGCCGTCAGAGCCATTCCCTCTGCCAACTAAAGTGCTGGATGGCGTTGATACCGTCGAGGATATCTCGCCAAATGCGCTATCAGCTGTTAAAGTCTGGGACAGTGCCACGTCTCTGGCTCTCTCTAGGCTTTCAATCCACTCTTCAGCAAACGCAAGATCGCCTCCTGAGCTAGACGATGATTTCGTTTCTTCAAAGGTAAAATGTTGACCACCCTGTAAAGTTTGTAAGTATCCTGACTGCCACACAAACACAATATATATAGAACGAAAAAAAAAAAAAAAAAACGGAAAAAAAGGGAGGTGGAAGAAAAAAAATTCATCGAGAGAACTTACCGTATCGAGACACCATACGTGCTGGCCCTTAGCGTCTTGATGAGGTTTCCACGTTGTGTCAGGAGCCAAAAGTGACAGCTCCTGTTTTGCTCTCTTTTCTTCACCCCCGGCTGGAGCTAGCAAAATGCGGCCGCTTGAAGTGACCATTACAAGTCTCTGTCGTTTCTTTGTTGTACTTCCGCCAAAGAATCGAGCCAGTTTCCTATGGCCCTCATCGGATCCCTTTCCATGAGATCCGTTGGGTATTGGCGTAGAAACTACCATCAAATCCCCGAGCTTCAAAATACGTTCGTTGGTTTTTGTAAGCACAGGTGACCATTCAATGTCTAGTTGTGTTGGGGGTGGTAATTCTGTGATGATGCGGGCAGGTCGGCTAGTACCATTTGATGAGCCGCCGGGCGTATTACTTGATGGCTGTGCTCGAGTATTCGAGCTAGGGTTTGCCGAGAAATTGTTGAGTTGGATGATGTTTGGCTCCGGGGTTGGAGGGACGTAGGGTCGCAGTCGTGGAGCTTTGGACCTCCATAGGAATCTCCCAAACTGCTGCCCACTGAAGAACTCATGGTTCTTGATGTGCTCAATAGTAAGTCTCCTAGCAGGGTCAAGGACGAGCAATCGTTCGACCAAGTCTCTTGCCGGAGGAGGAAACCCTTGCGGAAACTCATATTCCAGATTGACAATCTTCTGGAAAGTCAAATATTCGCTTCCAGCCTTGAAAGGCGGCCGTCCGGCCAGTAACTGGTAGATGATACAGCCAAAAGCCCACAGGTCACTAGCCTTGCAAGCATTCTTGTGCGTGAGCAATTCAGGGCTTACGTACTCAGCCGTTCCGACAAAAGAGGCGGCTCGGCCATCATCGCCGTTCCGACTATCCGAATCTGGCCCATCGCCTCCATCAGCTTTTGTATCCTGTGCGATTCGAGGGTCGGGGAGAAGCCTAGCAGTGCCGAAATCCGTGATCTTGACGTGCATTTGATTGTCAAGCAGCACATTCTCTGGCTTCAGGTCTCGATGTATAACGCCTCGGGAGTGCATGTAGTCTATTGCGTCGAGGATCTGAGCCCCGTAGTATCGTGTGCATTCGACATCAAAGGTGCCGGTTCTCTTCAACACGCCTAGTAACTCGCCGCCGTTGCATAAATCGAGTACATAGTAAAGCGATGTCTCGTCTTGAAACGTGTAGTAGAGACGAACAATGCCAGGATGCTCCGTTAGGCGGTTTAATGTGTTCTTTTCGATATTGACATACTTGATTTTTTTCTCCTTGATGATGTGTCTCTTTTCCAAAACCTTGATGGCGTATTCTTTGAGTGTTTGGCGGTCGGTTGCTAAATATACGGTGCTGTATGAACCCTCCCCAAGAATCCGGCCAAAGGAAAAATCTCGAACTCCTTTTTTGACCTGCCGAACGACAGGACGGCCGCTCTTATCGAGCTCCCGGCGTACGCTGACGGCAGCACCGCGGTCTTTCCACTCTTCGCTGGTCGTCGGAACGGGGGCATCTCCTGCAAATCCTTGGGGCTTGGTAGAGGAGCCATCTCGCTGAGAGGGCTGTCGAGAAATCACGGGTTGAGGTTCTTGTTGGAAATGAGGAGACGACCTTTGGCTCGGCACCCGGCGGGGATATTGTGACGCTGGGCCAGAGGACACAAAGCCAGGCGCTGCTGCTGCATCGGGGCCGTCTGGCCTCAGGCCGTCCGAGGAGTGTAGAATGCGTGGAGGCTGAGCATGAGGAACGTCCAGCTGATTATGGGCAGCTGGAGCGGGAGCTGGCTCAACAGGGCCAGCGCCTGGCACGACAAGCGTTGGTGGTGCGGCCGGTCTCAATTCGTCTTGGCTGGTTGGAGCATTGACAGCATCAGTGGTATCAGAGTCGTCTGGGTTGGCTATTCGTAGCCCTCCGAGCGCCTGGGAGAGGCTCAGGTCCCCATTCATCTTGACGGTCAAGGAGCACAAGATGCTCCTTGGGGATGGCGGGCGGACTCCCTATGAAACAGGGTGACGATAAACAAGTAGCCGCAGCCAGCACGGATGGCCGTGTGCTAACTCACTTCTAGCTGCTGGGTCCTAATAATGCAGTGGGCTCAGGTCTCCCTTCATCTGGCGCATTACAGGTACTATGAGCAGGTACGAAGTACCTAGCCGGTATTGGCCAGCGTCCTGAAAGAGTAAGGGATGCCCCCCCTGTACTTCAGGTACGGAACGGTACACATTAGCAGCCCGCCCCAATGTGATGTGTAAGTCAGCAACGCAGCTTGACGCGTAAAAATAGGTAGGTACTCCGTATTGTACAAGGACAACAACAGATTATGATGCCAGCCAAATACGAAGTACTTAGATAGTAGGTATACAGGGCATGTCTATTTCATTAAATAATTATAGATAGGTAGAAAGTGGGATTACAGGTTTCTCTCCCAATAAAAGAGAAAGATCTCTTGAATTCCATTTGCGCAATTCACTACCTAGTAGTACGGTAGGTACCTACAGGTAGTAGGAAAGGCAATACCAATCTACAAGCTGCCAGTATCTGGAACTTGGCATGCGCGTCCATGCCTGCAGCGTGCTGCTGCTACCGCCAAGTGATCCCGTCAAATGGCACCAACGTCCACTAACAATACTACTCCGTAAGTACTATATACCTCGGCACTATTATAGAACCTAATTTGGATGTGCCATATGACGAACATGACTTATGCTATCGCTTATCTGAATAATTTGTTGAGAACAAAGGAACCAACCCCTCCCTATAACATCGCTGCCTTCAGCCCCTAAAGATCCCTTCCCTTCTTCTTTGCACGTCATCTTCATGTTTCTTTATTCTGTACGGACGCCCTTCCTTTTGTGATCTTGCAACAAATTCGAGAATATTCTACAGAATGAAGGACCCTTTCTTCATTCCGCCAATACCATGGCTGTCCGAGCTGGTGCGGCCCTGGTGTGACCGCTTCGACCTTCCCTCGCTACCGGACCACGTTCACGAAGTCCTCCTGTCCGCCGTCTTCTATTCAATCATCTTCTGGCCGATTTCACCACTGCTGTCGCGATTAATAGCGCCTCAGCACTACTTGAAGCTGTCTCGAAAAAGACGACTGAACTGGGATGCACATGTCGTGTCATTTATCCAGAGCACGCTGATCAACGTCATCGCCATTTGGGTTATGATAGTAGACCAAGAGAGAAAGAACATGGATTCGGAAGAGAGAATATGGGGCTACACTGGCGCTGCAGGCATGGTCCAGGCATTGGCAGCTGGTTATTTCGTATGGGATCTGTACGTGACCAGCACTAATCTGGATGTCTTTGGGCTCGGGACTTTGGCGCACGCGATCGCAGCTCTGCTGGTCTATACACTTGGTTTTGTATGTTGCACCTCCAGAAATGTCATAATCTATTTGACCCATACTAACTTTCTGGGTAGCGGCCTCTTGTGAACTATTATGGATGCGTCTTCATTCTATGGGAACTATCCACGCCCTTCCTGAATGTTCACTGGTTCTTTGACAAGGTCAACATGACTGGCTCTAGCGCACAGCTTTATAACGGCATTCTCCTGCTCTTCACTTTCTTCTCTGCCCGACTCATCTACGGTACCTTCCAGTCCTTTTGCGTCTTCAGAGACATGTGGGCCGCCGTCAACGCCCACCCTACAAAGGCATTCTCCCAATCGCTCGTCATGCAGTATGCGACTTCAGAATCCACCGTCCCGACTTGGATTGCAGTGTCATATCTCGCATCAAATATCACCCTCAATACCCTCAACTTCTACTGGTTTATCATGATGATACGGGCAGTTCTCAAGCGATTTAAGCCAAATGAAGAGCATACTAGCGCTACAGAGGTCGAAGTCGACTTATCTTCGGTTGCTTCTGGAGTGTCTATGGGCACGGGGCTGCAACATCGGAAACAGGCGACGTCTTGAAATTTTGAGAAGTATGATGATCTGCCTTGGTTAGACTATGGTGCTCGTGATGTTGTCATTTAGAAGGGTATAGAGCTTATTGGGTGGGCAACGCGGCGCAGTCAGGCGACCTAGGAGGTTGCGGGTATAATATTTGCTAGTGCTATTTGCGGGGTCTATTTTAGTATCGGGTTTTAATTGCTATATAGGACTTGTCACTGTTTAACTACTTCACGCTCATGTATGAATATAAACGAACCTATTTCTCCCCCTGCGGGAGCTTATAAAATACAAGACCTTCTTTACAAGGATTATTCTATAAAAGATAAATAATACACATATGCTAGGAGGCCGGTAAGCTTCCGCTATGCTACTGAGCGGATCCTAGTTGTTTTAATAAAACTGCCTATAAACAAATAAGGCACGGTACTGAGCCATTACTAGCTTGCTATAAATTAATACTAAAATATAAGATTATTATTATTTATTAAATAACTAGCAATTTTTCTTAAAATAAAGTATTAAAATTGAAAATAAGTATTAGTTAAATATTAGTTTTTATATTAAGAAAAAAAAATATTTAAATAAAGCAAATAAACTACTATTTATTGTATATATTACTGTCCTATATGTATACGCTAGTATTATTCAGATTGCTAACGCAGTCTTATGTAATACTAGGAGTCATACTAGGTATTACTGCTAGCAGCACCTTTATAAGACCCAGCGGGCCAGTTCCCACTTAAATCTTTTTCCATCTTTATCACATCCATCATAGCGAGGCCACCTGGGGGATCATCTCCGTCGGGATCGCTATCCCGCTTATAGTTTAGGCAGCGCACTAGAGTCCTGCACCCCTACCTGACTTGGATGCTCTGTCTGTCACTTCATCCAGAGATATCCACAGGTTATGCTGGACCATCCGACTTGGACGTCGTGAAATCATGAATTCAGCCTATGGCTCTTCTGATGCGCCCCGGCAGATGCCCATCGGAGGTCATGGCTCTACGCTGGCAATGCCTCCAATCGCACCTCCAAGCTCCGCCTCCAATTCGGCGGCTCTAGATCATCTCTATCATCACCACCAGCCGCAGCCGTCACTACGCCATCCACACAGTGCTGCCCATTCTCCGATCCCGAACCAAGCTCCTCCACCACACCTTCACTCTCAGCCTCACCATTTCCCGTATCACCAGCCGCCGCATCCAGACCGAGAACAGCAGCTGCCTCCTCTTCAAGCTCCCTACGACACGCATCCGCCGGCGCCGGCGCCGGCGCCGCCTCCTCACTCGCAGCATGTCCAGCACAATGCCTTGCCACCACCGCGGCCAGACCCATCTGAGCCCAGCCATTTGAATCAGCAACATTATGCTGGCGAACACAAGGATCAACCTCAGCGTCTCCTTGATCATCCGCATAGGCCTCATGAAATATTCACAAGCATGCCTGCCAGCACCTTGATTCATTCCGAATCGCAACAAATCGGGACAGCGAACATGCTGATTCCCTTTTCAAAAGTAGACGAGGCGACAGGTCGCAGATATCAGTGGGTTGCCTCTATACTGCCCTCAGTGACTAGGTCAAGCTAATATAGTCTCCCAAGCCTTGATGTTGCCCAACAACCTCGACGAGCCCGCATGTGTGGCTTTGGAGACAAAGTAGTATTTACCTTTCCAAAAAGCAGAGTGCACTGTTAACAGACCACTAATGGCCCTGTAGGACCGACGACCAATAACACCACCACCCTGTGTGCGGCTTGTTGTCACCGACATAGCTACGGGGAAAGAGATAGACAGCAAGTACGTGTACTTTAACGCCGCCGAATATCTTCGTTCTTGCATTGGGTCAAGAATGCTAATCTGTCAACAGTGACATTGATTTTTCTATGTTTGTACTTAATGTTGATCTCTGGAACGAAGACGGCACACGAGAAGTCAACCTTGTTCGTTCGTCCACCAGCAGTCCATCAATCTCCTCCACAGCACCATATCAATATATGGGAGAGAGCCCCCAGTCAGCCTATGGACAAAGCAGCCTTCCTCCGAGCCGGGACGCAGCCTACCCTCCGCCGCAAAATGGGGGCTACTCCTCGGATTATCAGCCTCAGCCTAACTACACACAAGGTAATAATTGTTTAATTAAATATTCACCATGAAGCAGCCACGGCTAATCAATTTCGTTTGAAATGGCAGCCTCTTCAACATATCCACCTGGCGGCTCATATGGCCCACCACAGCAGTATTTCCCACAGCACCAGTCCCAACCCTTTCGCTCAGACGCAGGCGGTCCTCCGGGAACGCAGGCGAGCGTTACATCTTTTAGAGGATATCTGCCAGATCAGACCTCCCTAACGAGAATGGCTGTGGTGGGTGGGCAGCCTCAGGGCATGTTCACACGAAACCTTATCGGAAGCTTAGCTGCAAGCGCTTTTCGTCTAGCTGATACAGAGGAGCGTATAGGCATTTGGTTTGTCTTGCAAGATTTGAGTGTCAGAACAGAAGGCCCATTTCGGTAAGTCGGTTCTAATTCATACAAGTAGAGGTGCTAATTGTCTGGGCAGCTTAAGATTCTCCTTTGTCAATGTTGCCGCGCGCGGGGGAATGTCGCAGAATGGCTCAAGGGTAAACACTGGGAGGGCTCCGATATTGGCGTCCTGCTTTAGCGACGTATTTAATGTTTATTCTGCCAAGAAATTTCCTGGGGTTTGCGAGAGTACGCCATTGAGCAAGGCCTTTGCTGCGCAAGGTATCAAAATCCCGATACGAAAGGATGCAAATCTCAAGGGAGGAGATGGAGAAGATGACTACGGAGACTAGAATTTTATTTATAATATGAGGAAGCCTGTTCACTTCATTACTACGGTTATTAAACCTGAACACAATGTTGGTGGCAATGTAGAATGTTCAACATGAGAAAGATTTAACAGGAAAAGACTAGCTTATGGCCTAAGAAGCTCTCAACTATAGCATACTAACCAACCCTTTTAGAACTACTGAATGCGTAAATTAGACATGATCTGTGATTCTATCACGTAGAAATACATTTATGTGTCAGAACATATATTATATATACATACATACGGTTCTCTATAAGCCAAAACTATCAAGCAATGACGCAGCATCTGGCTCATGAAAAGTTGAGGGTGGCGCTACAGGATGCTTAACCTGTTCACGCTCGGCCAATATCTTGGCGTGTAACTCAGACGTGTGAAGGTCGTTGACGACGAGTGAGCTTCTTCGCCTCAAGAGCGCCAATGGGTTTATATCGCCTCCTATTCTAGGCGTTGTCTGTTTTTGGAACTCCCATGTACGAACTATGAATAAGACTCTATTAGCTTTTCTGTTCATTGAGAAAAAAAAAAAAGGATCACAGGTTCAAGAATGCATACCTAAGCTAAGACCAAGGAGATCGCAGCCCATACGATCATAGAGCTTTGCGCTGTGAAGAACAAATTCCCATTCTACTTTGGGCGACACTTTGGATGCGCCTCGTAGCGTCTGTAGTGTTTGCTGTCGCAGCTGGGAATAGAGAACGACTAGAGCAGGATCGTCGGCTAAGAACGATCGAGACTTCAAGTCAGGTGAGGAAGGCGTTTCAAGGAGAGTATATATAGGGGTCTGGTATATCCGTCAGCATTCTTCACTGGTTTATTTGAAAAAGGGTGGGATTTAAGGCGGCAATACTCACAGCTAGCGCCCTCACAGCCATATCTTTTCTGCCCAGCATCCAAAAGGCCCAAGATGCAAGCCAGCGATTGCCCTCATGCGATGCCACTGTGAGGACTTCTTCCTGCAGCACTTTTCGCAGCACAGGGCCGTCATTGCCCTCATAAACGCGAGTGATTGCAATGGCCAGCTGTAAATCTTTTAACTGCCGGAGACAGACCTCGACCGCGTCTTCCAACCGGTCAGCTAATAAAAAGAAAGCTGCTGCGTACTCTATTGTTTGCGAACATTAGAACCAAAAACGTTGTGTTTTAATAGGATTTCAATGACTTCAACATACTAAATCGTCGCTTGCTAAGAAGAGCATATGCATTTTTCAATGCCGCTGTACGCCATCTTGCCTCCTCAAAGTCATGAGCCAAGAACCGCTGAGTCGTGATTTGTTCTTTATCACCGCCGGCCATACGCCAAAGCCCCTGAAGTACTGCTTTCTTGCGAAGCGCAATGTAGAACAAGCTACAGTTCACTGGGTTTCTGTTTCCATCCTTGGTATATTCGTTTCTGGCAACCGCTTCGAATTGTCGTTGCTATCCAAAAAGTTAATATCTTTGTTCTGCTCACACTCTTTGAACTGATCTACAAACCAAGTGTTGTGTGTCGGTAAGCCACATAAAAATACCGCTCTCGCGAGCGTGCTCCCATAACATAACGTTATGGTTCTGTCGAGACACGAAATCAGCGAGAATGTCTTGACTTTCGGAGTGGTATGCCCAGTTGATCTCTCTCCAAGAAAGCTGTATCTCATTGGTGCGTCCTTTACGAAGCGCGTGCTGCCGGAAGAAAAGCATAAAGCGAGCCCCGTTCTCGTCTATAGATCGGCGCTCTCGCTCAACCAATGCTACACATTCGATCATATCTACTAGCTGAATCTGCTCATGACCAGAGAGTTGGGGGACACCTAGCCGAGTGAGCTTCTCGTTAATGGATGTCGCAATTTCTTCGGTAAAGACTTCAGTATCTTCTCCATTGGTGGCTTTGTCTGAAAAATCGAAACCTGTGTGAAATGCTCGATTGGCATTCTCCTAAGCCTCCAGTTAGCAAATGGGATTATAAATATAGAGTGAAATATTCATACGGAGGTTGGTTGATAAAATTCTTCCAACTCTATTCCAAGGTAGTTATCCACAGATTCTCCTGGCACGAGGAATTTCAATGTTTTATGAAGTTCCACAAGGATTCGTCGCACAAGCTCATTCCTTCCTGCGAGGATACATTGACTTAGGAACTGAGGGTGAAAAACGGGGAGGGGGCCGTTAAATCTCTGTACTGCTTCAAAGAGATCCCATGTGCCATCTTGAAGATGAGGCAGTCTAAGGTCAGTAGTAAGGGATTCTTCGGCAGTAACCCGTCGGTCATGGACGAACAGCTGATTGCCGGCCCCAATAAGCAAATAGCCATTATCTAGCCAAGTTGAATCTCCGATTGGATGAGGTGTCAGCTCACGAATACTAATCTCACGGATTGGTATCCAGGCAGCGCCCTTGTTCAAGTAGTCGAATCTCATTTGTGATAGGAGGAGGACACGATATTGGAAGCCAACCGCTAATATGGATTGAGCGTCAGGAGTTGAAGTCCAATCCAAGTCTTGAATTGAATCTTGTAGCTGATAGTCTTGGTCAAACTCAAGACGAGCTCCGCCAACATCCCATATGGCAAGCCTCGACCTATCCGACTTTACTATTGCAGCCTTTTTGAGCATGCTGCCGCTAGCTAGTGATGGATCTGCAAATCCTGTCTCAGTACTACATGTTAATAACCAATCGACTTTTCTGCGTTCTAAATCGACACGAGCAGTCCAGAGGCCAATCCGGCCGGTTTGCGTACAGGACATGGCGATATCACGGGCAAAAATATCCAGGAAGCCAGATGATATAGGTCCAGAACCAGCAGGATCAACAGGAAGCACATACTTCAAATCATCAGCAGACTTGAGGTTAACCTGGCTAAATTCCTTGAAACCGACATCCAAAGTAGTTGCTGAATCCTTTGCATAGTTTGGAAGGCTGAGCTCCCAGACAATGCCACGCCCTTTGGACGTTATCATGGCAATATGCGCAGTCCTATAATCAGCATCTTGCGGCTTGGGCAAAATGATGAGACAAAGAGGATCCCCCGGCGCCTCATACGTACTCTGGGCAAGGCTGATCCCCCTTTCATGTCGGCAGTCCCATAGTGAGATGACAGTTTTTCTGAGGAAGACGACGAAGCGGCCTTTACGAAGGACGCAAATGCGATGGATATGTCCAGTCTCCGGAATAATGCTACGGCGACTGAAATCAAGAGCGCAATGTGAGGACCCGACGGGATTCGTCGGCGAATGTTCCCAAACGATGGTCTCACCATGGCTTGTTCTCGACACCACTGCTCGACCGCTAAAATTGCGCACTATTTTCTTGATCGAAGCAGAATGCCCGGACCATACTGAATGGAGTAGCAATCGCTTATCATTAGCCGTAGGATCAAACAAATCTGCTGCACTGCATTCAAATATAGCTATCCTGCCGTCGAAGATGTGCAGCAGTATCCGCAGCTGTCCAGTTTTCCGATTGCAATACGTCTCAATTTGCACATGCGAAATATCATCCGGATGTAGAAGGCTAGATAGATTCTCTAACCCTGGTGATATTGTTTGAGCGATATTGAAGATTTGGCGGTCGTCGGTCGAGGTGCTACCAACGTTTTCCAGAGCCCAAGCCGTTAAAAACCCGGATCGGTTCATAGCGAGACATATCTCGGGACTCCGATTTGCAATAGCTACCAAGTGGTCTAGTGCTACATCATCAGTGCTGCTATCATCTGCCATTCGTTGCTCGATGGCCCTCTCCACGGAAGCAGTGAAATCCCGCCCATCGATGATGCAGGCCAGCCATGGTTCCTGTTGAGAGACATCGTTCGGTATTGACTCAGTAATGTCAATTTTACCCCAGAGGTGCCATTGCCAGCCTTGTAGCGTGTCGGTTGGAATCCACACACGTACGTAACCATCTAGGCAGCTCGTATATAAAACATTGCCCGTCGCTTGTTCGACGTGGAACGGTTTGCGCCATCTGATGTTCGTAACGACATCTGGGTGAGGAAGGTAGGCCAAATCAAATCGAACATCGTCGGAGCCATACGTCAAACGGCGCCAGACTTTGGCCAGGTAATCATGATGACCGACAGATGCAATATAAGCCGAGTCGTATGACAGCGCGGCTATCTTGGCAGGGCTGGGAAGTAACTGTTCCCAGGATCGGCCTGAGTGCTCCCCTGTGCAGAACAGAGACAAGTAGTCGCCAGCAACTAAGAGCTCCTCTGAGCTGCCCCAAGACAATGCGCATGCTGTTTCTGAGTCGTCGCGAGGGATGTCAAAGGTAAGTTGCAGTGCCCACTACTAACATGTGAGCTCGAATAATCACAAAAGCTGCAAACGGCCTGGGTGATGTGACCTTTAAAGCATCCTCCTGTAGACCTCCAAGTGGTTTGTAGACTCGAACTTGCGTTGCCGTGCTTGTAGCTATCTTGCCCGTTAACTCGTCGATGGCTATCGCCTCTAGCGGTTCGTCATTTTCGTCGTATATGGTCTGAAGAATGGTTTGTAGTCCGTCAAGAATGGTAAATGCATTTCCAGTGATGTATGCCTACACAGTAGTATCAGCATATGGTAGGCTCGTGTAAGGTCGAGCTTCGTGCGTCGCAGACGAGGGTGGCCTTACATTCAAGTGTAGGTTGTTCCAATAACCAATAGCCAGACCTTGAAGTCTTGACTGCGGCTTACCCGGCAGGACGACGCTCATGCTACTGGATGACGGAAATCCAGCAGGCCAGCGGAAGGTTGTCCAGATTGAAGTTCGAGAGATGAAATGGCGATAAGCATGATAATGTTGAAGCTTGTATGTAAGTGAGATCAAATGACGTTGTGGTAAATTAGCAGCGGAGCTTAGCGCATTCAGCTATCAGCAAGCCACTAAGGCTTATTTCGAACTCTACAGGTCAGTCAGTCCTTATAAGGGCCGACTCAAAACACATGTTACTTTCATGCAGTTTAATATAATAATCATTAGTATTGGAATGAAACACGAAGCTGATAGGCATGTAATGCTTCTTTAACTAGAGGCCTCGTGAATGGTCTGTTTCTGCGTTCATATCACTTCGTAGGAGGAACAACATCGTGAGTATTGGTTAGGTATAAATTAAACTTGTACTGAGAACCAAATAATTTGGAAAAGGGTACCTAGTTTTGCCGGTAGATTTACGATAGACAGGAGGTCATTAGCTAAGGCGCTACTGCGTACTCTGTACATGCTCATTTAGTAGTATGTCTCCGGGCCGAGGCTGGACTAATCTCAAATCGGACATCGTATAGCAACTGGTGCGCAAGTAACTACTACTTTGTGCCGCCCAGCAGCGACACTCTGTGAGGAGTGCACACCTCAAGGTCCCGCTCAATTCTTCTTGCGCAGCCTGTTGGAACATTCACAAAATGTCTAACCCGTCACAGCTTTTTTTATTAGCTGATCATATAAAGCTATCGCTGCTCGAGTGGCAGCGTGCTCAAAATCTCGATCCCGACGACAACTCCCACAATAGCGACGTCTCGCGTTCGTTCGACCAGCTGCGAAATGGCATTGCTTCGCTAGAACAGGAGAGCGCTCGCCTCCAAGAGGCCGGCGATGAAGCGTTTGTCTCCCCCTTTCGCCGCATATATCTACAAGATCGCGGCATTTACTATTGGTCTTCTCTTTATACTAATTCTCACCAGGGCCTCCCAAGCCATTACTGAATCTCTTCCGGGACTGCATAAACAGTTTGACGAGTTAATATCTCAGTACCATTCTCTTGCCGGCTCATCCTCTCAAGAACCCGGCGAAGAAGCAGACGAACTCTCGTCCTCGGCCAACCCAGCTGCTCGTAAATCAAAAACCGTACGGTTTAGCGAAAACCCCCCTTCGCCGACCCAGGAGCTTTTCGGCCGCTACCGCGATGATCCGAATGCCGACCCTGAATCCCTCGGATATAGCGACCATGCTGCTGGATTATCCAACCAACAAATACACGCATATCATTCACAAATTTTACAAGAGCAAGATGATCACCTTGATCGCCTAGGAGAGTCCATAGGGCGGCAGCGGGAACTCAGTATGCGCATTGGTGATGAACTAGAAAGCCACATGGCCATCTTGGAAGAGGTTGACGAAGCTACTGATCGCCACTCCAGCCGACTAGATCGAGCCAAGAGGGCTCTGGGGAGAGTGGCGAAAGGTGCTTCGGACAACAAACAAATGGCGATCATTTTCGCTCTCATTGTTATTCTTGTGCTGCTAATCGCTATTTTGAAATGATCTTACTACTGCATGTCACTGCTGGATTATCATACAATATCGGTGTTGGCGTTGGCGTTGGCTTGGCGTTGAAGAAATCAGTTGGTCCTAAATCTTTGCATGCTTGGGTGTGATATCTCGGTTGCTTTTGCTATGGCACACCAACTAATCCCATAGATCACTCACACAATAATCACCATGATCGAATTTTGGCTTCCCTTTCAGGGAGAAATTTATTTCTCACACTAGTACTATATAATTAGGTATGATAGTGTTTCTTGTTCTTACAATCTAGAATTCGCTTCACGATGACTCTGTTCTGCATTTATTATGTAGCAAGTTAAAGGTGTGCCTTCACCGAATCACATCCCCTTCTTTGTCAATACCCTCCAGACTTTCGAGAATGTCACTACCTCCCAGCATCCCCGTTCCCCTTCCTACGATCTTCCCTTCATTACACCAAATTTCATGAAATTTCACACTCTTATCGCTTGAAGCAACAACAATGCATCCCTCGCGAGATTTTCGATCAGGGTGCGCTGTGTTTGACTTTGCCGAGCGTCGGGGATAAGAGATGGCGTACAGAGCACGAAGTTCTCCCTCCCATGGAATCGCTGCAACCTGCTTGCATTCTGGCCAGCTGAAAATGGCAATGCGGTACGGATGCTCTGGCTCTGTATATCCAAAGGTAGCAGCGATCTCACGTCTCGTCGATGACCAAATAAGAGCTGTCACCTGAGCCGAAACTGCAATGGTAGCTAAAGCTGAGCCTGAAGTTGTATGGAAGAAGTGGATGCATTTATTATTAGACCCACCACCCGTTGCAACCAGTCCTTCGCGCCAAGGGCAAAATGCAATGGCCTTGACTGCAGCTTTGTGTATCCAGCGATGCTTCTCTGATCCAGGGCCCAGTCTCCGGATTGGGGTGGACAATGGCCTTGCGGGGCGGTCGTCGACTGCATCCTCCTAGTCAATAGCATTATCTTGCTTGAGCAGTCGTTCTGGAGATGATGTGCAGCCTCTAGTCTGGCCAACATAACCTACTTTGGTGCTTTCAGTTGCCAAATGCCATCCCGACCATCGTGAGCTGTTTGGGGCGGATTCCTGTTTTTCGACAAGCACGCTGTCTGTATTAAAGAGGCAGCATAGATTATCGTTTCCCCCAGAGGCAAAAAGCTTCCCGTTTGGTGACCAGGCCAGACCGCATATCTGCTGGCTATGGGGTGAAACTCTAGCAATAAGATAAATTGTCCCAGGCCAGGTATCTCGTGTAACCTCCCAGCCCATCGGCCACTCTACTACATAGTAGTATATCACACCGGTATCATCACCGACAACCAAATCTTCAGTCTGCACGGCAATGCCGGGGTTAAACGGGTTTCTGGAAGGCCTCATGGTGTTTATCGGACGCCAACTCACGCATGATATTGGAAAAGGCTGTTGTACCTGGAAGCGGGAGAGACTATCATAGATGGACTTGAGCACCAAGGATCCATCTGAACGCCCGATAGCTAGGATGCAGTTCCCTCCTTGAACAGAGGAGAAGGATACCGATGTCAGCCATACATTATTCGAAGGAGATCCATGCATGGGCCGAGGCCCCGTCCCTTCAGACCAGACATATAAGACATTTCCGAGGCCGACCGCGAGCTTCTGGCAGACTGGTGAATAGGCCAACACGGAGCAGTAATAATCATCACGCAGGTCCGGGGCATCGAGAACCCTTTGATGAATTAGCTTGAACCGATAGACCTATAAGCTATCTCGGAATTTCAATTACCTGAAGGGAGCCGCAGGAAGAGACCGACGTGGCGACGGAGTGTAATTCCCTACTGAAAAGTTAACAATTTACACGCTGCTTGGTATGGACACTGCAAATATGGTCTCATACGGGGACTCTCGTATATATCGTTATCATTATTCGCGCATGTCCAAGAAGCATGCTCCACGTCTGCTAACATGGACATTGCGCGAATGGGAAAATCAGGGGTGGCAGGCTGGCAGCAAGTAAAGTCCAGTACTCGGCGAATACGGTCAATTCTTAGCGCAGACGCGACGCGGCCGTGGTAAAATGGTGAATCATCATCACGGCGACTGGGCCTCGTTGTATTCACAGACATGGTGAAGAGACGAGCCGGCGTGCTACTTCGGGCTGGTCGACGACGGTTACGATCTATCTCCAACGTCTCTGTTCCGGGAGCTAGGCCGCCTACTATCCATACGTTTCCTTGGCTTGGCTGTCTCGTGGCCGAGTAGATGAGTGAAGGAGGGCTCATCGCTATCAATCTCGATCAGCAAACCAGCTTCCACAGCTCTACCTCCTCCCCCCTTTTGGGTGGAGCTGGACAGACCTCGGCCCTGGGATTGACCAGCCAATGCTACGCGAGTTTCGCCAAAAACATGTGCTTGAGGACGCTGCGGCGTTGAGAATGGAATCAAAGGAGCCCTCTTCCTTCTCAGCAACTTCTCGGTCGGGGAGAGGTCTTGAAGAGACTTTGTTGTCTGATACACCTGCCTGCTGGGCTCATCACTATCCCGTCGAGGCACAAATCTGTCTGGAGTGCGAAGACATCCACCGCCACATTTCTGTCGAAAGGGGGGCGTACTCGTGACATCTTTGCTACCGGACGCTAGGTTCAACTGCTGCGGCTTCCACGCCAGGAATGGGCGATAACGCGCCAGACCTGAGCATGAGCCCTGAGATAGCTTCGGCAGTCGTTCTGGTATAGCGCATGAAGCCTCCGCCTTGGATCTCTCGGCTGATGTTCTTGGGCCATGATATGATCCAATTTCAAGCTCATCACTATGCGAAACAAAGCTGCCCCTAGAGTGATGGGGCGAGATTGGCGAGTCTGCAGAGCCTCCATCTATTGATCCATATCCAGAGTCAGATCTAGGAAATAGGCAGGTGACATTTGTTGCATTCTGGTCTTCATGCCGAGTATAGACCGCATTATTCGTCACTAACTCGAGCGATATTGAAGAAGTCATGGCACGAGCCAAGCACTGCCTGTAGGCCCACCCACGGCGGCCCTCGAGTCGCTCCAGCTAGGCGAAGGCGAGATTGTGTAAATGCTGCTGCCTAACTGACGACACATGGAACTGATTATTGTGAATGTTCTCGGCAGCAAGGAGCTGGCTCGCTAGACACCAATACCTAGCGATCAGTTCTGTAATAATACAAGGCTGTGTGATGTACGGATCGCCCAGCCGACGACCAGTTAATTCAACATCGTAGCCACGAATGCTACAGATACCTTGATGCTCGATGGAGGGGGGGGGGGGGGATAGATTGTAGGGAGAGGGAGAGTAGTCTTACGGCCAAGAAGAAACATGGTTGTTGCTGGCAAGATAGAGTTGCGGATGGTGTATGCTCTTCTTGCCCGCTTTGACAGTCAATGTTGCATCACATTTGCTGCTGCTCATGTTTGCTGTTGACGACTGCCGCACAAGCGGTTTTCCTTTTGGAATATTACCTCGGCCTTGTAGGGATACACTTGTAATGTTAGTGTCTGGGTGCTTTATGCTAGCTGAGAACGGAAGGTAAGTGGTGGCAGACTGATGCATGCACGTATATAAGGCTCCAAGGCCCGTACCAGGACCTGCTTACTACTTACTTCTAGGATAGGCATCTTGGTAACCTTGGCAGCTGACAGATGCTCGTCACCAGTGGTACTGTAATCAGTTCCAACACATGCTGCTTGGGTGGTGGTATGATTTGCTATGTCAAGAGCGTTATAAGCCATATCGTGGACTCTACCAACAGAAGCTGTGATTCTATCAACCAGATACTATTGCCAGGATCTAGGTACTGTATCTACGGGGAATTATCTGCTAGTAGTAACAGTGCCTGTAGCGGCAATACCGATACTGCTACTCCGTAGTACTACTATTACCTACTACAAGTACTTCGGTATGTAGGTGTGGTAGCAAGTTGCTCAGTTGCCCAGCAATGGGTAAAATGCTAGGCGGCATAGTGATTGTAGGGTTGCATAACGGCTATTTAACTCACCATAAAGATCTTGGATTATTGGAAAAGCTACGCCACTACTCCGTAAAGGGTTCATGTTAACGTGCAAGAGCATAATGTTTACCTTAATTACTAGCTTATATCGCATTTTAATTCGCGCCGGCCACTTGCTACCCCACCTGACACAGGCAAGCAACTCCTTTGATGAACGACGATTCCCCATTTGGTAGGTAACAGCAATTAATCCCGACTACCGCTTGTCAGTTAAATCACGTAGCTAATCCGGCCCCTCTAGGCTGGGTCATCCTCTCCCTTAGGTACCGGCGCTTGCTAGGACGTGATAGCTTAAAAGTGCCAGGTGGTGTTTCACTCCTCCCATAGTACGTTCGTTGGGCTCCCTGTAAAAGTTAGAGGCCATCCTGCATCTGCTTTGCCGTCAAGCTTGTTGCAAGGCATTGGGTCGATTGGTCTGGCATTGCAACAAGTACTACCTGCCAGGCGGTAGCAGCAGCATACCTAGTAATCGTACCCAGTCTAAGTGGTCTGGGCAAATTCCTAATACCAAGGCATGTCGTGAAATATCCCTGGGTTTAACTCGTGGAGGCGCCTATTTACAGAGATGCCTTCGTCTAGCGACAGCTCCAATGTGGCCGTCATGCTCTACTGTAAGCGCTCTCTCTGCGTTCCTGCAGAGCTCCCCATGGGGTTGCTGTGAGGAGACCACACGGACTGCGACCTAAAGCCTTTCCTTCTTCGCAGGCGCCCGCTCTGATTCCTCCCCCACGGAGCTGCTTCGGCTGCTTCCTCTCCAGGGTATAGCAGAGAAAGCGCCTTCGATAAGGCGACCAACGTAAGCCTATACTCCGTCCTTGTAGTAGATATGACCTGTACATACTAAGTAGGTAGGTACCCAAGTATATACAAGATGGGGGTCTAATTCCCTAGCCTCGGGGCGCTTATCCAGGCAGGTCTCGCAGTGCCCTGTTATCTCCTGCCCAAAGAGGAAAACTGGCAGCGTCCTGGACGCGGCTTGAACGAACCTCATCTGTGGCGGCGGTGGGCCCTTGGCTGATGGATCACGCTCACGCTCACGCTTGAGAGGATATTGCAGCTGTGGAATGGCTAGCGGAGCCTCAGAGCTCGAAATACCACGTTGTAGGCGAGGCGAACTTGGAGATTTTGGCTGCGTTTGCCGATGGCAATGAGCCCTATTCCAAGATGCATATCATTGCGGCAGCACGGCGCATCACCAGCTGCATAGACAGGGCGTGGCAAGTGGCATCTGCAGCTGGCAGCAGATCGGGCGCATGGGCAGCCTCTCGCTAACTGTGACTTCTTGGAATGGGCTGGCGCTTCGCTGTGCGCCTGGGTTCTTGGCCCCTGAGACATTCCCTCCCCCCGGGAAGTCGGGTGCCTCTAAGCATATCGGAGAAATGCCACCATCAGCAACGTTGCTAGACTTGGCGAGGTGCGGCATAGTTTAGTGATATTGCGCCGGGGCTTCCCCTGGATATGCTTATCTTCTGAATCTGGGGAATCTTGGAATTCTACGAGTCGACAGCCGCCGAGAGTTGGGCACGGGACAGGGGGCTCCTGCACCCGTGGAGATGATGGCACTCTTCTGGAGCAGACAAGTGAGCATAACGTTGCGATTGATCATATTGGCAAAGCATGGGTTACATACTCGTGCTAGGAACCTGAAAGGGAAGCTTCATAAGTCAACTTTGGACATCGTAGAACAATAGGAGGCTCCACATTGACTTATAAATATCCTGCATGTCCATCTGGCACTTCAGACGAAAATTCCATCCAGCAGCGGCAACTTGGAGAGCTTCCATTCAACAGCAACTTCTTCCCTTCAAAGCCTCTTTGATAAGCTTCGCTGAATCTCAAATACATCACCATGTTGGGTTTCCTCGGAAAGTCCGTGGCCCTGCTTGCTGCGCTGCAGGCCACTCTCACCTCTGCATCTCCTGTGTCTACAAACGACGTCTCAGTTGAGAAGAGAGCCAGCGGATACGCAAACGCTGTCTACTTCACCAACTGGTGAGTGAAGCTAACTCGTGGTCATGAATTTCAGGGCTAACTATGGGCGATTAAAGGGGTATCTATGGCCGCAACTTTCAACCCCAGGACCTGGTTGCGTCGGACATCACTCATGTCATCTACTCTTTCATGAACTTCCAAGCAGACGGCACTGTGTAAGTTTCGAAGCCAAGAGTTTTCCATCTATATTCAGTCGCTGACCTTTTCAACTATAGTGTCTCTGGAGATGCCTACGCCGATTATCAGAAGCACTATTCTGACGATTGTATGACAGCTCTTTCCCCTTAGTACTCCAACTTTGAGCCAATGCATATAAACTAACATCTATAATAGCCTGGAATGATGTCGGCAACAACGCATACGGTTGTGTGAAGCAGTTGTTCAAGTTGAAGAAGGCCAACCGCAACTTGAAGGTTATGCTCTCTATCGGTGGCTGGACCTGGTCCACCAACTTCCCTTCTGCAGCAAGCACCGATGCCAACCGCAAGAACTTTGCCAAGACGGCCATCACCTTCATGAAGGACTGGGGTTTTGATGGTATTGACGTCGACTGGGAGTACCCTGCCGATGACACCCAGGCCACCAACATGATTCTTCTGCTCAAGGAGATCCGATCTCAACTAGATGCCTATGCTGCGCAATACGCTCCAGGCTACCACTTCCTGCTCTCCATCGCTGCCCCCGCTGGACCAGAGCACTACTCTGCGCTGCACATGGCCGACCTTGGTCAAGTTCTCGACTATGTCAACCTTATGGCCTATGACTATGCTGGTTCTTGGAGCAGCTACTCTGGACACGATGCCAACTTGTTTGCCAACCCGTCCAACCCCAACTCTTCACCATACAACACCGATCAGGCTATCAAGGCTTATATCAACGGAGGCGTTCCCGCAAGCAAGATCGTTCTTGGCATGCCTATCTATGGACGATCTTTCGAGAGCACTAACGGCATTGGCCAAACCTACAGTGGAATTGGATCTGGAAGCTGGGAGAACGGTATCTGGGACTACAAGGTTCTTCCCAAGGCCGGCGCTACAGTCCAGTACGACTCTGTCGCACAGGCGTACTACAGCTATGATTCTAGCAGCAAGGAGCTCATCTCTTTCGATACCCCTGACATGGTCAGCAAAAAGGTCTCTTACCTCAAGAATCTCGGCCTGGGAGGCAGCATGTTCTGGGAGGCTTCTGCTGACAAGACTGGCTCCGACTCCTTGATCGGAACAAGCCACAGAGCGCTGGGAAGCCTGGACTCAACTCAGAACTTGCTGAGCTACCCCAACTCCCAGTATGATAACATCCGAAACGGTCTCAACTAAAGACCCTTTCTTCTTCTTCTATGGTTGTACCAACATTTCAGACGTTATGGGAAACGATTATGCAGGGAGCGTTATTTTTGAGTAAATAGTTGCCTATTTATATGAATCTGTACATAAAACATTAGTATATAAGGAGACATGCAGGATCTGGAATTGACTACCGTCCCTCTCACTTCCCTCCACATATTTCTCAACATACGAAACGGTAGAATGCGGTACTTGCTTTGAAATTGAATTCTTGTGGTTTGTTTTCTACTTGGTGTTTACAAAGTGGAGGGAATCGTTATTAACGGTAAAATACAGCAGGCGATATATTTGCCAAACGAAGATCAAGTATTGAATAAAATGTAGCTGAATTTGACCAAACCATGAAATATCCATTCAGGTATTTTTGAGGGAAAAAAAGGGAAAGAGTGGCGGATGCTTTGTGCGACTCCTTGTATCTGATCTTTGTGGCCCCTTCCATGGTATTAATTCCTTATTCATGCTGTACGTATTTCGACCTGGCTTTTGTTGGAAGGAACGAACGTTGATATGTTTATTATTTAAAGTTTGGTCATGCAAATAGACTTATATAAACACGTCGTACATGGCACACCGTACGGACCAAACTTAGTTCTCTAGTGATCTCCAAAACACTCATTTTACGTTCGTCTTCTTCATTCTTCAACAGCTTTCAGTTTTGCTGCGGCTTGTGATTTTGATGCACCGGATGTGTCGCTAGTACTTGCGATAACTTGGGTTGCAAGTAGTGATACGGGGTATAGGGGACCTATGTCGCGCTAGCAGTGGGCATTTTGCTAACAAGATTAGCGCTTGCACGTGACTCGGATCGTAGCCGTGTTCACGACGCGGTATCACTTTACACCAACGTGAGTCGCAATCGTTTTTGGTCCTTGAGTGCCCGTCACACTGCGACTTCAGCCCAAAATGCAGTCACAGTACCGTGCTTATGCCCAGCAGGCGCCACAGCGATCGCCGCATCCCCCCAACCAGCGGCGTGGAGGGATTGGTATGATTTTCCAAGCCTACAGGCCAAATCGCATTTCGTCTAACCAGCCCAGGACCCATGATGTCGTCTGGACCACATCCCTCTGTTCCTCTCACACAAGCGCAAATTGCGCAACAACAACAAGCGCAGGCGCACGCTAGCGAACTGGCGAAGCGAAGAAGCCGCAAACCGACAGACAAGAATATTCCCGATGGCGTGGAGGATTGTATCATCGATCCCGATGGCGTCAAGAGATATGCCGAATTGAGAGAGATTGAGAGGTTGATTGACGCTACCATAACGCGGAAGAGACTGGACGCGCTTGATGACGCAAAACGAAGCTCCAAGGTCGCATTTATCCCCCTTTCTACTGTTTGCTTCGAGTTTTGTATAGCCCTACTGACAGTTTCTTAGTTGCGAAAAACGTTGCGAATCTGGATTAGCAACACTACCGAAGATCAGATCTGGCAGGGAGAAAGTCTCAATGCGGATTCTTTTGACTTTACTCCGGCTATGGAAGCATCTTACCGCGTGAAGATTGAGGGTTACCTCTTAGACGAAGACGATAGCGTGGTTGACCAACCGAAGAACGACCAGCCAGAGGACAAACCCGCTGGTACAGAGACGAATCAAATGAAGCACCGATTTTCGCATTTTTTTCAATCTATTTCTATAGAATTTGATCGCTCCCGGTTCCGGAGTGGTTCTGAGCACACGGTAGAATGGAGAAGGCCAGAAGGCTCGCAAAATCAAGCAGCCCCTACTGCGCCAACCGATGGCGACTTTGACGAATTTACTTTTAAGCGTAATGGCGACGAGAATATCAACATCACGGTCAATCTACAGAGACACGAGTCACCCGAGCGATACCAACTAAGCCCTGAGCTGGCGCAAGTAGTTGATATGACCGAGGCGACACAACATGAGGCTGTTATGGCCCTGTGGGAATATATAAGGCTCTCAGGGCTGCAAGAAGATGAAGAAAGGCGCAATTTTCGGTGCGATGGCTATTTGAAAAAGGTTAGCATCGTCGCCTTCCTCTTAACTTTCGATTTGTGATTACTAAATAATCTAGGTTCTTGGACGAGATTCGGGCATTATACCGATGCTCAGTGAATATGTAATGCCACATCTTCGCCCCTTGCCTCCAATATCTCTCCCGTATACAATTCGAGTGGACGAAGAATTCCACAGAAATCCCCAGCCTACGGTCTACGACGTTCAAGTATTGGTAGAGGATCCAGCCAAGGCAAACTTGCGTCCGATATTGAATAATCCTCAATACGCAACCACACTGAAGCAGGTTACCGCGCTAGATGAGCAGCTGGCAAGGCTTGTGCAAGCAATTTCCATGTCCAAAGCCAAGCACTCATTTTTCACATCGCTGAGCGAAGACCCAGCCAACTTTGTTAAGAGCTGGCTCAGCTCACAAAAACGCGACCTTGAGATTATCATGGGAGAAGCAGCAAGCGATGCTGAAAATGTTGCCGGTGATGAGTGGCGGCGGGGCGGAAATAATAGTGTGTGGAACAGCCAGAACGCCAGGGAGAGTGTCAACGTGTTACTCTCTAGGCAACGATGAGTAGCTTTGTGTGATGGTCTGAGGTTAAAGTGGACGTCATCGTAGATGTCTGGGATGAGGAATGGGAGGGAGGAAGTGAAAGTTGCAACAGTAAGTCATGAACTGTTGCTCGGAAATCTACGGTATAGATAAAGGGCCGCCTGGGTGTGGTATTTATCCAGCGAACTTATTGCCTGCACTCTGAATCAATTTGTAATATTATCTTTTCTAATGGCATGCCTTGACCCGCAGATGATTTGATGTGGCCCTAAACTCCACGGTATTAATAAACTCCAATACAAAATGAAAACTGAGAGCAGGGTTTAAAAAAAAATTAGAAGGATGGCCAGCAAGACGCTCATTGATAACGCTTCCAACTATGCACGCTCTCCCAAAGAATCGAGATAAACTATGATGCGCTAACAGAGCGTTGAGAGACCACAGGAGTCGATGGCATATTACGAATTTGCTTTATCAAAAATTCTCGTTCATCAATAAATTGTTCGTCATCAGTTCGATCCTCAAGGAAATGCGCCAGGAAGGTCAAGAGTTTCTCGCGGTTCATGAGCAAGATCTTTTGAACAGCGATGGATTTGTGAGGATTCGCAACGAACACCTTGAACACGTGAAATCCTTCGTACTGGACCATTTTCCTGTCGTCTCGGAGAAGGTTCATGCATATTTTTAGATGCTCGCCGCTGTCAACGTACGCCGTCATGACGCTGTAGTTGGACCGGTCCAGCAGGAGTTCGCCAAGGAGTTTGATAGACTGTCGCTTGGTGACATAGCTGTTCGACTGCACCAGGGTATTGTTGTACTTGTCAAAGAAGAGGTCGAAGTTGGTGGAGAGATATTTCGGAATCAAGTCTTTGTGCCGCGTCAACAGCTCCTGTCTCACAGTTAGAACATCCCGTTTCAAGTCTTTTGTGTCTGTTGTAGCATTGTTTCCCCACCCGAAAGGTCGTAAAGGCATCCGCAGCTACTTCAAAGGAGCTCTTGTTGATCCAGTCGAAAAACCTCCAGAAAACGCCTCGGCCGCTCTGGGGTCGGTTGCGGTCAATGGCAGCAAGCCCCTTGCAGCTGGATCCAGGTTCATCGCCATCGTCGTATAGGATTATGGCCGCCGCAGCCTCGTTTTTTAGAAGCTCTCGAAGAACCGATCCCGCTGGAGTGGCGCTCTCCTTGTGGTCGTAGGCGCGACAGAGCTCGACTAGGACTTGCGGCCTGTTGCACACCACGTACGACAGGGCGATGGGGTCGCTTTTTGGCGCTGCCGCCGCGGGCCGAAAGCGAAATACATAGGAGAAGATGACTTGAGTATCCTTTCGCGATTCAAACGGTAGGCGATAGAGGTTGGTAGCTAGGAGGTGGAGCAGGTCCTCGTCTATCAAAGCGGTGACGAGCTGATAGATCTGCTCGGGTGAGCTCTCAGTTTCTTAAGCTAGTGTTAATGCACCCAGATGGCTAGGCTGAGGACAAGTGGGATGGAAGAGAGGGGGTCATCAATTCCAGGGAGCGAGTACCTTGAGTGCCTTGGAGAGCGACCTTCATCTGATTGAGCACGCGAGCAAGCTCTTCGGCCTAATCGCCGTCGCGTTAGAAGCAGTGCCTCAGACGTCGTAGGAATCTGCTGCGTACCTTGGAGACCCCGTTAGGGCTTTCAAGCTTTAGGATATGCTCGCGAGCTTGCCTGGGTAGATCGGCCGCAGCCCGCGATCTGCCTCTCCCGAACAAGAAAGACATGGTTGGGGTCGTACTGAGCTTGCGAGGGTCTGGTCGTCTCTCTCTCTATTTGTCTAAACAGTTGCCTCTAGACATAACCCTCCGTCTCACATCGGCCGCCTAAAAGCCCTGCCGGAGGCGCTATTCGTTGTCCGCTTGCTCTGTTTCCAGGGCGCTCCGCCCAAGGTGACAAGCTGTGAATAGGGATGCCAACTGAGATGCGTCAGCGCGCCTCTGCTCTGTGTATACGAAGTACATGCACGGACTTGGGCCTGCTGTGCTCTATGAGGCTTAGACCCCACAGCTTACAGGTATGCTGCTGTTCTCGTGCTAGTGCCCAGGCATTATAGCCACTGGAAAGGCATGTTAGTGACTGCCCACCCCACTTACCCTCTGAGGAATAATGAGGGGCTATTACAAAGCCCCTCCATTTGAACTTTTGACTCACCCGGGCCGAAATTCAAACCTGTGAGTCGTGAGTGTTGAATCTTTCCCTTTCGCTTGACAAATTTCGGATTTCTCCCCCTCCTCTATCCAGTTTGTGTATTGGTGCGAGAGAGACGCGAGCATCATGTCTATCGATTTTCCCAAGGAAGAGGAGATCACCCTCGAGCGGTGGCGCTCCATCAACGCTTTCCATCGTCAGGTACGTCGATATGGAATTTATTTCCTCCTGGTTGAAGCGCATCCCGACTGACAAATCTCAAAGCTCGAATTGTCCGCTGGTCGCCCACCTTACACATTCTATGATGGCCCTCCATTCGCTACCGGTCTTCCTCACTATGGCCATCTGCTGGCGTCCACCATCAAGGACATCATCCCTCGATATTGGTCCATGAAGGGCTATCACGTCGAGCGAAGATTTGGATGGGATACTCATGGACTCCCCATTGAACACGAGATTGACAAGAAGCTGGGTATTTCTGGAAAAGCTGCTGTGGAGAAGATTGGAATTGCAAAGTACAACGAGGAGTGCCGCGCCATTGTCATGCGCTACGCTGCGGAATGGAGGACCACGATTGAGCGCTTGGGACGCTGGATTGACTTCGACAACGACTACAAGGTCAGACAATCTTTCAACTCCCACTTTCTCTGTTATTCAATCCACAAGAGCCATTACTAATGTACTGCTGCAGACCATGGACCCGACCTTCATGGAATCGCTGTGGTGGGTGTTCAAGCAGCTTCACGACAAAGAGCAAGTGTATCAAGGCTATCGAGTCATGCCTTACTCTACGGTGTTGACGACCGCCCTGAGTAACTTCGAAGCCAACCAAAACTACCAAGACGTTACAGATCCAGCGGTTGTCGTATCATTCCCACTGCTGGACGACCCAGACACTCACCTTTTGGCATGGACGACCACCCCCTGGACACTACCATCGCACCTTGGTCTGGCGGCGCATCCCGACTTTGAATATCTCAAGATCAAGGATGGCAAGTCTGGAAAGACCTACATCATTCTCGAGAATTTGCTCGGAACTCTGTACAAGGACCCCAAGAAGGCCGACTTTAAGAAAGTCGGTACCATCAAGGGATCAGAAATGCTTGGGTGGAAATATCAGCCATTGTTTGACTACTTCTATGAAGAATTCAAAGATTATGGATTCAGAGTCCTGAATGCTACCTACGTCACATCGGACAGCGGTGTGGGAGTTGTTCACCAAGCCCCAGCTTTCGGTGAAGACGATTACAACGTGGCATTAGAGAACGGCATCATCAACGAAAATCGCCCCCCTCCGGATCCGATCAATGAAACCGGACACTTTACTGACCGAATTCCCGAATTTGCCGGTATGCACGTAAAGGAAGCTGACAAACACATCATCAAGCACCTCAAGAAGACCGGGCGATTGGTCGTCGAATCCCAACTTCGCCACTCTTACCCTATGTGCCCCCGTTCCGATACTCCCCTTATCTACAGAGCTGTGCCTTCTTGGTTCATTCGCATTCCAGAAATCATCCCAAGCATGCTTAAGAACATTGAAGACTCTCATTGGGTTCCATCATTTGTCAAAGAGCGTCGTTTCGCCAGCTGGATTCAAAATGCCAGAGATTGGAATGTTGGAAGAAACCGATACTGGGGAACCCCAATTCCGCTCTGGGTATCCGACGACATGGAGGAGCGCGTCTGCGTGGGAAGCATTGAGGAACTCCGAGAGCTCAGTGGCTACACCGGAGACCTGTCCGACATTCACCGAGACAAGATTGACCATATCACTATTCCCAGCAAGAAGGGTAAGGGTACCCTGAAGCGTGTTACGGAAGTCTTCGACTGTTGGTTTGAGTCTGGCAGCATGCCCTATGCTAGTCAACACTATCCTTTTGAGAATGTTGAAAAGTTCAAGAACTCGTTCCCTGGTGACTTCATTGCCGAAGGTCTAGATCAGACACGAGGCTGGTTCTATACTTTGCTGGTGCTGGGAACACACTTGTTCGGTACTTCGCCTTTCAAGAACTGTGTTGTGAACGGTATTGTTCTGGCAGAAGACGGAAAGAAGATGTCAAAACGATTGAAGAACTATCCAGACCCAGCTCTTGTGATGCAGAAGTTCGGATCGGATGCCCTGCGACTTTACCTCATCAACTCTCCTGTCGTGCGAGCAGAGCCACTGCGATTCAAGGAGAGTGGAGTTAGAGAAGTTGTCCAAAAGGTACTTCTGCCACTTTGGAACAGCTACAAGTTTTTCGAAGGCCAAGTTGCGCTTTTGAAGAAGGTTGAGGGCGTCGATTACATGTGGAACGTTGGACTGGAGACCACAAACACAAATGTGATGGACAAGTGGATTCTAGCCAGCTGCCAGAGTCTGCTGCAATTTGTCAACGAGGAGATGAAAGGTATGTGATCAGCTGCTACAATGTTTAATATTCCCTAATACCCTACTGTTATAATCCCGGGACTAACACCCATTCAAGGTTACCGACTGTACACTGTTGTCCCTCGGCTCCTTGAGCTCATTGACAACACGACCAACTGGTACATTAGATTCAACCGACGCAGGTTGAAGGGTGAGAATGGATTGAACGATACTTTGCATGCGCTTAATGCTCTGTTTGATGTCCTCTTCACTTTGTGCAGAGGATTAGCTCCTTTCACCCCTTTCCTGTCCGACACCATCTACCAGAAGCTCCTTCAACATATCCCGAAGGAGTTGCAGGCCGAGGACCCTCGAAGTGTTCATTTCCTGCCATTCCCAGAAGTTAGGGAAGAGCTATTTGACGCTGAAGTCGAGCGACGAGTATCAAGAATGCAGCGTGTCATCGAGCTGGGTCGTGTTTCCCGTGAGCGCAGAACCATCGGTCTCAAAACACCACTTCGAACCTTGGTTGTCATCCACCATGACAATCAGTACCTTGAGGATATCAAGTCACTTGAATCGTACATCACTGAAGAATTGAATGTTCGGGATTTGGTACTCTCTTCGGATGAGGCCAAGTACAATGTCCAATACAGTGTGACCGCTGACTGGCCGGTTCTTGGTAAGAAGCTCAAGAAAGACATGGCTCGGGTCAAGAAAGCCTTGCCTACCTTGACTAGTGAGCAAGTGCAAAACTATCTCATTGAAAAGAAGATCCTTGTCGATGGCATCCCCTTGGAAGAAGGTGATCTGGTTGTGCGCAGAAGTGTGAAGGAGGATGAAGCCTCCAAGATGCTGGAAATCAACACAGACGGCGCATTATTGACCATTTTGGATTCTGAGATCCACCCGGAGCTGGCTCAGGAAGGATTGGCCAGAGAGATTGTCAACCGAGTGCAGCGTCTGCGCAAGAAGGCTGGCCTGCAGCCCACTGATGATGTCAAGATGGAGTACCAGGTTGTGTCTGACCCTGAGAACCTCGGACTGGCAGATGTGATGGTTTCACAAACAGCTACTTTTGAGAAGGTGCTCCGACGACCTGTCGAGAAGCGCGAGGAGGGAGCTACTGGCGAGCTCATTGCGGAAGAAGAGCAAGAGATTCAGCAGGCCATTCTGTTGCTTCGCCTTGTAAAGCTTTAAAAGAAAAGATAAGAACTAGAGGTCTGTGTACTCAATTAAATTAGAGTGAAATTTAAAATAAATAAATAAAAATTCATGATACATAAAAATTGTACGCATTAATCAACTTGTCAAACAAAATCGTTGCTATGACTACACTTTCTTCATTGCTGCCTTTTTGTTTTAAGAAGAAGTCTTGTTAGTCTCTGGGCGTGAGAGGGGGGAGAAAATATAGAGAGAGAAATGGAAGATGTACCAGATAGCAATCTTTCAATCTCAAAAATTCCCGAGCACACTTGTCCTTGGTCACGTCGTTATAATCTGCCACGATGCATTTCCCGTATGCCGTCGCCTAATGAGAGAGTTTTTGTTTTTAGTATCAGCCAAACAAGCCATACACAGCTTTTTAAACACACCTCTGCAGCGCATTTAGCAACTGCTGTTGATAGTTTCTGGATCGGGCGACGGGAGGTTTGAGGATTCATTTGTGCTTAGCTAAGTATCTTCCGGAGCTATTATATTGGAAAAAAGGAGTTGTTTGTGTGTTTTTGGGCTGCGTGGACGAATGATGGGCTGCGTATAGTTTGTGGAAAGTAGGTTTTGAGCGTCTTGGAGGAGTAGGTATTGTGTATGAAGCAAGTAGAAGCTCGACTAGCGCTGTGGGGAAAGCTGGTGATGCTGAGTGGCATGAAGCTCGCTCAATATCAACGGTTAAAAAACTTTTAAGAATTTTTGCACTTTCGAGTTTAAAAAAAAAAAAAGAAAAGAAAAAGAAAAGAAAAAGAGCAAGAAACAGGCCAAGAAATCATTTCAATCCCTTTTGAAGAATGGTCGTGCACATATATGCGCCATGAAATGGTGTGGTTTTCAAGCACTGTGGGCATTCACTGTACAGCCTATTTGATATTTTCATGGCTTCATTAATCTATCCTATAGTTGAAATGCTACTTTGCCCGGCTATCCACTTTGAGCCAGGTTTCTGGAGCTGTTATTACGGTGCTCTCTGGCAAGAATTCCAGGAAACATCATCGGATCGTTCCCAGATACGTGGCTATCTGCCATGGTGCCAGGAGGCAGAAGTGGATCCCCAGTATGAGCCTCGATGGATGATGCATGCCCTTCTGGGATTGCATCCATATGCTCGGCCGCTGTATGTGCGACTGAGGAAGTAGGCTTCTTGTTTTCCTGAAGATCTGCTCCCAGAGCGCTTGCTGGTGTGCCGTTTGACACCAGTTCATTAAATGCGAGATACCGGGTCAAACTAAATATTGCATTAGCATATACGTATACGTGAAAGAATAAAAAGAAAGAGGAGGGAAGGAAAGAAGGATGTAGAGGGTAATGATTACTTACACGTCTCTCTCCTGCAAGAGTGTATGATACCGGAACTCTTCTCTGCGATCGGGCACGTTTGTCTTCACCATCTTGTTTCCTTCTTTCCCAGGCTTTTCAAAATCTGGGCCCAGCCACTGCTGCTTGATGGCCTTTTCATATCCGCTCTGCTTCACCGAATTCTTTGCCAGCTCGCACATATCAACAGGGCTCAGCTTGTAAATCTGCGCAGCCACAGCATATTCCTCTATCAAAGGCTCCTTGGTAAACGCAAATTGCAGCGGATCGTCTGTAGATAGTGAGACATTCAGGCCTCGTCTGAAATACTGATGGAACGGGTTGCGCTCATAGGCCAAGAACAAGGCATTGTTACTCAACGGCGACATTGCGATGCCAATTTGATCCAAATAGAAAATATATTGTAGCAAGGGAACCTTCCGCAGCAACAATCCGTGACTAATACTATGGCAGCACAATGCCGCCACAGCCAGGTGCTCGCTGTCACCTGCCTCTCCGCAATGAGGTCGTAGGACGAACGTATTGAAGCCGCGACTTCGCCGGAAGTGGTTCAAGGAGGTCATATTAGCAAATAAGAAATAGATCCAGTAGCTGTAAGGAGGGTTCTGCTTCGTATCCCAGGCTCTGGGCACGGGGAACTTCCTGAAGAGTCGCCTTTCGGTTTTGCTTTCGTCGTCTACGCTGTCAAAGCCAATGACACGCTGGAGAAATACGTGGAGCTTGGGATGAGAAGAAGGATCTCTCGTGACTTCGAACAAAGGTTGGAACACATTCTTGATGACTTGCTCGAACGTATCCATCAAACCGCTGGCTTTGTAGATGTCGTAGAGGCGAGGGATCTGGACCAGCCAGCGAACGTTATGGGAAAAGAGCTTGTTATCCACAACCCACGCTGCAAGCTTATCCCACTCATCTATAGACTTGCCATAGATAGATATGCGCCACTCCACCATCTGGTATTTGCTGGACTCTAGATCAGAGATCACTTCTTTGGTAATCTCAGCTAGGTAGCGTCCATGGATGAAATTGTCCGTCTTAAGAAATATTGTCCTGAGGCGCGACTCGCCGATAGGGTTGTATTTAAGATTGAATTTATCGAAGCGATGGAACGAGTCGGTATGCGCCTGTTGAATTAGCATTCTATTGTGCCAAAAAGTCTGTGAGCTATATAAGCTGCGACTTACATGCATGTCAAGCGTGTCTATGCTTAAATCATACGCTGTTAAATTAATACTGGCAAATACTTCTGCCAAGGTGAGATGCTTTCCATCTCGGAAGAGTACAACTTCGTTTGGATATTTCTTCATCTTACTCTTGATAAACCGCAAGAGATGCTTCTGGTTCATACACGCAGAGTGGTGAACGTGTGTATCCACCTTTCTGACATTGTAGAAATCTCGATGTGGCACCTTTTTGCTGTCCGCGGTCTCTTGATATTCATTGAGGAGAACATACAGATTAAATTTTCCTTCCAGATACTGAAGCCGGCGGAAAGCAAAGCTTTTGCTTGGACCATCAGACGAAACTGCGAGAATTTCCTCCAAGTCCATATAGAATTCTCTGATAGTAGGCACTCTTATAGCGGGGGTTTTACTGGCCGACTTGTCAAATACCTGATAAATGCCTTCGCTGTCGAGCTCAAAGGTCATGTCACCACTCTCTGGCAAAGGCAGTAAGTCTTCCAAGCAGAAGTCATCTCCAATATCTTGACCGGGTTTTCTCTTCCGAGTTGGCTTTTTTCGTCCCTGAGTACTGGAAGGAGAGCTTACACCCTGCTTCCCGGTCTCATCAATGCCATGACCATGACCATGGCTCTGAATCCATGCAGGGTCGGGAGGAGGGGGATATATGTCCCAGCTAGGGTCATCTCTAGGATTGTCATTCGGACCCTGAGCCGAAAGGGCGATGTACTTGCGCCTTACATCAAGTATTCTATGGATTTGCTTGGCAATAGCACTGAGCTCAGCTGTTATGTGAGGCTCAGTATCAAAAAGACCATTACCCGGCAAGCCAACAGAAGGCTCATTGGCAATTCTTGCATCGTTGAAGGCCTGGCTAGTGGGGTCACCAGGCTTAGGATAAGAGGCATTGGATGGACCTGTTGACCCGAAGAGACTGGCAGGGGTGTCTACGATTTCTGGCTTGTCTAGCACTTTAATTAGCAATCCCGCTCTTGTCATCTTTCGCAGACGGATTGACTAATCACCATCAGTGTCGAGGATTAAGGAATCAAGTCCGTACTCGGTGGCCGGGTATGAGCCTGAAGGAATTTGTGGACTTCCAAAGGGAGTGGACTGCGGCCAGGGAGAATTTCCACTCCGCGTATCAATCTTGCTCCTCTGATAGAATAATTTTGCATCCGTTTGGGTCATCTGAAGCTCTGCCACTGGATCATAGAAGGTCGTGCGCTCTGGGAGATCGCGCAGCAGCATTCCATCTTGGAGATTGTCTTCGTGGTTCGCCAGCGACTCTGAATGCTCTTCATGGTCGATCAAGCCGGTGGTAGCCGGGCTCTGTATAGCTTCGTCGTCGCCTTCATCCCTAGTACGTACTGGGAGTGACATACTGCCACTATGTAACGCGTGGTCTAAAGGAGATTGATTAGGAAGAGTGGTTATTGGGATTTTAAACAAGCAAATCGCGGGCTACTGATCGTCAAAACAAGAGGGGAAAAGAGCTGAGGTGACGCCCGCTTTGTTAGGTGGGATAAAAATACAGCCTAATGGATCGAGTCCATCCAAGCCTGCCAAACATTCCAAACGCACATCCCTGGTAAATACTTACCAGTCATGGCTTCAGTATATTATCAAAGTACATAAATCCCCCAACAATGGCGAGAATCGGAATGCCTAGAGCGACACAATCAGAATGAAGAGTCCGATTTGATTATTTTAAGGTTACACGGAAAGGATTAGAGCGAGGAACCGCGGCAGGGTATTCTCAGGCACAAACAAAGCACTAATTGGATTAAACCTATTCCGGGCAAAGGGTCATCTAGATTGGGTCTAGCGCATATTTTCTGGGTTTAAGCCTGGCATCGGGGATGGGCTATGGCTTGCAAGATGTAGTACTTCTATAATGTGCTTCTTTGCAAGCAATGGTACCTACTATAGGTAGACGGCGAGATAATAAGTACCTTTATTAAAATATGAATTATGTGAAACTCCATATCCATCATTGAGAAAGATATCGTGAAAGTTGCTAGCGATGGTCAGCAGCATGAATGCGCCTGGCACCGATTCGCAGGTACGTTTAGTGCTATAGGTTGATCTTTTGTTGCTGAATCCCAAAAAGAGCATATAGAAGGTTAATTTTGTACTCTATATAGATTCTCTCTAAGCGGCCATTTCAAATTCTATGACAACGGCAGGTTTATCTATATACCGCCTCTTGTATCTTCAACCACAAGGCGAGATATGTACGCCGCACAACCAAAAGTCTTAACTCAGCAAGCTCTAATAGCCAATGTCAAACTTTTTTCTTTTCCTCAGCTGCAGCAGGCTTTGGGACAGGCTTTGGGGCCACGCTGTAGATTCCTGCGGCTCCAAATACGACAATTGCGCTAAGTATGGTATTGACTGAGAGGGTATTGCCAAACAGCCAAATACTTAACAAAAGGCTCATGAGTTTTCTAATACTCAGTATTATTGTAACTGTGAGCGCCGATGCGTTTGCTGCCAGAAGATTTACGCCACGAATACAGGCATATTGAGTCAACACGTTGACTGCTAGGTAGGCGAGCTGAGATGGAACTCGGGTAAGTGGCAGTGACGAAGCAAATGGGATATTAAGCTCCAGAGGAGTGCTTTTGCTCAGCTCGACTAGATTGCGTCGCATAGAAGGCATAAAAGGCAAGAAGAGAGGCAGCGCCAAAATATGGGCATAGAAGAGATTTTCTTTCCACTGTGGCCCATACTTGCGATATGTTGCTTCGGTATACAAGCCCATGATGGATGAGAGAACTTGAGCCACAAAGATAATTAAGAGTCCGACGTTAAAGACTGGCTCAGCGCTACCTTCGCTCGTTTTCTGCTTGATTGGTTAGGACGAGCAAGGAATATAAAGATTGTTTAAGCGTTACCTTGTCCTTAGAATCTGACCAGGCGGCTAGACTGACGCCGATACTCAGCAGAAATACTGCAAAAACTTGGACCCGTGAATATGTCTTTCCGCAAAAATAGCCCGCAGCCATAGTTGTTATGCTACCACCAGATCGTAAAATGATGTGAACCGGTATAGATATGTTGTAGCTAAAGGCATGATTGTTCAACACGTTGATTGTGAAGAATAGCAGGATATTGACGAGCCATCGACGAAGCGGGACGACGTTGGGAGCGAAGAAGAACGGCGGACGCGTTTTATCGAATTGCGCTACATAGCCAGTGATGGCTATGAACAGAAATTGAACAAAAGTTATAAGCGTTCCTATGTGGCGTGGATAAGTATATGCGTGTGATCAGTCTCGTATGGAACAGCGTGTATTATACCATTTGTGGGCTCGAAGCTGTAAAAGTTAAATTTTGGAACTGGTAACTGGTGTGGGCTGAAGAGGCTTACTTGATGATTGCTTCTAAGGCGTACACCTATGAGCCGGAAAGTTAATTAGCTGGACAAGACGCAGACGTGGCTATGGAGATGTAGCACATACGTTGGAGCAACATCCGCCGAAGATCAGCACGGTCATTACCGCCGTAGCAAACAAAGTTGAGCCGCTGTCCACGGCGAAACGACGGACAATATTTGCCAAGGTGGGCGATGGAGATCCCTTGTTAGACATGGACTGAACACCCTTGGCCGGTGCCAGTTTCGGTAGAGGCTCCATTACGGCTCCGATTGTGAAGTGAATGTCATATCGTGTCGAGGAATTGAGACTGCCGTGGACAGGTAATCAAGAACACTACAGTGTTCAATTACCAGGTATATATTCTGGATACCTGTAGACTAGACACTTCGCACCTAGTACTAGCTAGGTTAACCGCCAGGGGTGTATCGGAGATCAGTTATAGCATAAGGCCTAAACATAAAATATATTGTGCAAGGAAAAAGGACCAATAATACATTTAAAAACTACTAGTATGAATATTACTCCAAGCTGTTAATATATATATTTAAAAATAAATATTTCCTTACTAGGAGTATTTATAAATTAATAAATAATTAATATATATATGTAAATATATACATGTAAATATATATATATATATATACATATATTTATATTCTAGTATGTAAATTACTTAAATACATAGAATTAAATCTTACAATCCTTTTTATATAATACCTATACCTCTTGATTAATTGTTTAAAACTTAATACAATTGTAATCTGTATCCTGCCCCCATCAACGTGACTGGCCTCTTTGCGGCTTAGCGTGTTTTGGTAGCTTTGGTGGAGGGGTACTACCAGCATGACGGAGTGTGCTGCGACGTAAGTCGGATAGGTACCTAATTGCTTCTTTGGTAATTCGAAACCACCAAGCAAACACTGACGATACCGACCATAACCTCCAAACCAATCGGCATTCTTTTTGAGAGTTCCCGCTGCCCACAAACAACTTCCGCCTTCTTCAACTACTGTGGCCTTCTTCGCTCTCTCAGGCGCTGAGCCCTCCAATCCGCTGTTTAAAAAGGTCCAGTTCTTACCATCAGCTACAATGCCTACAACCACCGCGGAAACACTCTCGCTGGTCACGAGAAACGTCTCCGTCGCTCCGCTAGTTCTCCTTTCTGCGGTCGATCATTACAACCGAACAGTACAGAACAAGACCAAGAGACGGGTTGTTGGTGTTCTTCTTGGTCAGAACGATGGAAAGAACGTGAGAGTGTCGAACAGTTTTGCAGGTACGTCGTAGACTGCGCAAGGGAATCTGGAGAGATTCTGCAACTCAGAGCGGCCACACTTTCTAACAGCTTACTTCATTGTTTAGTCCCATTCGAGGAGGATGAAAAGGACCCTTCAGTGTGGTTCCTGGACCACAACTACGTCGAGTCGATGAACGACATGTTCAAGAAAGTGAATGCGCGCGAGAAGCTGGTGGGCTGGTACCACACTGGACCCAAGCTTCGCGCCTCTGATCTTGAGATCAACGAGCTCTTCAAACGATACACACCCAACCCCTTACTAGTCATCATCGATGTTCAACCGAAGGAATCCGGCGTCCCTACTGACGCGTATTTTGCGGTCGAGGAAATCAAAGATGTAAGTCGTTCATATTCTAGCATCTTGAGCAAGAAAGCCGAGCTGATTCTCCCCTTCCCCTCTCTAGGATGGCACCACCACTTCTCGAACATTTGTCCACACACCTTCGATTATCGAGGCCGAAGAGGCTGAGGAGATTGGTGTCGAGCACCTACTAAGGGATATCCGCGACGTTGCCGTGGGCACTCTGTCCACACGCGTGACTAACCAGCTTCAGTCACTTCAAGGACTGCATCTCCGGTTACGAGACATCGGAGCCTACCTCCAAAAAGTTCTCGACGGCCAACTTCCAGTCAACCATGCGATCCTTGGAAATCTGCAAGACGTCTTCAACCTTCTCCCCAACCTCTCCACACCCGATGATGACAGCAAATTGGGAAGCCACGAACTATCACACGCCATGAGCATTAAGACCAACGACCAGCTGATGGCCATCTACCTAAGCAGTCTGATACGTGCCATTACAGCATTCCACGACCTAATAGAGAACAAGATCCAAAACCGACAGCAGCAAGACGAGAAGGAGACTAGGAAAGAGGAGTCTAATATCAAGGATGAGAAGAAGGATGGTACCACCGCCAACGCTAATGGAGAGGCCAAGGAAGGCAGTGAGAAAGAAAAGCCCAAGAAGAAATGATATAGGGACAGCGAATACGAGGCTGCCTCTGAATGAAGGCGTATGAGTGCTTAGAGTAATAAAGTGAAATAGTGGTTTCTATATGTTGATGATGGCGAACTGCTAAGCAAAAAAAATCAACTGAAATAGATATTTTGCATTTCCATCTGCTTCTTAGCCGTGACAGCTGTGTTACGGGTGTACTAGAGGCCTCCAATTATGGCAGCCAACTCTTCTTTTGTTATATATTTGTCCTCAACATGGCCTCTCGGGGTTCCTCTCCATTTCTCGGCCAACAGGCATGCGAGAAGGTGCTTACAACAGGGAAAATCCTCCTGCAAACCCAGCCGAGCGTCCATCACCAGGCTGCCAAACTCTCCAGATGATATTCTAGGCTCCTGGAGCTGCTCAGTACTGCCTGTCATATCGTAGTTGGAATATGCATCCAGGGCAAAAGCACCGCAATTGCAGCTCAGCGCATCAATATGCACTGCGTATGATTTCGACGCGTGCGACGTGTGTCGCCGCCTGCCCCGAGATGCAGCCGAAGCAGCAGACTGAACACTGTACATGCATATCCGATCTTTACTGAAGCCCGTTCCCTGCTGACGGCTTAGGTCTCGATCTGTGTACTGACCTTGTCCAAGTTCAGTTTCGCCATGTTGAAGGGCGTGACTTGCGTGAGAAGTCGCAGTGTGCGATGTGCTGCCTACGATGAGACGGGTGACCAGCCCGCGATCCAGCAAGTCTAGGGCCGGCAAAAGAAGACTTGGGAAAATGACATGGAGGGTCAGTAGCTGCTGACGACAATTTGAATCGTCGCTTGTCGATTCTCCAGCGCTAGGGGGAGGTGATGGCGGAATAAGGGCCGTGTATAGCTGATGATGAGATGGGAGACAATTCCCATTCATCATTGTTGTGGAATTGGCGAGTATGGCGACTCTCTGTCGAGTCTTGCTATGTGCGGCATCGGTAAAGTGATGCTGATAGCATCTGGTTATAGGTGCTCGATTTTGATGGAGTAAAAACGCGAATACATAAGGCAAATGGCGGCGAGTAGATGTATTACATACGACGAAGAATGTTATGTAGTCGAGCTTGGATCGAGTCACAGTGCACATTAACCTGTTTTAGGCACTAATATAGGTGGTAAATCACGATACGCATTTTTATTCGCTACAAACCCAGCTGTAGCTATACTACTGGGATAAATCTCATCGACATCAATTGCCAAATTAAAAAGCAAGTACTATTTTTTTTTATCTACCTTCCTCTATACTACTACAAAGTATACTGTTTATATACTAGTACATATAACCCTACGCAATTACAGAAAAGAGTCGTACCATTATTTTATACCCACTCCTTGGGCTCCTTCAAAACGTCCACTAGCCTCTGCTCCCGGCTCTTAGGCTCTGGCTCGTACATGTACTTCCAGCTTGCCGTCAACGGCAGGCTCATGAGAATACTCTCCACTCGTGATCCAGGCGTATTCAGGCCAAACGCAGTTCCTCGGTCGTGAACCAGGTTGAACTCGACATATTTGCCTCTGCGGATCTGCTGCCACGCCTTCTCCTTTTCATCAAAGGGCATGTCCTTTCGCTTCTCTATAATGGGGACGTACGACGGCAGGAAAGACTTTAAGCAGTCCTGGATGAATGCAAAAGTGTTTTCCTGGTCACGCTCACCCTCGTCTAGGTCGTCAAAGAAGATGCCGCCCACGCCTCGACACTCGCCGCGGTGCTTGTTGTAAAAGTACTTGTCGCACCACTTCTTGAATCGAGGATAATAAGTCTTGTCGTGATTGTCGCAAGCGGCCTTGATCGTCTTGTGGAAGTGGATAGCATCCTCGTCGAAGAGGTATGAAGGCGTCAAGTCGCTGCCGCCGCCAAACCACCAAGCCTGAGATGTGCCATCGGGATTGGCCGTCTCAAAGTATCGGTAATTCAGATGCACGGTTGGGGCCATGGGGTTGGACGGATGAAGCACCATGCTCAGGCCAGCGGCGAAGAATTCCAAAGACTCGACGTTGGGATCGAGATTCTTGTGGTTTTCTCGCATCTTTGCAATGGCCGGCTTGGGCAGCGATCCGTAAACGACGCTGACACCGACACCGGCCTTTTCGAATACGTTACCCTCCTGCAGCACGCAGGTTATGCCGCCGCCGCCATTCGGCCGTGTCCACTCATCCCTGCGGAATTTCTTTCCATCGATGCGCTCGAGTTCTTTGACAATGATTTGTTGCTGCTCCTTGATGAATTTCTCCATCCGCAGGCGCATCGGAGATTCGTCGGTAATGCTGGCTTCTCTCTTCTTCTGCTCATCCTTCTCAGCAAGAGACGAGACATCAAGCTTAGCAGACTCTGCCGTTGACTAGGAGAAAAAAGACACATGTTAGTCAAAGAAGCTTTAATTACCCATTAGTTCAAACTCACCAAGCTGTAAGCCAAGGGAGCAGTGATGCCAATAGCGGCTGCTGCAAGCCAAATGGCTGCTGAGGAAGAAGCTCCAAAGCTAGCCGGAGACCGACGAGCACCTGAAGAGGAAGATACCCATCGATTGAGAGCCAATTGGCTTCTCAGAGGCCGTGCTGAGCGTAGACCGGCCTGTGTGACCACGCGCTGAACATGGCGAGAAGCCGCCGCGGGCGTAGCCATGGCGGGGTGAAGATGGCGATGGAGAGATGAGATGAGAGCAATTGAGGAAGACAGAAGAGACACGGACCAGGTGGGCGCAGCCCGGTTTTAATAGTAGAAGGCCGGCGCGACGAGAGGATAAGCCGGAGAAGAGATTTTTTGGTTTTTCTTCTTGTCGTCGTCTCGTCTTTCTCGTCCAATTCAATTGGACAATTGGCTCCTCCACTGATCGAGCCACCGACTTGCCGGTGGCGTGTTCAGTAGTTGATATCTTCCCACATCGTAGGCCATGCCTGGCTAAGGCTGATGGCGGTCGGCACAAGCTCGGCTCGGGATTCGCAGAGGGACCTTGATAGCGCTGTGGTTAGCGCAGCGGTAGCGGACCTGTCGCATCGTGTGTAGGAGGCGGCAGCTATGCCGTGGAAATGCGTACAGTGGCTCGTGCGCCATGAAGTCATCGTTTGCACATTTCCTAGGCACCAAACGAAACGTCGAAATCTATCTTATGTAAGTTCCCTCACAAGATGGAACTTCACATGGTACCAAGTAAGTAGGTATCTGTGTAGGTATGTAAGTCGACTCATCCAAGTAGCACTACTAGTATCAGCATCCATAGCATATGAGGTTGCTAATAGCCTACGAGTGCTTCGTACAGAGAAGTACTAGAATTAATGTTCTGGCGTCATGTATATAAGTATGCAGCACTTGCTAAGCTTTAAGAGATTACACACAGATACTGCTAGTACCAGGTACTCGTTTAATGGATTTGGGATTCCGCAGAGCCAGATTACAGATGCTCTCATCTTCCCCCTTGCAGATGAAAGCGAATACGGCAGCGAAGCGAGAGTTTCCGGCCAGTCAGCCTTACAAGCACTACCTGAGGTACGGGGCAGTAGCTCAGCTGCGAGAGCGCTATCCAATGCTTGGGGCGGTACCAGGTACCAGTGACAGCGGCAGCATCCACGGCATCATTCCGGGGTACAGGGGACTTTGCAGAGCGACTGACTGACTTGACTTGCCCGGTGATTGTGATTGCTGAGCACCGCATCAAGGATCCGGACAGGCTGATCATGTGGTCTTCGTGCACCCTGCCGCACGCGGGTACCTGCCCCGGGGGGGTCCGTGTTATGCGTGTACAAAGACTGAACCCCCCCTTTTCCTGCTGTTCCCTCGTTCCCCGCCGTACCCGGTCTGTACCGCAGTACTAAAGCCGCAAGTCACGGGCTGGGTGATTCACACACCGCATTCCCGCATCAAGCTGGCGCCACCGCCCCGCGCCACCCAATGCGTGCTGCTGATGGCGAGCGTCACTGCCTCCTCTGCCTAAAGCTCGCTGTGCTGTTCCACGCTGTTCTGCCTACCGCCCTCTTGCGTGTGTCATCCAGTCATCAGCCCCCCGGAAGTCACTGGGTCACTCCCGCGACGGCCACGACCGGCACCCCTCTCCTCCACTTCGTCACCACAAACAGGCTCGCCCTACTTCTACCGGCTGCATCATCGCTGCATCCCTTGTCTTCCTCTTTCTTTTCCCCCTTTCATCATCGCTCCGCCAAAACCCAGGCTTGACCTGCTTTACAAGACGACTACAAGTCCGCGCGCTGATATCGCACAAAGCACCACCTAAATCTACTGCCATCTCGTCATCGACAGCTCCCCCAACACCATCTCAACTTCAACCTCTCCAACAGCCAAAATGCGCAGCAAGTTCAAGGACGAGCACCCCTTTGAGAAGCGCAAGGCCGAGGCCGAGCGCATTCGCCAGAAGTACTCTGACCGTATTCCTGTAAGTTGACAGCTTCATGCTCTGCTCCCTACCTCGTTTCGTCGTCGTCTTACCCTTGGCTCCGCTGGGCATACATGCAACCAAGTATACTTTGTGGCTGCCTAACATCATCACCATCACCATCGTCATCAATATTCGTCCTCTGCGTTTCCCATCTCTCAAGCTCGATGGCTAACATTCCCCGCTCCAACAGGTCATCTGCGAGAAAGTCGAAAAGAGCGACATCGCTACGATCGACAAGAAGAAGTACCTGGTCCCCGCCGACCTGACAGTAGGCCAGTTTGTCTACGTCATTCGCAAGAGGATCAAGCTTTCTCCCGAGAAGGCCATCTTCATCTTCGTAGATGAGGTCTTACCCCCTACTGCTGCTCTCATGAGCAGCATCTATGAAGAGCACAAGGACGAGGACGGGTGCGTACTTTATCCCATTCCCACACCATTCCACTACACCCCGATCCAACCAACATAATCTTGGGTGCTCCTCAACAGAGCAGGAAGCTGACTTTTTGACCTTTTTTTTTGTAGCTTTCTTTACATCACCTACTCCGGCGAGAATACCTTTGGTACCGCATAAACACCGAGGCGATACAGGGAACTTTCCAAGCCGAATATGGCTGATGCAGGCGTTTTGGTAGTTGGGCTTTTACTCTTTTTCCGTTAGGGGATATCGGGACCTTTGTTATATTGCGGATACTTTTTTATTAAACAGAAGAGCCGAGATGAAATAGATGCCCAAGGCATCCCATCTCTGTGCTGCCTTTGTCACGAGCCTTGACTTTGGAGGGAAATGATTTGTGGCACGGCGAAGGAGGCTTCATCCAGTGACGTGTGGATGCATGCGGCTATACATTTTGATTGTTTCAGCCCCTCCTGCGAGTGACTGCTGCCTCCACTTTTGCCCTTGCGCCTATCTATTTGCTTGTTTTCTGTCTCATAGTCGACAGCGAAACAGAGATTAATAACAGCTTTATCTCTCAAAGATGTCAAGTTCTAGTTAACTATAATCTCCCATTAATTGCCGTAGAAGGAGCCCAGAAGCATAATGAGACATTATTATTTATTCATATGTATAAACGAGCATTATAGGTATATCGTTTGTAGTGGTATATACGTCCAATCAAGACGCATCAATCTCGTGGTAGATGGCTTGCTTCCTTTCCTTCATTAATACTGATCATCATCAAAAAAAAAAAAAATTATCCAAAACCAAAACCAAAGGAAGAAATGAAACGAAAAGAAAAGAAAAATCAGACTTTCTCGATATGAGATTCGAGAATTCCATCGTACTGGTTCATAACCTTTTCGTCGATGGATTCGTGGAACACATCCACCTTTGTGGAGGCAAAGTTTCGCGCGCTGACCTTTCTCTCGAAAAGCACGTCGATTTCAGCAAAAGTTCGGCCGCGGGGCTCGGGGAGACGGAAGTAAGTGTAGATGATGCAGAGGAAGCAGATTCCGCCCTGTAGAAATTATATACGTGGTTAGTCAAGAACACTCTCGAACGCGGCTCGGGTAATCTCCTTACCCAAAAGAATCCAGTATAGTTGCTCCAGTTCCAAGCGGTGGGATTCAGCATGTATGGCGTCAGAACGTTGGTGATGATGCCCACGACGTTGCTGCACGAAGATGTTAGTATAATTTGGCTAGACGATATGAAATGAAAAATATCTGTACGTACTAAAGATTGCGGGCAAGGACAACAGTCTTAATCTGTAGACGACGCGATGAAAGTTCACCGACGAGGGAGTAGCAGACAGTGCCGACGGTGAGCTGGTAGAAGAGGGCCCAGACAACCATGATGCTGCCGGTGGCGAGGGAACCTTCTCTCCTGTGCGACTCGGGCACCAAACCCAGGAAGCCGAGGATGAAGAGCATGCTGCACAGGCCGCAGAGACCATACAGATACAGGGTGCGGCGTCCGATGCCCAGAGCCATCAGGCCCCATGCGCCAAAGACACCGACCATGTTGATGGCGTACTGGCCCAGGGCAAACGAGTAGGAGTCGTGGTCAGATAGGCCGGCTTGCTGAAGGAAGTAGGTGGAGTAGTTGGAGAAGGCGTTTCCGCTGAGGTTCTGGATGGCCCAGACCATGCAGACAATCTCCGTGCGGCGCAAATCCACTCCCTTGAAGCAGTCCCAGTAGGAGGCGCCGGCTGTGACCTTCTCCTCCAGGGCGGTCGTGTGGATCATCATGGCGACCGTCTCGTCGGCGTCAAAGTCGGTCTCGCGGTCCAGGCTGGTCAGGCGGAGCAGGGCATGCTTGGCATCCTGGGCCTTGCCTTGGCGGACAAGCCACCAGGGGGATTCGGGAGCGAAGTAGATGGCGATGAAGAGAGGGAGCGGCCACATCCACTGAAGACCGTAGGGGATGCGGTATGCCCACTGGTCGTCGCGCTTCAGCATGGCGAAGATGACTCCGATACCGATTTCCTGGCCAAGACCCCAGCAGAAGTTGACGTAGGTGGTGAGGTAGCCTCGCAGGGCGACGGGACAGACTTCGGAGGCGTAGGTGACGGTGAGGGTCTGGAAGATGCCCCAAGGAATACCGCACAGGATCTCGGCGACCAGCAGAGCCTTGACATTGGGCGCAGTGAAGAAGATGGCCGTGAAGGCGGCGATCATGACGAGGCAGGCCATGACGGTTTTCCTGTAGCCGAATCTCTCGGAGACAAAACCGTTGATGAAGAGACCAATGATTTCGCCGACAGCAGCGCCCTGTTGTCAACCAGAATGTTAGCCCGGCTATGGTTGAGATATTGGCAACGTTTATAGATATGTATATATATATATATATAGAAATATATATAATGGAGATATAGATTTCGGGATAAACTCACGTTACTCAAGCCTGATTGCCATCTGGCCGGCACTTGGTATTTGCCGTCTGGAAACAGCTCACCGTATTTCCTATTGAACTGGTCGAACGCATCTAACAACAGGTTAGTCTAATTATACAGAAAAACAAGACTCTCGAGAGAAGACATACAGAAATTGTTCACCAAGCTAACATCGTAGCCCTCCATGACAATGCAGGTAGAGATGATCATGCTCCATGCAATGGCCTTGGGATACAGCTTGATACCTTGCAGAAGCGTCATCTTCTGCTCCTTGGCAGTAGCTGCTCTGGCGTGCTCGATGACGGTGCGATCCCTTTTTGAGAACTCTTCATCGCCATCGACATCGATGACGCCGCCTGTGGTGGCATCTTTGGACACTTGGATGTCGCCACCATCGGGGTTAGGCGAGATCTCCTTGTCAGAAGCCATGGTGTGTGTGTTGTGAATATGAGAGTCGTGATACAAGCAGACAAGAATGTTACGAGACCTGAAGGTGGCCCGGCGTATCAACACTCTTCACAGCAGCAGAGTTTGCTGAAGAAGAGGAAGAAAAGAGACAGAGACGAGAAAAAAAACAAGGATCGAGAAGAGAAGGTGGGTGGGATCAGAGACCACCATATATAGGTGAATGAAGAAGCGGAGTAGGCACGATGCTTGGAGATGAGATGCTTGCTCGAAGCGATGCCGGGGGGGTGGTGTTAAATAAGCCGAGCCCTAGTACCTGTAAGGTATTGGAGGTCTTTCTGCTCCGGCGATCCAATGACGCCCGCCTGTTGTTCTGGAGCCGTCGATGGAGGAGGAGGTGGTGGGTTTTTTTTTTTTCCCTAGACACAATATCAACTAGATATGCAGCTAGGGTCAAAAGCCGAAGGAGAAAAAAAAAGGTAGCGAATTAGGATTCTCGCCGTCTGACGCTTTGGCTAATGCAAGGCTCTTGCAGAAAGCAAACAGTCCTTTGGAACAGAAGAAAGGAAAAAAAAGAAAAGAAAAGATTTCTTTAGCCCGCAATACTCCAAAAGCACCTCTCTGCTCTCCTCTCCTCCCCCAACGAAGAGAGGGGACATGTTTAGTTTAGCAAGGAACTAGTCATGAATGCAAAGCCGGGAGTGGCTCGTGGCGGCGGAGAAGCCCGCTTAAGCTGCTAAAAAGCCCAGGTCTAGCCTTGGTCCAGCAAGTAGAAAGGCTGCAAACAGAACCGTAATAATGGGGCAATTGAATTGGAGAATTTCTTGTGCCCCTGGTTTCTTCCACCTACGGTCGGCAGCGAGTAGGGAAACAGCAAATTTTTTTTTCTTCTCTGCCCTGGTCGGAAGGGCCATGCGACCGCCACTTTGGAGCTGCGATTCCATGGAGCAACTCGTATCAGCGCTATGGAGCAGTTGCATAACGGCATAAGCAGAGAGGGTGGTGGTTTGGCCGTGGGCTGCTAAGGGAGATGATCAAGCCAGTGGAACATCTCTTGTCTATAGACAGGGTGCAAGCTACTATTAGGTACTCTGTAGTATTAGATAGATCGATAGCACATAGGAGAGGCCATCTATAAGCAGGCTCCCCTCTTGAGGCGTTTGTCTTTGCTGATTAGAATGGTAATAATTATCCCATCAATCACATGGACATGTTTGTAGAAAGCAATAGTAACAATTAGGTACGTGTTGAAGTAGACCATCTCGATAATACGCCGCAAGGGAAAGACACGCCGGAGCTGAGGTGCTCGCTCGCTTCCCACGAGAAATCTACAGCCACCAGCCAATGACAGGCACTGCGATTCTACACACCAGGCAGCTTGTCGTCATTTGGGGAGCGCGAAACCCCACGGGGAAGGATCGCGATGCGGGGGAGACGAGACGCTAGATCGCAGCCCTTCAGCCCCATATGCTTATTCGAATCTGGCATGCTGGGGAATCGACGTGCGTTCGTTTCGCTCGCAGACTCGTTTGGCGATGGCCAGGCCATCCGACATTTTTGGTGTCGTGGGCCGCAGAAAAAGGGAGTTTGGTCCACCGGCTGTGCGGCGGCACTAGCCTAGAGGGGCGATTTTCGCAGACCTCCATCGCCGCAAATATCCTGCTTTGGGCAATTGGGATTTTTCTGATTGCTGAGTGGACCAGCGTGGGAGGGGCGCCACTCATTATTGGCCTAAAGGAGTAATATCCGCCTGGCCATGCCTGCTTTCTCGACTTGGCCGTCTTATTATCCTACTCCATACTCCATACTATCCATCACGAACCCTCACATGCCTCACATGCATTTGACAGCATTTGCGATTGCTCAGCTCTCCCCGGATTTCGATACATAGTTGCTTATTAGCTAGATGAGCTAGACAATCTCGATGCGGGGGAACAAGCATTCACGGCTATTGACCATTTGCCGACGGAGTCCAATCTCGATAGCGTCGAGTCTATATGATGGCCACGGCGGTCGTGTCGTGTAGATGGTGAGCACGACTGCATGTATGGATGGATGGATATGCCTCCTCCACCACGCCCAAGATGCCGTCTCTCGCCTCGTAAAGGGCGTGAAAGGACGCGGAAAACATGCAAAGCAGACTCGCTCGTTTTCGTCATCCTCAAACCATCTATGCCGTGATATCTTGTCCATTGACTAATAAAGGCAAGCTGCTGTGTGCTGCGTCGTCTTCAGCTTCGATCAGATAACGAACAATCTTCAGCGCCTCTCAGGGTCCGTGCCGTGCATATGCACGCCATTCGATATAGAGTTGCTCTTTGCTTCTAGAAGGCTGAGCTTATCTGCTGTTGGCGCCCATCACATCACCCAACCAACATTACATAACTGTCCCCCCCGTTTTTCTCTCATCGTCAGCCACGCAACAGCAACAACAGCAGCAGCAGCAGCAGCTCCGCCGGGAATACGTTTCCCCGTATGCCCTTCCTCAAGGGTCCTGCCTTCACTTCGGAGAAGAGTCGGAGCTTTGCTGAAGCTCTCCCGACTCTCCCCGCAAGGATTTGCATCCACCTTCTCCAGCACTTTGAGCTCCATGTGATGCTAAAACAGCTGCTAAAACAGCTGCTAAAAAAAACTCGGGCGGGGGACGAGAAACACAATTCCAGTGCAAAAAGCGTCAATGCATATAAAAATGATAAAAATGATAAAAATTGTATTAATAAATACATACAGAGACTGCTTGGAATATATATAAAATACCAGAAGAAGCAAAACACTGCTCCTGTAACACTGAGAATGTTAATATTACTCTCACCAATCCCAGGTGAATTTTTTTTTTCCTTATGCCGCCGTTGCTCCGAAGTCACCAAACTAAGCCAAAGCCCGGCCCACCGGCATTTTGCTCAGTGTCAACGCAATCGAACCATCCCGCTCCGGAGGTGTGACTGTGCCTGTCCTTTTTCGCCCGCCTGGCTAAATACCCCTTCAGCCACAGACAAGCTTCAGATCTTCGTCTGGAACCGCAATTGCCCTTCTGCCACTCTCCATTTCTGCTCTTCTCGCAGGCCTCAGAGGTGCAATTCGCTCGTCCCCTCCCCTCAACCCCGCCGACTCTTTAACTGCCTCACCTCCACACAGACGCCACCATGTTGTCCGCTCTTCGAGTTGCTAGCAGGCGAACTGCCCTGCGCCCTGCGACCCTGAACCTCACCAGCCGTGTTGCTCTGTCTACCTGGATCAACGTGCCCCAGGGTCCTCCTGTGAGTTTCATGCAAATAACAAAGCTGGTGCTGTCACAGGTCGCCTGTTGCTGACAATTGGGTTGTAGGATGTAAGTTTGATTGAGTTGATAGTGGCGGATACCTCGGTCTCTGGAGCATTGAACCATTGGACCTTTGGACCTTTGGAAGCTCGATATATGAAACGAGAGCTTCAGTTGTATGAACCGTATAGGCTAACAGAGTGTTCCTTCTCACTGTTTAGGCTATTCTTGGTACGTCTACCCTCCATTGAGTCCTGTCGTCTGTCTCTCGTCGCGCGACTAACCGTTCCATCAGGCATTACTGAGGCTTTCAAGGCCGACAAGTTCGAGAAGAAGATCAACCTTGGTACGATACCTCCACGCCCTTTCGAGCGCTCCTGGTTTGCGATAGCAACACCTGCTAAACATGTAATCATTGCGCCCTTATAGGTGTCGGTGCCTACCGTGACGATGCAGGAAAGCCCTACGTCCTCCCCTCCGTCCGCGAGGCCGAGGAGAAGATCGTCAACAACAAGCTGAACAAGGAGTACGCCGGCATCACTGGTGTCCCCGAGTTCCCTCCTCTGGCTGCTAAGCTCGCCTACGGCCCCAACCCCGCCGTCCTCGACCGCGTTGCCATCTCCCAGACCATCTCCGGAACCGGTGCTCTGCGGCTAGGTGCTGCCTTCCTCCAGCGCTGGTACTCTGGCGACAAGAAGATCTTCATCCCCAACCCTTCATGGGCCAACCACAAGGCTGTCTTCAGCGATGCCGGCCTCAAGGTCGAGACCTACCGCTACTACAATAAGGACACCATCGGCCTTGACTTTGATGGCCTGGTTGCCGACCTCAAGGCCGCTCCCCTGGGCAGCGTCTTCCTGTTCCACGCCTGCGCCCACAACCCTACTGGTGTCGACCCCACCCCTGAGCAGTGGAAGGAGATCTCCAAGGTTGTCAAGGAGCAGAACCACTTTGCCTTCTTCGACATGGCCTACCAGGGCTTTGCCAGCGGCGACACCGACAAGGATGCCTTTGCCGTTCGATACTTTGTCGAGCAGGGCCACGACATTGCTCTCTGCCAGTCATTCGCCAAGAACATGGTAAGCATAACTCTCATCCTTGATGGGTTTCCTGCTGGTGTATATGCGTAAACCAGAGCGGCCAGAGTTCTAGTCGATATTATATAGAGCCTCTCTGCTAACCACTGCTGCTTTCACTTAAAAATAGGGTCTCTATGGTGAGCGTGTCGGTGCCTTCTCCGTCACCACCGCCGACGCTGAGGAGAAGAAGCGTGTCGACTCTCAGCTGAAGATCCTCATCCGCCCTCTGTACTCCAACCCCCCCATCCACGGTGCCCGTATTGCCGCCGAGGTCCTCAGCAACCCCAAGCTGTACCAGCAGTGGCTGGGCGAGGTCAAGGGCATGGCCGACCGAATCATCACCATGCGTGCCCTCCTCAAGGAGAACCTCGAGAAGCTCGGCTCCAAGCACGACTGGTCCCACATCACCAGCCAGATCGGCATGTTCGCCTACACTGGCCTGAACGCCGAGGAGATGGAGAAGCTGGCCAAGGAGTACTCCGTCTACGCCACCAAGGACGGCCGTATCTCCGTTGCTGGCATCACCAGCGACAACGTCGGCCGCCTGGCCGAGGCTATCTTCAAGGTCAAGGGTTAAGAAGAAGAAATAAAAGTTAAAAATTCATGCATTACAATGGAAGTGATGAAATTAAAGGGAAAGGGTAGAAGAGTGTTTTTCTATTCAGGTATTAGGCGATCTAAAAAGGAAAAAAAAAAAAAAAGACCTTTTTTGCATTGTTTAGTGGCCAGATGACTGGTTTATAATAGCCAATGTAACAATAATCATGAAGAAACGCCTGATGATTGTATTATTTGTACCCATTCGCGTCTAAGCGTTTGCAAATCTCCATTCAGAATTAAAAAAGAGAGAAAAGAAAATCACTTGCGCGCTATATATACAGATTGAACAAAGATTGAAAGCGCTTTATTTATCGTTAAAATCATGACAGTCGTAATCGGTCCATGTCTCGTTTCGTATCCTCCACGTGCTGTCTTTCATCTTTGTAATCTCCGTGCCCATCTTCTGATGATCCTCCTTCTTCTTCTTGACTCTCGCCCATTTCATCTTGAGAGTCTTCTTCTTCATCATCATCATCATCATCATCATCATCATCATAAGCTTCTAGGTCAGCTTGCAGATCCTGCACCTTTTCAGCGACCCGTGTGTTGGCGTCTTTAAGGTGCGTGACGTAGTGCTGCAGAGCGGATATGCTTTCAGGGGTGTACACCTCCTTTCTGAGCTTCAACATTGTTTGCTCAGCCTGCTTCTCCGCGCGCTGCGCATCCAGGGATATATCCGAGGCGCGAAGCTCCAGGCTACGAGCAATAACGCCATGTTTGGCCTCTAGCGTGCGCACGAGGCACGTGAGGCATTCTGAAAAGAGCTGGAGGAGGTTGGTGAGAGACGTGATGGTGCGTATCCGGGCGGTCTTGAGGGTTTCCTCGGCAGCAGCTAGACCGGTGTTGAGATTCGCAAAGTCTTTTGGCAGAGAGGCGACATAGCGGTGGAGGTAAGTAGGGTTCGTGGCGGGATGGGCAAGGCGGGCGAGGCCCAAGGCAGAGGCGTGTAGGTTGGAAGATATCAAGTCGGCCAGGTCGGGCAGCAGAGCTTCAAAGCCAGACAGCGGCGGGCTCGAAAGCAACAAGGCGATTGACTCGTGAGGCAGCGTATCGACGGTATCGAGGAATGAGGGCAGGATGAGGATCAGCTCGAGGAGCGCCTCGGGCGTGGCTTCGGCGGAGGACTGGGATTGTTTCTGTTGGAGGCGCTCGCTGGCTCGGGAGAGTCTGGTGGAGGCTGCTGATGATGATGCGGGCTTCGGCTCGGGAGGCGTGGCGGTTGCGATGGCGCGTTCTAGGAGGTAGTGTTTTGCAGCTTTCTGGCGATGCTTGTCTAGACTCTAGAGCGGAACTTGTCAGTATTTAATAGTGAAGTAGATAAAGGGGGGGGGATAAAATTGTTCTTCAGAAACTCACCTTTTGCACCGCAGCCCGATCTTTGGCCTCGTCGTCGTCCTTGGTAGAGCCATCCGGGTTCAAGATGGCAGTGGTGATGACGCGATAGAGCTTTGCGAACTCCGGATTGCTCTGCAGAATCTTTTGCTCAACGGGAGGGAACATGCTTTCTCTACTCCTCCATCAATTGAACGGTCGTGCTTACAACCACAATAAACTTCTATAAAGAAAAGAAAAAGGGCAATACGAAAGAAAAGAAAAATGCAACAACAATTGGTTATAAGTGGCCAAAGATATTGCTCCAATAAGTCTGTATCGAAAGAAGTAGCGCCTCCTTACCACCACACACACACACACACACACCCCACGAATGGCTGCCCAGCCCAGCGACTTTGGTGGGGTAGCAATAAGAAGATGCCCAAAACGAGAAGCGCCAGTTTTTGGATGGATGGAGCTCGCGAAAGAACCGCGGGGTCTCGTGACTTTGCAACTTCTCAGAGTTACCTCCCTAAAGTACCTACCAGCAGCTCACTTTCACCCCGCCTAAGCTTCCCGGGTACAAGTCCGGAGCGGATCATCCAATCTTGCGCGCAACAGAGAAATTATACGACTCCAAACAACAAACAGGCCATTGCCAAAATTCTCAAAAGTTGGTGGGATCGAGGGGTCATTTTTTTCTAAATGCTCAGCGCACCCCCCCATTGAATTCGCATTGCTACTATAACCCCTTGCCAATGGTCTTGTCATAAGGCCTTAGAGGGATTCCTTTTCATTTTTTTCTACATTTCTGTACTTATAGCGGCCAACGACGCATATAAACGAAACCATCATGTCGCCAACATTATTACCCTCATCATCGGCCCGGCCTCTCATGGCTCTCGCCTCTCGCCTCTCCTCCACAGCCTCCTCCTCCTCGCTCCGACAATCTTCATTAGCGACGCCGCCGTCGTCAACATTATCAGCATCAGCAACCCGCGCCTTCTCCGCCACAGCCCCCCAATCCACCAAAACCGTCAAGCCGCACCGCCTCCCCAGCGACCTCATCCCGCCCTACCCCTACGGCGAGCGCCTCGTCTACAAGCAGTCCAACGCCGGCCTCTACGGCAGCGCCCGCATCCGCTTCGGCAACACCGTCGCCCCCAAGCACAACAACAAGGCTCGCCGCCTCTGGCGCCCCAACGTCCACGTCAAGACGTTCCTCATCCCCGCCCTTGGCGCCCGCATCAAGACCCGCCTCACCCTGCGCGTCCTCAAGACCATCCGCCGCGAGGGCGGCATCGAGAATTACCTCCTCAAGAGCAAGCCTGCGCGCCTTAAGGAGCTGGGCCCCGGTGGCTGGAACCTGCGCTGGCTGCTGATGCAGAGCCGCGCCGTGCAGCAGCGCTTCAACGACGAGAGAGTTGCGCTGGGCCTGGAGCCAAGGGAGCTGGAGGACCGGGACGACATCATCCAGTATGCGCTCGATTACGCTACTCCCGGACCGCTCAGCCTGCGGAGTAAGGCTACGTTGGCCGAGATGAGGGCTGCTTTGGACCAGACCTTTGTGCTGGGCGACGAGGATTTGGCGGATCTTGAGGGAATTCAAGAGCTGTCTGACGAAGAGGAAGCGCTGCTGATGCAGCAGATAGACCGTGCGGATGAAGCGGCAAGGACAAGCCAGATCCAGGCGGAAAAGGAAAAGCAAGGCGCTAAAGTGTAACGATTCAATCTTATAGATTTCTGTTTTTTTTTTGTATATCATTGTATGTACTCTTGTAAAATAAACCCAACTATATGACACAACTAGCACAAACATAAACTATGAAAATGCCGGATATCCTAAGTGCGGTACCGCAAAACAAAAGAGCTTTTTATGCCACCACAATCTTATATGCTAATGAAAATCCTCAACCCCAAACTTTTTCTTAAAATCGAAGGTCCCAGCCAATCTTGGGTCCGAGGCGAGGCAGCTCCTCTGCCACGCTCTGCACATCCTTGTCTCCTCTGCCACTCAGGCAGATGACCAGGTCCTCGCCCTTCTTCATCGTCTTGGCCAACTCAATGGCTCCGTAAATTCCGTGAGCCGACTCTAGAGCAGGGATGATACCCTCCAGCTGGCTGATCAGCCTGAAGCCCATAAAGGCCTCAGCATCAGTCGCGGCGATGAACTTGGCTCGCTCAGTGTCCTTCCAGGAGCTCAGCTCGGGTCCTACGCCGGGATAATCAAGACCGGCAGAGACCGAGTGTGTCTCAATGATCTGGCCGTTCTTATCCTGGAGCACATATGTTCGTACTCCGTGAAGAACGCCCTTTGATCCACCGGTAAGGGTGGCGCTGTGTCGTTCAGTGTCGACACCATCACCGCCAGCCTCAACACCCAGAAGCTTCACTGATGGGTCATTGGCGAAGGGGTAGAACATGCCGACGGCGTTGCTACCTCCGCCGACGCAGGCAACAACTGCGTCGGGAAGCTTGCCGCGCATCTCTTGCATTTGCTTCTTGGTCTCATCACCAATGACCGACTGGAATGTCCTCACAATGGTAGGATAGGGGTGGGGTCCGATAGCAGATCCGATGATGTAATGAGTGGTGTCGAGGTCAACAACCCAGGCGCGGAGAGCTTCGTTGACTGCATCTCGCAGAGTCTTGCTACCAGCCTCCACAGCTACGACCTTGGCGCCAAGCAATCTCATTCTGAAGACGTTGAGGGCCTGTCGACGAACATCCTCCTATTAATTATAGTCAGCATATAGTTTCCAAGTTAGCTGGCGATTTCGGTGGATTGAGTCTTACAGCTCCCATGTAAACTGTGCATTCCATGCCAAATTTGGCACACACAGTCGCAGTAGCAACACCGTGCTGGCCGGCTCCAGTCTCAGCAATGATCTTGGTCTTTCCAAGACGCTTGGCCAGAAGCAGCTGTCCGAGTGCGTTGTTGATCTTGTGGCTACCCGTGTGGTTCAGATCCTCTCGCTTGAGCCAGATGTTGGCACCGCCGCAGTGCTCTGTAAGACGGTCCGCCAAGTGAAGGCGAGACGGTCGTCCCATGTAGTCGTAGTATGATCGGTACTCCTCCCAGAACGAAGGGTCGTCCTTGATCTTGTTGAAGCCCTCTTCAAGCTCGGACAAGCAGTCCATCAAGCTCTCTGGAACGTACTGACCGCCAAATTCTCCGAATCGCTCAGGGATTTTGCCGTGGAGAGCTGCAAGCTGGGCCACCAAATCACTGTCTTGCTCCGCAGTGAGCCGGTCACTATCCTTGACAACTGCGCTGACAGACACTGAATCTGCGCTGGCACCCTGGTTGCCGGGCGCATCTTGAACCAACGGAACTTCTCCAGTAAGCACTGGTCGAGCATCACGGCCGCAGAGATAGGCGCAGTAGTTTTCAACGTCGGCATCGATTTGGCCAGAGGCAGCCTTTTGGATCGTAGTGATGATTTGGCTGCCGACTACGACGCCATCGGCGATGGCGGCAACGCTCTGGAAGTGTTCGTGGGTGCTGACACCGAAGCCAACAGCAGCGGGCTTGTTGCCGCTGTACTTTTTGACGCGGCTGAGGAGGTCAGGGAGATGTGAGCTGAGACTTCCAGTGGCGCCGGTAACACCTTGTCTTGAGACAACATAGATGAATGAGTCTGCGAGCTGGCACAGAATCTTCATACGGGTATCTGAGGTCGCAGGGGCGATCAAGGGGACGTATGAAAGGCTAATGTGTTTAACCCTGATTAGTATGCTTCCCACCTGAGATCCCGTAATAAAGCTGGCACTTACCCGCCCTTGGAGCAGAGCTTGCGGAATGAGACGGCCTCTTCCGGGGGCAAGTCAACGACAATGAAGCCATTGACGCCGGAGCTCTGGCAATCTTGCAGCAGACGCTCCTCACCGTAGCTGAGAAGGGGGTTGTAGTATCCCATGAGCATGACTGGGGCCTTCAAGCCGCGGGACCTGGCCTCCTTGACCATGGCCAACGTGGACTCGATGCTGACGCCATTGTTCAGAGCAATCTGTATCACATCAAAGTCAGACATGCACGTCGAATGATTTTGACCTCGGTATAGATGTTCGTACCGTGTTGGCGGTTTGAATAGTCGGTCCGTCGGCAATGGGATCGGTGAAGGGAGCCCCGAGCTCAAGGACGTCTTTTCATCTCAAAATCAGTATGACTCCCATTCTCCATATATCTCTCTTCACATGATCAAAACTAACCGGCTCCTCCCTTCTCCATGGCCAACAAGATGCCAGGAGTATCCTCCGGTCGTGGGTAACCCGCAGTCACATACGTGACCAGCGCCGGCTACAATTTTTCGAAAAACTCAGATGTCAGCGAATGCATCTTCCAGCAATTGCTACCCCGCGGATGCCGTCAATGGAGGGGCACTCACTCGGTTCTGCGCCTTGCAGCGGGCAAACGTCTGCTTGATGGCCTCCATGGTGTTCGTCTCTTGTGTCGTCTCGCTTCAAATGAAAGGCTCGATTCACCAGGATGAAGGATTTTTGCGTCGATGTCGAGATCAGTGGCAAACAAAAAAGTCGACGTCGATCGGGCGTTTTTAAAGAAGTCGAACTTTCTGGCACCCGATTCCGGATCAATGCGGTCCGCCCCTCCAGATGGCTCCTGCCACGACTAGCACCTGCATAAGCCCCACCTCCCGCAGCTGCAGCCCAGCCCCACAGGCCCGGACTTGCCCAATCCGGCAATGCTCAGCAGGCGGATGCGACATGGCTATGATCCCGATCCACGACGTTGGCCAGCCTGTATTCAGCCGCTCGACTTCTCCGCAAGATCGGTATGTGACAGCAATGCAATGCAATGCAATGTATGTGCAAGCAGCGCGTATGTACATGCGGCTGACATACAGGTACGGGCGACATGCTCGATACTCTTTTGGCTCAATCTGCCAGAGTTGCCACCCGTAAACACTTGCCTAGACAGTCTTCACCTCGTCACTGCGTACAAGTACATAGTCTACGTCTTACATCTAGTTCAAGTATGAGTCAACACTGGGAGAGTTAGAAACGAGATCCTTGATCTTGTTACCCTAGACTTTTCTTATCTTGTTTTCAATATCAATCCATACGGAAGTACTTCTTTCAGCGTTCTGCAGCTTGTCCTATTTCTAAAGAGAGATGAATTATATGATAATTACTTGTGCGGAGTAAACCAATCTAAAAGAAAGAAAAAATATCAAAGTCAAGCCACCAACAAACATGAATGAATATCCTTACGCCGCCAACCTCTATTGCCCCCCCCCCTAAGTATTTTTGCCTTTTGCCAGTATTGTTTTTTGCTTTTCTTCAGTTTGTCGAGCCAGCTCGAACAAGCCCTATTATTATAACGTTTCGTATATTCTCACATTCTTTTCTTCATCCTCCCCCTTAAACTTCATTACTCTTGGTTACTCGAGTTAGCTAGATTAAAAACCGGTCTTTTCATCAGGGTAGTCGTATGGATTATTTGTCATTTTCGGCCTTATTGGGCTCGCCGCACCGTAGATAAATTTCTCATGAAATGAGCCCCTTGCTGAACCGCCGCTTCCAACGGAACTGCTGGAAGAAGAGGCCGCCGGCTCCCATGGAGGTGGCGGGTCCTGCGACCAGGAACGCTCTGCAGGCGCATTAGAGTGCATTTGGCCACCGTCTATGCTTGGGTAGCGTATGCCTCCCTCTGCCCGGCCGCGCTCGTTTGTGGCCATCCCTATGAGAGTCTGAATCACACCAATCAAGACAATGATGACATAGGTGAGAAAAATGCCGGTAGACATGAGGGCTTCCTGTACCAGGTTGTTATGGAGCCGCTTGGTAACATGACTGACAGCTTCGCTTATTTCATTGGTTGTGGCATCGGAAGGAGAGGCAAGGAAACTATCAATGCCCGACTCACCAGACAGAGAACTGTTTGCTCCTGCGCTGAAGGTATCGTTGGGAAATAGAGGCAATTCAACGTGAGCGTGGTCGTGGACCCACGTAAGCCCCTTCTGAACGCTCTCAACCTTGAGTCCAATGACACAGTGTAAAACCGACTTGATGGGGCCCAAGAGAATAGTTCCATTGAATGCGAATTCCAGGCCCTCCTCCATCTTGTCCATAAAAACGTTGATGGTATTGTTGACCGCTCCTGTTGCGTTGCTGACATAGTCGAGGAGATCATGGTTTATGTCGTCGTTGAGACCTGTAATGACTCCGTTGGCACCATCGGCCCATGATTGAGAAACATTCTGCAGGGTTCCCACAACATTATCAGCAAAATGTCCGACTTCTTGAGCCAGCTCAGGTGTCTCTTTTTCTACTGCTCTTAAAAGAATGTATTGGAAAATGCATGAAAGGAATCCAGACAGTGCGAGTGATAGGACGAATAAGGCAGCTGGCGAGGTAGCATACGCAATGCACCAGCGGACAAGGATCTGTCGCTTCGCAGTCATCTTGCTCGTAAATCGGAGACCGTAAGAGGCAGTAAAAGGCCGAGAAGCAATGTAGACGACATCCATCGGGTCTTGATCGTTCCGGGCGACAAGCTTTGCATAGTTCCTCTGCTGCCGCCATCGACGAATCTCCAGCCACGCCATGGGAGCAATGACGGCGACAGCCGCCAAGGAAATGACAACAATGAAGGCAACTCTAGCTTTTGCCACCAATTTGAACAAGTGATCAAAGATGTTGTTCAGCGAATCGTTGTCGGAGCAGAATGTCATCTGTTGCTTTTCAGCAAGCGGAAAGGCACTCTTGTTGAACGTGTAGTTGGCATATCTCTCATCCAGGACAGTGCGTAGGGCTTCAAACGGGAGAGAGATGGCGGATTCAGTAAAGTTTTGAACGTCTTCAAACGTGGGAAGGTCTTTATCCAAGAGTTGAAGACCACTGACAAAACTGGTCGTGTTGAGCTGAAAATCCAGAAGCTTATTGAGGGGCTTTGAGAAGTTGACTTTGGGAATCTCTGAAATCAAGCTACCAAACACGGTATCTTCAATGCCAGACGTCAGATTTGCGATGCCATTTTGCAAAGAAGTGGCGATTTTGTTCATATCGCCCACCGTCCCGTTGATGAATTTGTTATAGGTCTTTGTCGCATCCGCGGTGACGTTGGCGACTATCTCAAGACTGCCGTGTATGAGAGCGGTGATAAGACAGGTGTATGTGGCAGTCAGGAAGTTGATGTAGAAGATGATGATGCCTTCAACGCCGCTGATGACAAGGTCGAGCATCTCAACCATGCCGTGGACGGTCTTTTCAACTCCGGTGGCAATGAGTTCATTGACTCCTTGAGAGAGATAATGTGGCATTGAGGCCATAGCACTGCCCACATCTTCAACCTTGGTACATGCAGAAAGAGCTTGCGTTTCGGCATCTGCAATGTTGTCTCGTAACTGAGCTATAAGAATAATAAGGCGAACGAGGAGAATAATTAGGAGGACAGTCCATCGGTTGATCCATATCTGCGAAAGACGAGCTGGAAGGCCGAGATATGGCGTAATGTAGGGAGCCGTATCTGCGCGCGGCTCTATGGACTGCTGGGGTATTGATGGGACGGACGGATCGCTTCGAAGCGTGTTTGGAACGTCGGGAAATTGCGACAGATCGCCGCCTGTGCGAGAAAAGGCCATTCTCAGGGCAATGAATGTAAAGAAGAAGAAAAAAAGCGGATAGACCGCTTGGGATTGAAATCAACGAATAAAGTTGCTCGAAAGTGGTATTAGGTGCCGATATTGGTTATTTGTCACGGCCGGCCGTTGGAGATATAAAAAGAAGGAAGTGTAAAATAGAAGAGGACAATGATGGTGAGAAGATGAGAAAATTGCAAAGGAAAAGGAAGGAAAGGAAAAGCCACAAAGGAAATGAGAAAAGAGATTGAAATGCAGAAATGCCTATTTGCCCATGGTGAATGTCTATTGTCTGAACAGAAGTAGGAGAAAAGAGTGAATCATAAATGAGCAACAAAGGGTCAGAACAATAGCGCGCAAGCACCATAATAAGAATCACTGTGAACACAAACTGAACGCTGCCCACGGGGCAAACGGAGAGGGGCCTAGCCGAGCGCATATCGATCGCACAGAGCCTTTCAAACACGCTTTTCGCCTCCCGGCAATTAGAAGAGATTCAAAACAGCAGCCCGGAGGCCGTCGATTCGACGAGAGAGGCCCGAGCAGGCATCGCAGCAGCCGGGCTGTATGTGGATCGGTCTAAGCGCCTGTCAGTCAGCGCCAGCCAGTGAGAGCGAGCCACCAGGCCGCAACAGGCAGAACCCCAAACCCGCCATCAGAACGAAACATTTTGCATCTGCCAAAAGCCGTTGCGCTGCCGGCTCTGCATAGCAGCTATTCACTCATTGGCTCACCGGCCACGAACAAGGGTCTCGATGCCAGCAAGACGCAAACGCCGGCAGACGACACTCGAGAAGCGCTGCTGCCACCCAGGCCAGAGGGCAGGTGAAACACCAGCACAAGCTGGCTGCGGCATCGATGACGTACAAGGGCCAGAAAAACACGGCGCGGACCAGCCCGAAGAGAAACAAGATCGATTGGCTGCGCGTGAATCTTGGCAAACGGAACCGCGATGCGTTCATCAGAGCCTGAGATGGCCTTGGTAAGATTAGCTGCCACTTGCTGGGCGGCGCATCACGAGACACAGCTTCGTGTTCATCTGGGTCACGCGGATATCATGGTGACGGAGACACAGAATAGATGAAAACAGCTCCAGGAGCAGCATATTTGAAGCTTCAATGTTCCTTTTTAATTATCAGGATGCTATGGAGAGCTGTTGCAGCGTTTGGGATGCTCTGGTCCAATCAATAGCCGCGCGCATTCGAGCCAGCGCTTATGTAATACTCGCTCATTGGAAGATGGAGCTGGATAGGTGCCTCGGCACTTGCATGCGCCATGAAGTCGACCATGCCATGTCGACAGACGTTTCAAACCCTCCCTGCAATATCCAAAAATGACAGATGAATTGGAGGCAGCTCCAGCGCAGCAGCTCAAACTCGCGCCGGCAAAGCGCCTATCGCCAAGTTTTACCGGGTAGTACAAAGAGGCCGGCGCTTCGGTACCTACCTAGGTATGGACTTGTATAGGTAAGGCTGAAGTATTTGCAGTGCATTCACGCGGTGACTGTCTTCATCTGAACGCAGTACTATACGCCGCATTATCTAGTAATTGGAGCAATCTCCTGGAGAATCCATAGCTCATAATGACACCACTTGATTTTCAAACAAGTAAACGTAGCTAGCTAGATGTTGTATTTGTTATAACTGATACTATAGTATATCGAGAAACGACTGGCTATATAGCTTTTCAAATGAATGAATATAGCTGGAGCATATATCTTCATAACCGTACTGTCCTGTTAAGCAGTGAAAGTGATTCGTAACCATCCCCTTTGCGTAGCAATCTGACACATATTCGCAAATACTCTACATTCCACTCTGTGTCATCTGCATATTATATCAGCTATGCTCCATAAGACCATGAGATGGAATAACGGCTAGCTAGTTAAGCCTTCTGTCCATGTTGCTTGATATATTTGCCAATATCGCTCTTGCTGGTACCGTTTGCAATAGCTTGAGCAACATTGGTATAGGTGGCATCATCGTCTTTGTGTACCGTCCAAGTTGAATCATTCTCACTCCATCCAAAAACATTAGTTTCCATTTTCTCCTCACAAGGCTCCTCCTCATCATTATCTCGCTTTCTAATCGAGGTGGTCCTCCAGCTGCCGCCCGAGATGATTGGCGTTCCAGTAGGACAGACACAAACCCCACTTTGCAGTTGCTCAATGACTATAGCACACTGATTGCCGGATTGACTTGAGAAAGCAGTAGCAATGCCTCGATTATTGGACGATGCGAAGTCCATGCAGGTTGCAAGCTGGTTCGGTTGCAAAAAACAGCATACATTCGGGGGCAAGTTTACGCAACCATCGAAGAGACCCGATCGACAGACATCATCGGTATTATAGAAATTTATATTGGCCAATTGAGTAAGTGCCAAAGAGGCAAAGCCCAGAAGAGAAATTAGAGTGTGTGGCAACATTGTAATTGTAACGAATACACTGCAAGTGGCTTGGTGAGTTTATCGAATTGGCTCAAAGTATATTGATTGTGTCTTGTAAACTTCAAAATCGCTGAGGTGGTTGATTCACTGGTATATATAGTTTTGTAGAATGTCTTCAGTAGTCTTTAAACGGTAAAACAAACAGCCTGCTGCTTGGTTAAGGTTTCTTTGCGCCCGCAGTCTTGCATATCCCACTGCTTTGGACATGCCAATTTAATTATCACCCATACTCACAATCTTTTTTCTTGATACTACTTTCAAGAGTTGGTGGTGTGAGTTCCTGTGTGTGCCGGCAAGTTTAGTGCTTCTCTGCTACTTGATACTATTCCCAAGTTATGTTATATATTACTCGTTACTATTCATCAGTCGATTTTGCATACTAATATCTTGCTAGGTGTTGCATCGGGGGAAAACCATACTGTAAAGGCAGGTATTATTCAACCAACCATAACTTATGATAATAGAGGGTCAGAATCCTTTCATGCAAGTAATACAGCCTATATTCAGTTATTTTCAAACATGGCGTGACGTCCGATTCAAGCTGCTGCGGCATTGATCTCATTGAAGATCCAATGGTTCATAGTTTTCCACAACTGAAGAAATTATTTCATTAAGGCAGAGGAATACCAAGGTTATTGTATAAGCAAAGTATGGGATTCAGACTACATAAGAAAAAATATATCAGTTAAACACTACTTGAAAGAGAAATATAGAGAATGTAGTGCATCGCTGTGGAGTTGTGAGACATTGTTTTAAATCACCTGAGCTTCGATTATATGCGCGTATATCTCATAAATGATATACTATATATTATATAAAACATAACTGCTCGTTGTTGACTGTTTGTCATAATTACATGCAAGAGAATATGATACATAATTAAGAGTGCGAATAGACATGACCAGAAATCGATAAATAGCGATCAATTTAGACAACGTTCTATAACAAACAGTCAGTACTCTTGTGTAATGGCGTATATGTATGATTTGCACCGCTACAGATAAGAGCTCAATGGCGATAATTTCCAATTAGGTATATCAAGCGGAAATATACTCGGGAATATGCCGACCCTTGCTGACTGCGTCTATTGATTCATCACATGTCAATTGCCTAACTAAGCTTATATTCATGCATTCCAGCCCACCACTTTATATTCGTATAGGAATTAGGCAGACCACCCTAAGCAACTTATAAAGTGACACGCGGGGAATTTTTCGGACGTTTAGCTTACAACTCTGTTGACGCCGCAGTCATTATCAAATATTCTGGAACTCGCGTGTGCAATAGAAGCAATGTTAGGATCAATGACTAGAGATTGAGTATGTAATTTCCGCGTAAAGCAAAGGGCCATTTACAACCGCAGCTAGGCTGCTTCAACTTGTTAAGGGCTTCACCATAACTATATCTTTCTTGCTATACCAAGAATGTATCCCGTAGCCTCTATTTCATCAAACCCGTATATAATACCTACACGGCTCGTAACTGGCTCCTGCTCCTTTCCGCCGAAACCGATCTGACGTTCCCGCAACAGGCTCCACGAACAAAACGCCCGTCACAGAATGCCCGTGATCCTTCACTGACGGGCCATCGAGCTTCCTATACCCAACTTTAGTTCGTGTAGATATTTGCAGCGTATGAACGAGGTAGCTTTTCCCATTAGCCCGCAGCTGGAGCAAGTCTGGGCCTCTCAGGCGTGTCCCATCCTACCGCCGCCGTCGGCGCCGTGATGGGGCATATCAGCTGTTATATTTGATGCCTTTGGGTTGTAGGAGCCGTTGTTTTGCTGACGGGGTTTTCTCGGGTTCCCTGAATTCCTTTCGCATACAGTTTATTTTTATCACCCCGTCAGAATGGCGAGACCCTTGTCCAACGCAGCCATCAACAGCCCACAAGTGATGAGGGGCTGAACCTTACCCTTTATGTGAAGCCTACCTGCCATCGTGATCACATGCGCGGCCGAGTTCCGCTCTGCATATCTGATATCTGGGACGATTTCGCAAGTATTGACAGTCACAGGATGTTTCTCAGGCCAAGTGATCTGCCCTTCAAGCGACAGCCAAGACCAAGATGCGGGGCACCGCAACCACACACTTTGGGCGTCTCAGAAGCACCCGCGCCACAGCAGTCTATAATAAATATCCGGCAGCCCGAGCCCTGAGGCGTATGGAAAATGACAAGTACTTTCAAACACCTTGACCGCTGACTTTGGAAACGATGCCACGCTCATGACGTTTGCGAACTCCGCTGCAATACCGGCAATTGCATTGAGATGGTCGCTGGCTTTGGCAAGGCTTAAGCGGGGATGGGATTGAGCCATCAGCTAATACCAAACGTGCAAGCCCAACTCGGAACTCGAAGAAAGCTGGCTTTTGAATCCAAACTTGTCATCCTGGAATCTTTGACAGTTGAAAATGATTGGCATGTTTGGAGTTGTATCTGGGGCGTTGACGTCCTGGCTTCCAACCGTAAATGGGGTTTGAGTGCGGCACTGGAGGAACGTATTGCCTGGTGTTAGATGAAGGATTCGTGGACTCAGAAACCATTCCTGGAACACCCATCCCCGCGATAATAGCACGGTCTGGATGGCTTCAGTCAAATACTGCCCTTTGGCTCTCTTTAATTGTTCGAAAACAAAATAGTGGCCTCTCTGCTTGCCGGCTTCTCTGTATGGTAATCGTACAAGCCTGTTAAATGGCCTTGGTATGGACAGCGTCTCATTATCTGATCCTGGCTCAGCCTCAGCCGTCAACTTAAACAACGCGTGCTGGTAAGATTAGGCCATATTGACGAGTTCTCCTCTCAGATCTGCGGCATCATCTTGAAGAATGCTGATTGGATCAATCCAGACGTACTGGATGCCAAGTTTGCGTGCCAGAGTAAATAGCATACCTGAAAATAACAGGCAAAGGCGATGTATTAAAGTCCAGCATCCTAGAGTTATAATATTGCCGTATAGTCCTCGAACACTCTGTCTCGGAGGTCTAGCGATGACTGAGGACGATATAGGTGCCACGCTTACCAGAGCACTTCGTAAGGTGAGCATGGTATTGCAACGCCTCTCTCTAATGCATGTTTTCTGTTTCAATGCCCGTTTTGAGCCGCATTTAGATACATTTGTTGTAAATTCCCCAAGAATAGCGATTCCCACGTGTTCTTCCTTCCTTCTTCCTGCCTCGCCTCTGCATCTCACACTGAGATTCCCTGAATTTCCACTACCTTATTTCCTTGCGTGCTTGAAACGTCCGCGAAAGCAAACAGTTACCTGTTAAACCACAATACAGGCGCCTCAGATGATGAATAGCAACTATTTTCCTCTACTAAATTTAATACTAATAATCATATATCACTTTCCAACCCCCCTCAATCGATGGGATTCAAATAGCCTGACATACATCTTTGGAGCGCATTCCAAACATGTCATTGCTGGCATTCTCCTAACCACCAAATGGGCCATTGGGTCGTACTTTGCGAGTTACGGCCTGTCCTTCTCCTTAGATTCTTCAAATATTCCCATAATCAGTCTGGCGGTCTCCTAGTTGTTTGCCATAGTATACGCAACATAACTTACTCCCAAGCCATGCACACATACATACCTTTGAGGCGGACTGCAATCAATCACCGTATCTTCAGCACTCTGCAGCTACCGTCTCCTATTCTTAACATTATCATCATCGTGACCTCTCAATGCCACATGGTCCAAATAAAGGGTGTTATTCTCGGTAACATCCATCCACCTATGGACTATACTTTATTTTTGCGTGACCGCCATCTCTTTCTACAGGTATTTCAGTCGGCTCCGCCGATCAACGCTTGGGCATATCTACTCCATTGTCTCATCCATCCGATGAATCCAATTCGAATGACGAGACCTACTCAGACGACGCTCTGTGCGAGGCGTATAGGGATTAACTGAGCCAGGTGACGGAGACTGAGAACATGCCTATTCAACATGTCCATGGTGAAAATCAAGACGAGGTCCCGGCTACGCAAGTATTTGGCCTGCGCTTTGCACCTAAATTCCCTTGGCAATCTCGAGCTCCCGAATCCGAAATCGCTTCGTCTCGAGTCAAAACCTTCCATCAATATATACTCATTGTCTCCTTGATAATGTATCTTGTCTGCAATAAATGCTTCCTCACTCTACCGCCAACGAATCCAATGTAAGTAAGCTCGTTTGACAGCTCAAGAACTGCAACAACTCCAGCAGATTCTAACATTCCTATAGAGCATATATAGCGCCCCATTTGTGCATCCATTAAATCATATATGTTTCAGCTCGTTCCATCGCCATGAGCCGATATGCTAGCTATACAGTGTCGGCTGCCTCCTTGCGGTTGACTCGATTTCTGGTAATTTTAAGCGCCTTATCTCGGTCAGCCACAAACATGATTCTTGTCATTATTACTGTTTTTGAATTTCTCAGCGGAATCATCCTCATTCTCATTGTTAAAAACCCGGGCAAACCATTAAATAGCAAGCTGACGTTTTGCGGCGAATTAGACTCACTTTGGAGGAATACGCTGATTTGTAGCATGTTTGCCTATATTGTAGCTAGCGTAGTGTCTATATGTGGCATTTTGATACTCCATATATCCTTATGACATGTCTACCTGGATATTCGTCTTCCTACAAACCTGTTTAGAGTATTCGTGAACAAATAAACACGTGAATGAAAACGAGGAAAGAAAATTACTCCACAGTAATAACGTGTCCTTGGTATTGAATTTAAATATATGGGAATAAGAGGCTTGCTTAAAAGCCATGCATTAAATCATTTAAAATCAGGAGCATTAACGTTCGAAAACGCTTCACAATCATCCAAATCCAAAGCCGGATTCCTCCAACCGTCCGACATCAGCAATAAAATCATTAACCACCCTTTTGCCTATGTACAGACACATTTGTTTATGCCTCCACGTGCTTGTTAGCACCAACGACGACATCCTCGATTGTCTCGTCACTGAATTTCAGATCCTCTTCAATCGAAACGTGGTCCTTGATCTTCAAGAAGACAACGGGTGCGGCCAGGATCAGGGATCCGGCGAGGACACCCCAGGTAGCGCCAAACATGGTGTTGTAAGGGGTGTTGAGAGAGTCGAGACGCCAGAAGATGGCAGCACCAGCGGACTGGAAACCCTTGTAGAAACCTATAATGGTTTGTCAGTAAAAGATGAATGGACCAAGTTGTCTGATGAAAAAAAAAAAAAAAAAAAAAAAAAAAAATAAGACTTACCAGCCAAGTTAGCAGCCTTGCGGCCAGAGTTGGACAATGATCCCATCCACCAGTAGATGTTGGTCTGCCAGATGGCATCGTAGAATCCGTAGAAGAAGTACAGGAACATGGGTCCAATGAAGAGACGGCCACCATCGGTCCAGTCAACCTTGTTTGGCTCGTAGTTGGCCTGCGAAACCACGTCACGAGTGGGCTGCATCTTCTGCCAGGCATAACCACCACCCCAGATGGCAAAGGTGAGGACGAAAAGGAAGACAAAGGACAGCTTGGCGCGCATAGCACGGCCAATACCAGCGTAATCCAGAGCGTAGCCGTTGATAACAGCACCGATGATCTGGGCGAGCCAGTACAGCAGGTTGTTGAGAGATCGGGTACGGATGTTGAAAGCAGCAGCGTTCATGTCGTTGTTCTGGTAGGTGTAGAAGATGTTGGAAGCGAAGAACATGGGGAACAGAAGAAGAACCCAAGGAGCGCTGTAAATAGTCTGCCACAGACCGATGAACTCAGACTGCCATGAAGGGTTCTTCATCAGGACAATCTTGGTGCCATCCTCACGAATGACCTTGTCGGCATCCAGCAAGAAGAAGGCGACAACCAAGCCGAGGAACATGAGAACGATGAAGGCAGCATAGGTGCCATCGCTGACAGTGCCGGTGTGATTCTCAATGTTCTGAGCCAGGGGGATCTATAGTCGGGAAGGGTTAGTATCAGCCATTGATGAAGATGAGCGTTTGGGAAAAAGAAGAAGAAAATTGAGAAACCCATTATAAGAGAAAAAAAAAAGGGGGGGGACCACATACCAGAGAACCAATAACGGCACCAAGGTTGAAAATGATCCAAAAGGTCGAGATATAACGACCCTTCTTGTTCTCAGGAGGATAAGCCATCATGACAGCACCCTGAGCAGTCCAGAGCAGACCGGCGCACACACCGAGGAAAGCACCGGCAAAGATGACGAAGCCAACGTTCTTGTTGTGGTTGTAGCTGAGGAAAGAGGCGCTGTAGATGCAGTAACCGAGACCACCAATACCGATAGTGAGACGAAGACCGAGACGGTTGGCAAAGGTGCCAGAGAAGAAACCAACGACGGCAAAGGTAGAGTACAGAGCGACAGAGGAGTGATCCTGGGCCGTGGTGTCGACTTGGCCACCACCTCCCAGACCACTCAGAGAGTTGTACATGCCGGGGCAGAGGAAACACACCAGGGCAACCAGCAGCAGCTGGATTCTGGGCGAGGCGTAGTAGATCTCACGGCCAAAGATCTTGTAGCCCTTGTAGATCCATCCATTAGGCCGGTCAACATACTCGTTCTGGGCGGCGGCGTATTCATCGACGGGAGCCACCTGTGGGGTAGCGTCCACGGCGTGCTTCTCCTCATCAGCCATGGCGAAGAAGAGAGGCTCAGGCCGTTCCTAATTGCTTATAAGCCTGGAGGGGGATTTTCTTTGTCGAGGATATCAACGCTCGGCAGCAAGCAGAGCGGATCTGTCTTGGGTTGGCGGAGCTGCGCACGCGAGTTCCAACGGGAGGTAGCCGAAGCCGTGGAACAAGATTGGGGAGCGGACAGTGAGGAGAAGAAGAGCTCAAGAGAGGATCCAGAGAGGAATCCGGGGGACGTGATGATATATGAATTGTCGCGGCGCAGATCTGACGGGCCCAGCGCTTTTGGAGGGTAGTATCGGCAGGGCTACCCCATCCCGCAATTGCTTCCAGGGGATGGAACGACCAAAGGGCCAAGGTCAAGGTTGCTTGACTTTTAGCACCAGACTAGCTCTCCAGCAACCACTTTCTATTATGGTCCTGTGGATGGACGGATGAGCGGCGAGGGCACCAGGTATGGGTGCGGAGACTGGGCCGGGGGGACAGGCTGGACGATGGACTGCAAAGTCACACCACAATCATCTGCGCGCGGCCTGGTACCTTGGAGGCGATTGCTGTACGAGAAAGGAGTCGAGAGAAGGATGCCGCAAACGGTGCCTAGTGCCTAGCCTCGTGCACGCAGAGTGCATACAACGTGGATCCCGGGGCGTTGGTAGCAGCCAAGAGCGGTGCGCCAGAGCCTGCGCTGGACGAGAGAGGCCCTGGTTGGCCAAGCTAAACGTTAATGAGGACGGCAATGCGACCTTGGAGGCCGGGCAGGGGTCTCTGTTGGCCCGGCGCAGGCTGAGAGTAACGGGGTGGAGCAGGAAGAAAGGTTGCATCAACAGGCTACGTGACAATCGGGAATGTGGGAAGGGCGCTGACTAGTGCTCGTACAAGCCGTGCTAGTCCTGCCACTCGTTGCAGAGGAGACGAGATAGCGGTATCAGTGGCATTGGCAGCAGAGCGGCTGCTTGGGCCGAGAGCCTTGGTGAGTTTTGGCGGCGGCGGCGGCGGTGGTGGTGGCTTTTTGGGGAACAAAGAAAAGGGTTCCGTGATGCTTTGCAGCTGATGGCCACCGGAATGTACGTACCTGCCAGCAATTGCCAGAGCAACCGACGAGACACGGCGTGGAGTGACAATTACTGGTTGGCATGTGCCTTTTGCTCTTGGCCGATGCATACCGCTATCTTCTATCTTCCATCTGCTAATTATAGGATACTGTTTCCCGACGTCGGAAGAATGATAACGAGATATCAAGATGGAGCATTACTATCTACTAGGTATGTAGGTATCACGCCCTGACAGCAGATGTGATGGCATGATACTACCTACAATGCACTGATAGGGAGTAGGTACAGTACAAGTAACATGCTCCAACGCCTCGTATCTCAGGCGGCAGGTTGGAAAAAGAAAAGTTCACGCCGTCACAAGACAAAAACCCAGCTATACGTAAAGAATTACAGATTAGAAAGGGAAAAAAAAAGACACTAATACCCAGCAAAAAGGAGACCAGGGTTTGGCTCTTCTTTTTTTTTTTTTTTTTTGATGAGCGAGGAGCCGCTGGTGGAGCCGCTGGTGGAGCAGCGCCACTCGGCTAGGCCGCCACAGCAGCGCGCGACTGGAGATACGGGCAGAGTCGAGATGGCAATGAATATCAATGAATGGATACTACCTGTAGGTGTACTCCAATTTTAGGTACGAGTACTGCAGTCCTGCACATGAGGTAACTTGAAGACGCTGGGCCATGGATAGGATCGGTATCGCGTATACTCGTGGCTGTGATAGCAAGTGTGTATGTGAGATTGGACGGCTCTGTTGGTTTCAACAGCCAGGCGGCATGTAGCAGCCGCACACGCATTGGCCAAAGGCAAAATGCAACCCATGTCGCATCCGATATTGCTTTTCCTGCACTAGCAGGTCGATGCAGAAAAGGCAGGGTGAACGAGGGAACAACTTCTCTGAGCCGTCTGCTGCCCCGCGGCGTGGCGGTCTCGTTGAGATTTGGAGTAAACTACTCTCTTGGTTCTATTTTATTTTTATTTTGTCTTTATTCTTTTTTCCTTCTATTTTTTGCGAATGGGTGTGGTGGCGTTGCAGTTTAGCTTGGAGTCAAACCCGCCGTTTGAATCGCGCTGCCCGTCCCCCAGATTCTTCCCCATGCCCCAATTAGCTGACTTTGTCCTCTGTTTTCTCTCGTCATTTCTCATCTTCTCGCTTCCAACAAACGCAAAAAAAAAAAAAAAAAAAAAAAGTGTCGAAGCCATCCCTGGCCAACTCACAGGCCGGCCACGCTACACAACCCTTCCCTCCTACCCGTATCGGACAAGGCTGGGGTCCTCGTATCTCACTCGCCATCGTAAGCTGAGCCGGGGTGGCCCCCAATTCGTCAGGCAATGCGAATTGCTCGAGGGGAAATATCCCAAAAAAAAAAGTTGACTCTTAGCGAACAAGGGCGCTGTATCTCTTGCCTGTCTTTCGCTCTCCCCCTCCCCTGCCTCATCACCAAAACGAACCTGTCAGCTCGCGGACGAAGGCCCGAATGGCCCCGGCTGCTGGTTGGTCACCTTGGGGATTTGGCCCAGATCGAGGCGCGCCGCCACCGCCCCTCGAAATGCAAAAACAAGCATTAGCCTTCCAGTGAACAGCGCGCTGACTGGCCGCCTGCGACCCCTGGGCGACATTTTCCAGTGGGCTAATCAGCAGCCGATGCCGCGACTCTGCGCTGCACCCTGAGGAGGGAAAAAGGTCCGGGGCGGGGCGCGCTTCGGCATGGGGGCCAGCTAGCAGCCAGTTGGTGCTAGCACAAATTATGGTAGCCACATGATGAGGATAAGAGGCTGCAGGCCGGTTCGCTGGAGCCACAGATGGCTGGCCGCTTCATCTTCGGTTACTATCAGGCCAGTGACTGATACTGCTGCTGATACCTACTGCAGCAGGCATCGATAGGCAGCAGGTCTGATGCTTGGCTCTCTAATCCCCGTGTCCGGCGGCACACATACGAGCGAGCACATGATGCAGCAGTAGGACGCACACAGCAGCATCCCACTGCCGGCGCAGCATCCCATCGCATCGCCATACGAGCACGATACCCGCGATACGATACGAAGTCGCTGCGCAGAGCCAACTGCCTCCAGCCCGGAAACCCTTCCTTGGGCGCTTCTCGATCGCACCAACGAGCGCCGGCTCCGGGGCCAAGCCATAAAACGGGTCACCCGCCTGCGAGAAGCCGAAGCGCCAGCTCCTTTGGCTCAGCAGAAAAGGGAGATCGCTTCTTTAAAGTTCCGAGTTGGGCCTAGGCCACCCATGTAACGTTCCCTCGTCCCGTCCTTTTCGGTGTCGATGTCCTCAAGCCACAAACCACAGCGGGTCATGGCGGCTGACTAACCCTGGCAGTAAACTCATCTCGAACTTCCCCATGATGCCGTACTTGTAATTTTAGCATTTCGAGATCGTGGCAATCGACTCATATTTTCAGCTCAGCCATCAGTCAGGACGCTAGACGCTCCCTTGATACTGGCACTAGCATAAGCGCCAGTGGCATCAGTGGCAGCCGGGCTCTGCAGCTGTCTGGAGCTGCCAAGAGAGGATACATACCACTCCAAGGAGCTGATGGCCTCTTGTGTTGGGCATCGCTGCACTGGCTCGTGACATTCGTCCCAGTCCAATGCCAATCCGAGGCCCTGGGGCCCGTCAAGAGGATGCGCGGGCCTCCACACTCCAATGGCTATCGCGGGGCCCCAGCTGCCTATATTCTCCCCCAGCCATATACTTGTTACAGATAGAGGTAGTACGTATTAGCAGGCAGTAATTACTGTATACCTACTAAGCACGGTGAACAGGCAAATCTTCCAATAGGACAAAACGAGTGAGTCTTTTCAGCAAAAGGATGTACACCTTTAGTAGCGATGCAGACTTGCTCCCCCTCTCCCAGTGCCTAGAAATAGTAGTAAATTTTTTAATTCCTATTCTCTTGCTTGTTCCTCTCGTAAGCACCCTCACCTCCCATAACATGCATGAGCACATGCACATGTTAACGAGTTCCCTTATCCGACTAGCCGCGAGATGCTCTGCTGCAGTCGATCCCTTTAATCTTTCTTTTTACTACTATTTTTCTGGCTACCCCTCACCAAAGCGCGCTGCATCCAAATTAAATTGCACACGCTATCCGTTATCATACAGCAGCGTGGTGGTGTGGTTCACGGTTTAATATATTGGCTCTTGCTGTATGGACGGACGGGCTTCCATACTGTATGTATGTACTGTACCCATCCATCCATCCACACCCAACCTCCCATGCCATCCATCATCAATCAACCAGTAAGAAAGAAAGGACAAAACCCACACAAACAGCGAGATAGGCAAAAAAAAAGAAACCCTTTTCCCACCAAACTCACGCCCAATAACGGAGCCCACCCTCGGTTACCGGGCCATACTCCTGGTACTCTGGTACATCGAAAACGGTACGCGGTTCCAACACCTTCATACGGATCGTGCTCCGTACTCCAAAAAACGAAATGTTACATTTGCCGGGCCTGGCAAAAAAAGACTATTAAAACGGGGTCGCGCGAGGCGTATTATAGGTACGCTCATTACGTACTCGAGGTAGTTTAGTAGTTACTGTGCGCGCTAATACTACATGCCACCAGCCAAATCGCCAAAAGTCATTTTTACCCATTTTTACTCTACTGTGCGATAACCCTCATGCTTTGTTCGTATTATACGTGAGCTCCAACTGGAAACATTACGGAAATCTCCATACCTATACACGCTGTCCATAAGTCTCAAAATTATTTTTTACAATCATTCTATAGTCCTCTTGTAGTATTCCGTATCGTCTCCCCATATCAGCATGTCCGCACTCCCTGTTCCTTTCACTTATCAGTCATGGCAAAGCAACAATCCCAGGTTCCACCAACCAATCGAGCATGTTACCTACCTACTACCTTACTCTAGTCCCTTGTCCATCTCCCAATAGTCCAATCTGAAGGAGCTGATCTCACAACGTTGGATTCCATTTCCCCGTGGCCTACCTAATGCCCATGCCCGGGCCTAGACAGCCTAGACAGTCTAGACTAGCTGGCAGCCAAGCCATCTGACATGCCTCCATCTCCATCTCCATCTCCATCTCCATCTCCCTGCCTTCTATCCGCTCCATCCCTCCATCTTCAACATAGTACATGCCTAGGCATGTGCCAGCATAGGCTTTCCGCGTCTGCCACGTGTACGGGGTTACATCTTTCATATACATCGCCATCTCGGCTCATCTCAGCCATGACTAGGCGCCAGTGACTATCGAGCTAGCCTTGCAAGTTCAAACACCGTCCCTTGTGCTTCTATCATTTGTATTCTCCTTTCATTTCAAGGGAAAAGTAAATTCAAATTTTCCTTCTTCTTGCTCTACCTGGTTTAATTTGCCATCTGATACAGATTTTAACTCCATGCTATACACAAACTCCCCTTTTACCATGTCTTCTAACCTATCTCATCCTATCATGACGCCATTCCACGACCGCTTAAGCATGTTCACGTTACACACTTCTTCCCAACAACTTGATAAAAGAGGACAGATCGTGTATCATCTCATTCAATCGGATTTGCTCCAAAAATTAGGCCCTTTTGTGTTCCAACGCCCATGCACCCAATAGAAAATTGAAAGCCAGAATCACCAACGCCGTTACTTTCCACCCCCTTCCGAACGAACGATTGAACAGAAACAAGAAACAAAGAGAAAGACAGAAAGAAAAACATCGTGGAGTGAGGCATCAGAAACGGGGCAACGTACTCCCTCAGCTCTCCTATATTCAATGAACCCCTTCGCTCGAGGTGTCTAAAAAATAACGTGCGCATTTTCATTGTAGAAACTTGGAACGACGCTCTTAGTAGCATTATAAGAGCTTTTCACCAATTCCAATTTTATGGAAGACACCGTCGTTCTGATTGACGGTTTCCTTAGTACGCCTCGGTTTAGCGGTATGGTGCCTCGCGCTTCACGATTTAACATAAAATGTAGCCAGAAAATAATGCCAGGGTATCGAAATCAAAAGCAGGCAGCAATGTATATGTGGGTGCCAGTACATAGAATTTTTGGAATGTTCCATTCCTGGCTGGAAAGGGAAAAATGAAAACAAGGCAAGCTTATGTATCCTTAAGCTTGTGGTGTCGAGTTTTGTCCAACACGATCACGCGTAATCCAGCCGAAAATATCGGGTCGACCAGCTGCTGCCGCCGTTGCCGTTGCCGGCGACTCAGCAGTCTCTCGCTTCACTATAGGCTCGCGTGGTTCAAGCAAGAGACTCTTTCGGTAGTATGTCACTTGAACGTTCCCTTTGCTTGCTTCACGGATTTGCTGAAACTGTGCTGATAACCAGTCCTGCATATCAGGCAGCTCCGTCAGTCTATAAGGTATTTGAAACCGTTGAAGTTCTCCGATAATCTTGGACGTCTTAGAATGCTTGTCGAAGTTGACGACTGTCAAGCCGCCTGCGCCATCTACTTCAGATTCGCTCCCCAAAGATACACGCTTCGTTGACGGGTTGCCGATATCAACAAAAGTCAAGTCAGTAAGATACATGCCAAGGAAAGGCAGGCAGGGAGGGACGTGATCATGTAGTTTTGTGCGAAGAACTTTGTTGTTTTGCGACGGCTCTACAATCTCTTGCAGGTTTCGGAGCACTTCTTTACGCTTCTGTGATATCGCATCCCAAGTCTTACGCAGGCGAGTGATGGTGCTGCTATTAAGGATGCAGATGATGGCTATCAAACCATCGTAATTATGAAGTTCCAAGAATGACTGCGCAATTTTGATCCACTGCTTAATGACGGCGGCCCGCTTTTTGAGCTCTGAATGCTGAAGTATTGTTGCGGCAACCATATTTGATAGGTCGGTCGATAGAGCAGTCATGGCTTTGACATTTGGCGCATCTGCTCCGGCCTTCTTCATCCATTGGGAGGCCAGAAGCTCCTGGGGCAAGATGGAACAAAAGATGTTCATCTGCTTGACGGTTAGTTGGCGGGCAAGCTCTAGAGGATCAAAGTCGAGTATTGTAGGCGAGACGCCGCCGGCCTTGAAGGATTGCAGTGCGCTCTGCTGGCCCTTTGAGATAATAGAAGATGGAAGAGGAAGATCAGCCGGGACGTATTGGCCGATGGCCGTGTTAGTCTTGCCCATAGAAGAGACAAGCCGAGGCACCAGCGCTCCTTCATTAGACACACGAGTCGTTAGTTCTAGCAGCCGTGATCCGGCAGATGGCAATATAGAATTAAGCCGGTTCTCAGCAAAGGGAATAATGAGCTTCAGTGCATCTCGGTCGGTCTGATCGCGCCAGTGAGACTCAAGCCAGCCCTTGAAAGCATTATATACCCGCAAGCGAATCGGGCCTGATGTTTGCGGCGACTCTTCCGCATATTCAAATCGGTCAATGAGTGCCTCTGTCAACTGTATGGGAGTGGCAAAAAGCCTAAACGTCAAGTAAAATGTTGAGACGAATGTGGCATCGGGCGTAGCTTCGTGAGTGGTTAAACGCTCAACCAATGCTGGAAGTGTGCCACCCGTCACCTGGCCTTCTTTGTTGAATACGAGCTCGTGTGCGTATGTCTTCATCAACAACTTTGACTCGACATCATCAGCTTCTTCTGTATGGGTGGAGCTTCCGGTAGTGCTCAGCTCGGATAAAGAGGGCTGGTTTCGGGGAACCAGCGTTTGGTCAGGGGTAGTGGCTCGCGTTGAGCTCTGAGATAGGATACTGACTTCTGAGTCTCTACTCAGATATGTTGTGCTGCTTCCAGCACTAGAGCCAGCCATGCTATCAAAAGACGAATGAAGGTCCAGTTCGCGAGCAGAGCCATTTTCGGTCGTATCTGCGGGTATCGAGGTTGTGGTAAGTTTTGGAAGAGGAGGGAGTGTTCGACCAACAGATGTAGCGGAGGAGGCTGGACTTGATACCGCTTCTCCCACTACCGATGAGGGTCGAGAGTTTTTGGGAGACGTAGCTGGCGGCGTAGCCTCTTCATCGGGCTGGCTATCGGGGACACGAGGCAAAGGCTTATCAAGTGCCACGACACTTGGCCGCCTGGCAGGGGAGTTTGCCGATCCGACAACACTAGCAGCCTCGGATCTCTCTGCCACTGATGGTGTCCTTGATCTAGTTGCAGGGGCATTTAGAACAATTGCATCCAAAGGCAGGGCATTCCCAACAGACTCAAGTTCAAAATCTCCCGATCTCTCGATTACACCTTTTGTCAAGGCGACGCACTCTCCAGCCGCTCTCACACAGCTTGTCGCAGAATTTAGCATGATGTTGTTATCCTGTGGCATAATGATGTCTGCTCCTTCCGTTTCCGCATTCGCCAAAGTATCCCGAGCAGCGCACACCAAGTCCTGAATACGCTCCAGGAGAGCATCTCTTGATGAAACCAGGGCGTTGATCATAGAACTGCTCTGCGTACTAACCGCATCAACAACAGCCATAAGCTCTCCTCCAGAAATAGCAGACTGCTTAATGGCTGTTGCAAGCTCATGTCGCGATTGTGACTGCAGATGCAGGCGGCCGATAAAAGATCCAAGATGGGAAAGAAACTTGTCGTGGCTTTTGCTAAGACGCTCAGACACAAGGTGGTGAGGGCGAGAGAGCGGAGATGGTCCAGCTAGCGATAGTCGGTGAGCCATGTTTGCAGAAAGACGATTCATTTGTGCCGTGCTAGCTTGAGAATGCCGATTTGAATTGGTGCCAGCCTGAGCATTCAATGACGATAGTCGCTTGCTCCAGCGGCTGGGCTGGACTAGTTGTGCAGCAGCATTGGTCTCTTCAGAAGCAAGAGAAGCCTCATCGCCAGCTGTGGCAGCAGCAGAAGCACGGTCATCTGGAACTGTTTGTGTCTGTTCGGTAAACACACCCCGATCTGCGGGAGGCGTAGGCGGAACACACGTCTCTTCGATTACAGGAGGCATTGTATGAATGGTGTGCGAGGATGAGTGAGCTCGCTTATCGTCTTCGAGAACATCGAGAAATCTTACTCCCTTGGTAACGACTTTAAATGCCTTTAATATCATTTGGTCCACAACGTCATTCACTTCATCAGGGAACTCGAACGCCACCTGTTGAAGGTCCTGGAGCCGCTTCGCCGTTTTCACAAGTGATGAAAGTTCTGATAGCAGCGATTTACGGCATCTGCGTAGAGGATCACATCGCTTAATGAGCATTGATTCACGACTTAGACACCGAGTGCGCTCCTATACGGAATACGTTAGCTTCAGTTGCCCGTTGACAGCCATACCACAACAAGGTGACTTACCAGAAGATAGCGCACTCCACCAATGAGGCCCTTCATAAACTCTTGGCTCTGAAACATATGGTCCTCGTCAATCGTTGTTATTCGTAACAGGTCCCAGAAATTAAGTAACGCCTTGAGGAGGCTGCGCATTTCCCCCGGCTCGTACGCCTCGCAGTAGTTGGTTGGAAGCCAGCCCCTGGCGCCTGATGTTAGAAGTGTCCCATCTGCCCACCCGTTTGTGTGGATCGAGTGCACCAGAACAACGTCTCCTTCGTCTAGTGGTAGAGTAACGCTAGAATCGGCCATTGCGAGAGTCGGGTGAAAAGGATAAAAGGCGCGGAGGAAGTTGTGGAAAACGGGCGGCATATGGGGCGTCGATACGGAGGATAGGTCCTCCTGCGAGCCATTGGGAGTCACCGGAGGCGTCATTTGAGAGCGAAGATGTGAAGTTTCCAAACTTGATTCGCCTTTGGGAGTTTGGTTGTTTGACAGAGAGCCATCGTCGGCCTCTTCAGGTCGAGATTTTGTGAGATCCAATGGAGCCACCTGAAGGCTCGCTCGCATATGATTGTCGCTCAGCATTGGGAGGGCCAAGGACACTGGTTGTTGATCAGGTCATCGGATAACAGTCTCCCAGTTTAGAACCCAGCGCCCAACGGCCGGTATCAGATAAAGATTTAAACAAAAGCAGGCTGGGATCGGGTCCGGAGGAAAATCACAGCCAATATCCAATAGTAAGCAGGAAGTGATGGAGTCGTCTGCGTCGGGTGCCGAGAGAAGTGAAGGAAGAAGACAAGATTCCCCGCAAAGCCGTAAATGGCAGATTTGAGAATGGTCTAGCTTATTCGCTTTGTAGGTCGCGTTGTTTTAGTATTCCACGCAAGTCTTTGCTGGGAGAAGAAGATGGAAAGAGATGTGGTCGTGACGGAGCTCAGGAGCGACGAGCTGGTGGCGCAGTGCGCAGGGCAGCTCCTGAGGCAGGCTTTGGCTATGGTATCCGAAGGCGATGGAGTGAACTGGACTGCGTCATCAGCAAAAGCGCATCATGCCTCGGCGATGCTGTGTTGTGGCAAGCAGAGCCTGGCCGTGGTTGGAATGAAAGGAGGTCGTGATGGGAGGCGGGAAGCGGAGCCGAGCAGGAATGAACAACACTTCATTCGCCCGGCAGCTTCCGTGACAACACGATGCTGGCGATGGCGGGAATGGCGGAGACGACCAGCAGGTCAAGGGCCACAGAGCGATCGTGACGCCGCCTTACGCAGCAATGAACCCGTCTGTCCTCGGTCTGTTTTTTTTTTCCTTTGTTCCTTTTTGGGGGGGCTCGTGCTGGTGCTGGTGCTGGGGAGCTAGCGCAGAGAAGGCGCTGTAGGAAATAATGCTTGGTACTTACAGATTCAATCGATGCTTATGGCGCGGTATGACAGGCCCCAAGCGATATTGCGATGGGAGCCGGTGCGTCCTTGAACCGGTAAGCCGCTGCTGACTCGAGCGGTTCGATGCAGGCAGAATCGAGATCAGAGGCCAGACTTTGGGGAGAATCGGAATGCAAGACTGGCCATGCACTGCGGCGATCCGAGTCGGGTGCGCACGAGCAGGGTTGGCCGTTGTGCAGGGTTCGTGCAGTGGGCTCAAATCAGTGTCTTGGCCCCGTGGCCCAGACGCTTCCCTGGGCGGGCAGTATGTACTTCGTACCTGGGAACTGATCCCACGTTCTTGCTTCAGGCGACGACGAGAGGCCTGCGAGGGTGGATTGGTTTTTCGTTTCTCTTAATCAAAGTCGTCCAGCGGCGGCTCCGTACCCAGATACAGCCTCTGGCGGGTTCAGCCCTCTTGGCCTCTTCCACTCCGAATCTGGCGTCTCTCACAATTGTCGTCGTGCGTCTGTCTGTCGGTTTGTTTTTGCTGCTCGTTGAGTGTTGCCGCAACTCCAAGCTGATGTTCGGTTCGCCTTTCGTATTCTAGTTCAAAGCCACAAAGCAGCGTCCTTTTCCAACCAGTGGGCAGCGAACGATATTCGTATGCTCAAGTCCACGCGCAGGCGAGGGAATCGAGAGGAAAGGAAAGGTCAGACAGCCGTCTCTGAGTCTGGCGTCTCGGGGAGACTGCTGTTTATTGCTTGGAAAAGCTGGATCGGTGCGTGTCCATCTGAGTAACTACCTACTTGTTCTACCCACCCAGCATGTTCCGCCTCGCCGCCAATCACTCGCCCCCTTTGGCCAGTTCGTCACCTCCAAAGGCGTGTGCTGCCAACTCGTATCCACGCCCCTAGATGCTGCACATGTTTGATGCTGTCTTCGTCACCAGAGGCTAATGTCCCTTGCCCAGGGTATCAGAGTGACAGCAAGACAGACAGACAGCAGCAACGTACTGGCACTAGATGGCTCAGGGACCAGGGAAGCCGCCAGAGGCACACCAAGCGCCTGCGCTAAGAGGACAATCAGCAGGGGTTTTGATGGGCTGCCAAGGACATGAGCAGGGCTTGCAGGGATGCATGCAGGGGTTTTGCAGAGGTCTCCTCCGGCATCACAAAGTGGCCCCTGCCCACGCCTGGCTGGCTGTGGTCCATGCTCTCAAGCTGTCGGGCATAGCACCAGCAGCAGCATGTCATAATGCAGTGGCGCCTCCCGAGGCGACGGGAACAACGGCCAAGCTTAGACGCAAATTGGACAGAGCCGGCAGTGGAAATATGGCAATGCGGCGGCGCCGTACCATGGGAAAGGCTGCTCTCACAGCTATGAGTCTTTTTCATTCTGGATAATGTTTGATGTCAGGTCATTTACTACGAGAGCTTTTAGAGTTCGTCTTATTATGCTCCCTACTCCGCACGAGCGCCCCGATTCCAGGGCGCAATCATAGACACTGATGACCACCTAAGGAACCTTACTCTGCATTGCGCCACAATAAATCCGATGGTGGTGTCAAACCATGGAGTCAATTGCTATCAGGCATATCCTGCAGGGAGACGTTGGCCAAACCCCTAGGCATTGAGCACCATTGTCAATCTCTTAGTGCTCTTACTAAGTACTGCCGGTGTGGTGCTGGAGTCGACCTTTTGTTGAGAACAGTCTCCCTCCCTTTACGATCAATCAGATTTCATTCCAACAAGAGAAAGAAAGACGCTGTCATTCGGAAGCTGCAGCTCCGGTACGGGGCACTTCTCTCCTGAGAATAAGGAGTGCGATTTTGTATCGTATTTCAAATTGCTGACCTGCGACAGATACTAGTCACCGCCGTGCAGCAACAGCAGACAGTGTGTGCGTGGCAAGCTGTGAGAAACTTGCATTATAACCAAAAAATAATAACTTGTGGGCTATTTTCGTTTTCCAAAATACAAGACAGATCTTTAAAAGAAAAAGAAAAAAAAGAGGAAAAATGAAAAATGAAAAATGGATGCTCTCGCCAGGAACTGTTTCAGCTAATCTATGCACCTAGAAGCAATCTCGCCCAAGACAGCCCGAGATCCATACGATATGTTTTACATCTGTCTCGCTGTTTTCCACCTTTTGGTTGGCGAAAGGAGAGAAGGCATCCAATTTTTGAAAGCAAAGAGAGCATCTACTGCTAGAACTTGGATTACGAGACACCTGATCAATCTGTCAGCCCACAGCTTTGATTTGTGATTCATCGATTTCTCACAAGTGCGCCGCATCCCCAGTATTCTAGGTTCAGTAGTGTCGCTCTACTCTGACACACATCCAAGTCTCTCAACTTCATATTACGAGTGCTGGCTGCATACGCCGGTTCTGACACAATCTCGTTTTATAGTAGACCTCTAAAGAAACTTCGAATTTGACATTATCCTCTCGATGCACGACCTATCTTTGGCCTACTATACGAAGCATCGACAGGAGAGGACATGCGATTAGGGGAAGTTGTTGTATGAGCTCGACCCCCAATATTCACCACTCCACGCTCATCGTTTCTTGTTTGACCTGCTGGCAGATCTCTTGGAGGTAACGGCATCGCCTCAGCCTTCCCGCATATCTATTCGTTCGCGAAAGCTGGCTCCATAACCTTATGACATGCCTTACTTGGTGGGTTAGCAGGCTAGGTCTCTCGGGGTCAAGTGCCCCCCGTGAGCTCTCTCATTTCCTATTCTGTTTTCTCCGTCAAGGCCATTTCCGGCCTTGGGTTTTGCCTTAACCCATTGTGGCTATTCAGAGCCAAAATTCGCCCTGTCTAAATTTACGACCCCCTGCCTCTAGGCGGGCCAGGCCCATCGTTCAGAAGCGAGCAGCTCAAGGGTCAAATTGGGGGCACTAACGTCTCAGTACTTTCCCATGATACTGCCAAAACTGCCTAGTAGTAGAGGTCTGGCCCTCCCCACTCCCATTCACGTGCCAGACTCGTGGAAGCAGCGAGATTCAGTCTGTTGATATCCATTTCCCCTTAGATGCAACATGCGTCTAGAATAATCATTCTAATAGATGAGTTAGTGCCTTTGGCACATACTATCATCACCAGAAATCTGGCGGCAGTATGCTTACAGCGCAGTTATCGCTAAAGTACCAGTCCAGGTCCACATCCAAATCACCAACACGGCTCTCCCCCTTCCTCTCTCGTGGTCCATGTATCCCACATAGCTTCCCATGTTGAGATGGCGTGTCCCGTATTCTATACTTGTGAGGTATAGAATATTGTGCATATAAGACTACATTTGGCCATGGGCTGACCAAATAATCACAGTCTATATATACGAATCATAGCAACCAACAAATTCGCTATTTTTACAATTGGCATTCCCAACATCACCCCTTGGCTTTGTTTTACGGCTGACCGGAAATCCGTCTAGGGTAAAGACTAATATTATGAGCTACGGCAGTAGAATGTCAGCCAACTCCCGTCCCAGATCTACGGAGCCAGGTCCGCTGCTGAGCCCGCCGCTCGAGTGCGGAGCACATAGGCGAGAGCTCTAGGCACTAATATTACTATCACCTCTATGGCGTAGCGCGTGAGAGCGGCATCGGACATAACGAAGCCGCCAAAGAGTGTTGATCTAGCTTTTGCCCAGCTTCATTCCTACAAGCACTAACACTACGGCTCTGATTATGGTAGGCCATAGTTAGTATGACCAATGTCACCATGAGGTTTTTACGCCTTGAATTACAGGTAAGAAATGGCGGGTGATTGGTATTAGCTGGCTGCTTTGGTTCAGAATTATCTACTATGAATTTACAGTGTCCTTCAAGCATTAGTGGACACTGGGTATAGAAGATCAACACTGCACTTCGGGAAGCAAGCCTTAAAGACTTGAGCAAAACAGTACAGACATCCTGAGCCCGAGGAGGAACCGAGAAGCTCCAGTCTCATTGGCACCTGTACATAGATTGCGACGATCAGGTCCAGAGCAATCTGCTGGGCATGCATATGAAGCTAGGATCAACGATTCAACGCACTGGATCAACAGTAGATGGCACACATCTAGCCTTTCATTCTACATGTGAGGCTCACAATTCTAGCCCTTGATGCTATAAGAAATCATTAGAAGAGATAAAGACAATGGTTGGGCTGGGAATCATCCAAGGGGACGCGTGATTGAGATGGACTTTGAAAGCTAGGCTCTGCCAGTCGACCCCCCAACA